GCACAGCTCATGTTACTGACAACACCGGTACCAGCTTTTCGAATTGGATGACACGCCTCACACCACCGATCAATATATTCGGGGATTCCAGTAGGATGTTGACATCTGGCAGGGTCATGACAGTACTTAACTCGCTGGTAATTATACTTGTGACCGCATTTAAACAGCTCGTATTTCCAAGTGCACATTATAATTTTTTTTTTTTAAGTTTCCAAAAAGAGGTAAATAAGAAGATGAAGAAGGGATTTTTTGGTTTGAAATGAAAAAAAAAAATAAAATAAAATAAACAAAAAAGCTTTTGATTAACTCAAAAAGGGAAAGCGATTGATATCCATAGAAATGAATGGTATTGTAATAGTTTAAAATGAAAAAGAAAAAAAAAAAAAAAGAGAGAGAAAGAAAAAAAAAAAGCGAAGAGGGACAAATTTACATTTATATATATATTCATATAGATATTATCCGACTAGATAGATATATATATATTTGTTTATTTATCTCCATGTTTTTAAGCTAGTACCAAACAACAATGCCTTAATGGTGGAAAAAATCAACATGAAAAAGGCACAAATTTTTTTTTTTTCATTTCTTTTTTAGAAAAAAAAAAAAATTAAAAAGGTATTAACAATCTTTGAAGTTGATTATTATAATTATTATAATTATTATAATTAAATATATATTTTATTATTATTATAATTAAATATATATTTTATTATTATTTCCCTCTTATTATTACCATTTATTAAATAAAAAAAAATTTTTTTTCTTTTTTTTTGGGGGGGGGATTTAAAGAGACAGGCGCTCATGTGTTCTAAGCATTCCAGAAAGCACAACATACGAACTTCTTAAGGCTAGTCTTTATTTATTTATTTATTTATTTATTTATTTATTTTTTTATTTATTTTTTTATTTATTTTTTCTCATTTCTCATTTCTCATTTTCTTTTCGCCCTATTTTTCCGTCTTATCTCAGTTTCAAATTTCTTTTCCCTTTTAATTTTTTTAATTTTTTTTTTTTTTTTTTTTTTTTTTGATATAAGTCTAGTAAAACTTTTCTTCTTTCTTTTCTAGCCTGGTTTGAGTGCTGGTCTTAAGCGCCTTTGGTTCCTGTTTTTGTTTTTGATGGAGGAGGAGGGAAGGTCAGACGCTTTAAGTTAAGATTGGGCAAAAAGTTGTTATGCTTTTTATACAGGCAATATGAACTAAAACATCATTTCTTTTCCAAAGTCAATCAATCATTACTACCTTTGAAGGTGATCGTATTTTAATTACTTTGATTTATTACTTTGATTTATTTTTATTATTTTTATTATTATTAGTGTACTACTGTTAATAATTTAGATAAGTTAGATAATATAGATAATAATTATCTATATAGATAATTTTGAGAGAGGTATGGTGTATATATGAAGCTTTCACATATTATTTTACCAAAATTCCACCATGGACTCATCTGCTTTTTTTTTTCACTTCCATTCTCATGGTAGTAGACTCGATAATATTACAGCTTAGCTTCTATCTAAATGCTCAACATCTTCACAGTATGTCTTATAACAAGATAACAAGATGGAAGAGACCCTGTGTTAACGCCAAAAAAAAAACAGTTTTTTTATGTAGCAACAATACAAACACTACCAACCAACCAACCACGATCAATCATCATACTACTAAACACGTACCACCAAGTCATTTCTTTCTACACTGGTCCCAGTGTGAAAAATATCGCTGAGCTAATATAAGCTGTCATATATATATATATATATATATATATATATATATATCTATGTAACGCTGTACATTGATACCACTAAATTTTACGAAAATATACTACTGACTGCAGCAATGATTATTTTCAACAAGCTGTTATTTATTTATTTATTATAGACATCATGCACATGCCATGCACAGGCTTATGCCACGCTCCATATTAAGTAGCAGCATATTTCTTTGCCGATTTTCAAAGTATCCGGTTGCCTTCTAGAAAAGGAAGCCCGCCTTAAATAAACAGATGGAACAGTTACTAACACCAGGAGAGGGAATAGAAAGAAAAAAAAAAAAAAAAAAAAAAAAGGGGGGGGGCATTCAGGGGAAAGAAATATCATTTTCTATGATAGAAAAAGAAAGAAATAAAGAAAGAAAAAAAAAAAGGAAGCCTGTAAATAAATTCGATGCATATTATCATATTGTTTGAAACAAACAAACTATACTATTTGCTCTAATATTATACGAATCATCATTATCCCATATGGAAATCTGCTTAAAAATAAAATGTCATGTTGAATAAAAAAAAAACCTGAATTCGGAATAAAAACCTCCAATTCTTAATTGCCAACATAAATACCAAAAAGACCCTTAGTAAACGAAGTTTGCAGAATAACTCTATTAGATACCTTGCTATCATCATCACGATATATTTCTTAATGATAATACCTCACCAGAGGAACCTTTTCCTCTTACCTTTTAACAAATGACCCAAATTAGTATACCTCCTCGCATCCTCATCCTCATCCTCATCCTCATCACCTTTTGTATTTAAGGTTACTAAAAAAAAATGTCTCTTGATTTTTTATTTTGTTGTTTATTTTAGTTTAATATATATTTTTTTTAAGAAAATGAATCAAGCAATATTCATACAAAAGCATCAACATTCACCAAAAACAGCCACAGACGTACGCACCGTTATTGCAAATCTTTCTCTCAAAAAAAAGATATGGGCATGTATATCATTTACTACTACAACAAGTGCCAATCCAAGAATTTGACATATGTATGTTCTTTACGTTTATTCTTTAAGACCGTTGCATGACTTAGCAGAAATTTGAAACCTTTTTTTTTTTTTAGTTTTTTCAAATAATAAAAAAAGTAAAAAAAAAAAGAAAAAATATACGGAATACACGGAAATAAAAAAAAACAAAAAAACAAAATTTACTTAGGTTTAAACATTTTGCTGTCCATCAATTGATGATATGATGTGATGATGCTAATAGTCTTGAATTTGGTAGTTTAGAAATGGCACTACGGTATTACGGATATCGTTTGTACGTCATCTAGCCATATACCATATTTCTTTTCTTCTATCTAATTATTTTTAAAAATAAAAAAAGAAGCCCTTTTAAAACATAAGCGACTAAAGATATTTCTGAAAAAAATTTTTTTGATTATTATTATTAATAAATATGTACTAAAAGCTTACTATATATACAGTTTTTTTTGGGGTTTAACCACATTGCATACGACTAATTTAACAAGAAATATTTTTTGAAAATATTTGAATGACTTGGAAACAGGGATTCTATCATACGCATTTTCATGATAAGCTAACCAAATAATAGAAATGAATCTGAGCCGGAAAAGGTCATGAGGAAAATATCAAAAAATATTTTTCTGATTATTCAAAAAAAAAAAAAAAAAGATTATAATTAAACATGTGAGTAATACAAATCTTTCAAACTTGTTATCTTCTTACAATTATCATCTAGATTTCATTTTTTTTTTAAACAAAAGATTGAAATCGTTCTTTTAACACTCAAATATGAATAAAATTTAACGGTTAGATTTAAATTTTGTTACAATTATCCTTCATATCAAACTAAATATGATTTAGTCAATAATACTTTACAAGTTTTTTTTTTTTTTTTTTTTTTTTTTTTTGTAAATCACAATATATCAACCACCAATATTATATACCCTCAAACCCCAACTAATATAAATGCAACATCTACCATAAAGATAACCAAATTTTGGAGACTTCCCCTCAAACTTTGGATAATATACCTTCAATGTGACTTTTCATAAAAAAGATAAAATTGCTAGACGACCTACAAACTTCCTGGTCATTTAATCTAAATAAATAAAAGAAAAAAAAATCTTTGTTTGGGAAGATAAACACATAAGCTAAAATATAGTCAACAGAATCGTGATCTGATTCAGCATTCGATGAACGACTTTTCCAAATAAAAATAAATAGATATCATCATTTAAATAAATGCTTTCGGAAACAGATATCCAGGCTAAAGGATCCGAATTCAAAAAAAAAAAAAAAAAAAAAAAAAAGAGACTCTTTAAAAAGCAACTTTAACCTTTGACCTGAATTTTTTGTTCTCTCTTTCTCCCTCTTACTTTTTCTCTTTCTCTCTATTCCTCTCTCTCTTACCTGAGGGAATATTTTAAAGTTGAGTAAGTTTCAACTTTTTTTTTAAAAAAAACAAACTTGTCCCTGTATTTCTATTCATTCAGACACTGAAAAAAGCATCTTTTAATCATTTATCCGATATATTTGGACATGTTATTTTTTTTTTTTTTTTTTTGGTATTTTTGGTATTTTTGGTATTTTTGGTATTTTTGATTTTTGAAAAATAAAAAAATAAATTATAAAATCTAAATGGGACCCGTGGAGAGATGGTTACCTCAATTGTCGGACCACAATCAATCGATTGATTGTATCAGAAACAGCTATCTGCCAGAGACTTTACCCTTCAGGAATAAAAGTAAGTTTATTTTGTTTTGGTTTTTTCTTCTTCTTGGTTTATTTCTATCTTCACTTCGGTTTTAAAATACATCTTTTATTTTTCCCTTTCCAAATAATATAATAAAAACTGCAGATAATACATCCTATGGTTGCTATTTGCATAAAAACTTTTTTAATATCTACATCAATTTTGATATCCTTTTTCTTATTTTTTTTTCTTCCTTTGCTTGTTAAATATATTTTTTTGCTTATACTAATTTTCAATATGATTAAAAGAAATAAATGGTTGAAAAGAGCAATTCAAATAAAATAATATTGCAAAAAAAAAAAAAAAAAAAAAAAAAAACTCAGTATCCAAAAATTCGTCGTCTTTTTTCCCTTTCTTCTTGTGTCCATCTGAGGTCATGCTTCCGAGCCATAGAATTATTTCTTTGTTATTTGTTAATTGTCATTTTCTTTTTCTTTTATGTTTATTTTGATTTTGTCCAGTGAAAAAAGAAAAAAAAAAAAAACATTTCATCATTTATCTTTTTAATCAACCCACAATGATTGAATCGTTTCTGCTTACCTTCGACGTTCCGAAAATGGAACGTTAGTAACTTCATCTGGAGTCTCAATCAATTTGGACATCTCTCTCTTGGGCTCAGATACTTGTTTGGTAGTAACTGTAAGTTCCGGTTTTTTTAATTCCTTGTCCTTCCCCAGAATATTGGACGCCGTTGCACATCGAAATACCAAAGTCATAGGAAGCGGCGCATCTTCATCATCATCTTCGTCGTTACATTTTTTTTCTTCACCCAGTGACCCTTCATCCCAAGAAAACATGTATACTTGATTGTCATCATCATCATCATATTCCTCTCCATCCCTTTTTTCTCCTTCTTCTTCACTAGATGATTCATTCTCATCTTCATTACTAAAAGATCCATAATGCCTTCTTTCTCGTGCCTCTAATGATAAGGGTGATGCACCTCTAATGGGTACATTCCGGCACAGGCTTGGCATTGGTTTGCGTCCAAACGGCCCATACGGGTCCATGTTGCGACATCTGCACAGAGGCTTAAATTTGTAAGACACATCATACTTGTGCTGCCCAATAGAGGCTTTGCCATCACGAATTACTCCAGTGCTCGTGATTTTATTTACGGAAGATGCCGCAAGCAAAGTAGGTGACTTGCTTCTAGATCTGGATTCTGAACTAGTAAGTTTGGCCGCACCCACTTTATTCTTTTGCTCTTCTTGAACAATACATGTGGGGCACTCTTCGTCAATCCGGATAATGTCTCGTAGCTCACAGAAAATAGACTTCATAGTCCGATTACATTCCTGTATACTTGGGACCGCACTCAAATGCCCACAACTGTACTGGCGATAAGTCAAAATGCACATTATTGAACTTGGTTATATATAAGCTTGTTAAGTTGATATAATTTTTTTCTGATTAAAAAAAAAAAGACAAGATCAAAATAACTTTTTTCGAATCTCATGCTATATTTATATGAAATTCTATTTCTTGACTTTCTGTTCCTTGTGCCTACTTAGATTAGAAGCATAACATTGCCGTTCTTCTGAAATATGCTGGAGGGGTGGGGGGGATTTCCTTGCCTCCTATTCAACATAACCGTTTTTGTAGTTAATGCCGAAATCAATGCATCAATGCAAAAGGTGTCATTTGATGCAAATAAAAGCATTTACTAGAAAAAGTTTTTGTTCAAAAAAATATCAAAATAAAGATTATTACAAAAAAAAATTACACATTAGAAAAAAAAAAAATAAACAAAAAAAAGAATAATTTTTTATGAATTCAAAAGGCGCTTCAACATTCTGCGCTTCTTGCCAGTACTCTTGTCGTCATCCGCATCATTATTATTACTAGATTTGGCAGAGTGCGGGCGCAAGACGTGATTCAACACACTGCTAGTATGTGAGGGTGTTGAAGATGTCGACTGCTGACGTGACAATCTTGCCTTATTCCCAGATTCCTCAAAAGAATCTGTACCTGTAGGGGAAATAGAATCAACCTGGCCCCCATTCTTCACAGGCAAAGAGTATGCAGACTGGTCACCCTCAGAAATTACAGAAAGCCCAGGCACAACCTCCTTCTTGCTGCTTCTTCCAGACTCTGTACTGGCAAGATCATCCACTGAAATAAACGACACATAGTCTGAAATCTGATGGAGCTGCTGACCTTTCTTTCGGGTCTGATGATGCTTCTTGATTTTGTTGCCTAGAAGCGAGCCACTGTGATTCAAGAGAACCTTAGTAATGTCCTTCTTGAGATGCAAAACAAGATCCATGTTAGACCATGTCTTGTTTTGGTAAGAAATCTCAGGCACTTTAAGAACAAACTCGTGAATATCAAGAAGGTTGCGTGAGCCCTGGCCCTTGTAGGAAACACAAACCGTTGTTTCCACAAATCGAATCTGAACAATAGCCATGTAGTTTGAGGCTCTCTTTATCATCAACGCAACATCATCATCCTTGGAAGTTTCAACAAGAGCAACCTGTTTGCCGTTATGGCTATCATCATTCCCATTAGTGGCTATCGCTGTTCCAACAGGCGAGCGCTTGTGTTCAGGAGAGTTGGTACCCGGCGACGGGGTCTTGGTATTTCCGGACCGTATACTGGCAGAACCAGAAGTCAGGTGTGACAAGCGGCTACTCTGGAAGGGATTAAGCGTATTAAGCTTTCTATGTCGCACAGAATTATTTTCTGACTCTGAGTCCAACTTGATCGAGCCTGCCTTCCTCAAAAATGTACCAATGCCCGTGCCACTGGCTGTATCAGAAATGCTGTCATCATCGCCATCATCGTCATCGTCATCCGAATCATCAGTGTCGGAAAAGTGCTCATAAGTAGTCGGACTACTAGGGCTATTAATGTCCTTCTTATTTCGGGATGGGAAAATGGGACGGTCATCTCGAGTCCCGTCCTTGTTGACGGGGAAAACAAAAGAAAAGATCTTGTCCCAAGTATTGCGCTCAAACTGCAGCTTGAGCGGGCGAAGAGCAACTTCAAACTTCTGCATGATAGGGATACCACCAATAGGATCCAGCATAGTCCAGTTAATAGACATGAGCTTCCCCTTTGAAGAATCAAACTTGCCATTGTTTGGCACGTATGGTGAGAAAATTTCAGGATAGACAGCCTCAGGCTCAAGATTGAAAGCCTGCATGACACCAACCTCAACAGAGTTTGCATTGAACCCGTCAGTGTTTTCAATTCTGTTGAATGATGCGTCAGCAAGACCCATGTCCATAAATGGTCGATGCTTAGCGTCGAGAACGTGCCAAATGATTTGGTTGGCACCAATAGCCCACTTGAAAAACTGAGATGAGTCTTCGTCACGAGATCCCTTTTGCATGCCAGTCTTGATAGCAACAACAAGAATACCAAGCTCAAAAGAAAGATTGTCTTGGATGAGCTCGACCTTGGCCAAGTCACGAATAGCAGACTCGTCAAGTTCCGACATACGAGTAATGTACTCCATTCTAATGTCATCAAACTTGCGAATCTTGGTCTGAAGATCACGGACCTGGTTGATGGCCTTTTTCAAGTCATTAAAGTCCGTGGTCAAAAGGACCTTGTCAAGCTGCTCGCTGTGCTGCTTTTTGACAGGTTCAGAGTAAAGAATCAAGTCAATGACAATAGTGTAAGCAGCAAAAAATTGATGCGAATCTGTAGTAGCAACAATCTTGGGGAAATCCACCGCAATGCGATTCTGATGGTGGATTTCGTGGCGAATGAGAGCAGCCGTGCAAGTATTTTGGAGTTCCTCCGTACTGGTGCTTTCCTGGATGCGAAGCGAATTGGGCTTGTCATAGCGAAGAGTGGCAGATGTTTTATTAATGACTAAGAACTCTTCCAAAGCCTGGTCGTCGTAACAGCACTCAACTGCAAGCCAAGGTGGCCACATGGCAGATTTGCCGCAGCCATAGGTGTTATGACTAAAGTAAAGGTAAGCATTGTTTTTTACATTTTCTGCAGAAAGAACATAAAATTGTGCTTCCTGGAGGAAAACGCCATATCTACTTTCCAATACACGCGACTGATCGCCGAGTTCCCGTTCGGTGTCAACAATTTCAATGACCTTGAGCTGAATATTCTCAGAAGTCACCAAAACAGCAGAATCTGGATTGACGTCACTAACAAGCTGAATCTGAGGGCTTGTGAGACGGATAAGGTACTTTTCTTCAGCATCAAAGCTTCCCTCGGTGGTTGCCAAACTGGCATCAAATGCAGAAAGATGGCCTTCCATATCATCCAACATGTTGTTGAAATGAGGGTCGCAGCCAGGGAACTCAGATTTGAGTTCCTTGAGAAGATCACCAATATCCTCTCCGGAAAGTTCAACGGGGCCATCCTCAGGGTGGTTGAGAGAATGCTTTTCAGCCAAATCTTCCAAGTACTTGACAGCACGCCGAGTGATGTAGTAAGCGTGCTTTTTGCGCTCACTGACACGGGCAAAGTAATGAGAAACAGAGTTTCGAATTTCATTATTCCATTTGAGCTGCATGCTGTGGATAATGAAACGATTCGTAAACACACTATCACCCCTAGCGTTAGCAATGGTGTCCAAGGGCTCAAGAGAATCGGCACTACCAATAGAATTAAGCTCGTGAAGCTCATGGATACTGGAAGCAGTCGAGGCGTGGGTATCCACAGGCACGAATATCGAATCACGCCGGCTAGAAGGAGGAATGATGGAGCTCCTAGTAGTAGAAGGCTCTTCAATACGCTGCTGATCAAACTCAGGCTCCGATGATACACTTTCACAGTCAGTGATGGTGCGAGTAACTTGGATTCCAAATTCACTGAGACCGTCTTCAAAAATGGAAGGAATATCCAGAGTATCAATCTTGACACTGTCATCTTCATTACCCAAATATGGCTCAGGCAAAGGCCCAGAAGGCGATGATGGGGGCTGGGGCTCGGTAGCCTGATCCAAGCCCATTGCACTTTTGTTATCGTAGACTTTGCGTGCAAGCTCGACGTTTTTGGCAACATTGCGAGCAGTGGTGTCGATTTCATCCTCAACTTGAAATCGCTCAACTGCAATTTCTCTAACCTTGGCAATACGCTCCTTCAAGTTAGTGACATCAATCTGGACCTTCTTAATCCGGTCACTAGTAGCCTTGACACCAGGGAAGCGTTCAAGATCAGATTTTAGCGAGTCAAGCATGGTCTCGTTCGTCTTGAGTTGCTCTTCGAGCTCGGAAAGACGAGAATTAATAATGATCTTGTGGGAATCCTCGGGGGGACGATTGCCAATGACACAGTCGTGCGAATTCTCACTGCCAAATGGGATAAATGTTCCATACTTGCGAGGGTCGTCGTGATCAGTTTGACGGAAGTACGACCATCTAGGTGAGTACAACATTGGAGACACTGTAATCTTGGGGAAGATTGTGGCTGGTGATGTTTCACCAAGCTCGTCAAAATCGTCCATGTCAATCCAAGAATAGTCATTGTCACTGATTTTGATTTTACCAGTGTAGTGGCCACTGCTGGACGAGTGACTGTAGCCATTGGAAATAGACGAGCCAGGAGAGACTGAAAAGCCAAACTTCTTGGCGAGCGACTGCTGGTGCGACTTCTCCTTGAAGGTAGCCTGGATGACACGGAGGTCAGTGTTGATGAAATCCAGCTCACCAACATTGAGATGCATTCTCCAGCGCTTGCCAGTAGAGAGTTCTTCGCCAGGATTAGGCGAACGACGCTGATGCAGATCCAGCGTAAAGTGATCAATCTTGCCCTTGAGACCAGTAGAGTGATGCGAGTACGAATTAGTTTTGGCATCGTAGTCTGAAGTGAGGTAGGCATGAGTAATGAAAAGAGGCGAGAGAAGGAGCTGATACTTAACAGTGTACAAGTGACGACCCAGCTTTTTGGATTTTTGCATAGGGTCATCGTAGTTGAACATCTTGCCGTTACGAACAGGCAGGGAAGATGCACTGTCAAAAAGCTCCCACCACTTGTGGAAATGAGCAAACGCCTTCGGTGAAAGATGTACTGAGTTGTAGCTGTTGCTGACACTCTCGCCATCATCAGAGTTGTACTCTGTATGTGATGGCGAAATGACGGAGATCGCCATATGGATGTAGTCACTGCGAAAACCACGGTACGCATCATAAGTGGAAAGGTCGTCGACGTACTCGGGTTTGCTCAATGTCACCTCGTAGTGTGGGCGGAACTGGAAAGTACGACCAAGATTAGTTCCACGCTCAATTTCGCGCTCAAACACCATGCCCATATACCAGCAAACTTGACCGCTGAGCTTCATGACAACTTTCTGGAACGTTGTGCTCTCGTTAAAGTTGGTGGGGCAAACCAACCCGTTTTGGACGGTAATGTACTTGGACAAGTACTCGCGCTCTTGCAAAGAAAAGTTGGGTACCGCAAGAAGATAGTCATCACTTGAAAGTGAAAACAAACGCTTAGGATCGTCATCTTGATTAATGGAGAGGACGACATTGTTTCGCCAAACCATGACAAAACCAGCACTACAGCCAAGTAAATGGTAAGGATTGCGAGAGCCCTTGAGCATAAAATGAACATCACTTTCCTTCCAGTGGAACTGGAGACGCGCATGTAAGACCAATCTGATCTTGTCCCAAAAGCCCATCTTCTCAGAAGGGTCAATAGGAGGCTTAGAGAAGGTGTCGAAGACTTGCATGGAAGCTTGCATGCCTGGCTGGTGAGCCTGACAGTGCGAGATTCTGGTAGGGAAGTGTGAACGACCGTGGACTTGAAGCGACGTAAACGTCTTAATAGACGCAACAGTACGCTTGACACGAGCCACATATGGATAAAACTCTGGGTCATCAGTGTGGCCGGCAGCTTCGGCAATGAGAGGAATATCAATATCACGGATATTGGCTTTCTTGTCTGAATAATTTTCAGCAATAATAAAGTTGCCATGGATGCTGACAGAAGTGGTGCTTCTGTGTTGAGAGGGATGAAGCTCTGGGAAATGCACAGTGGGCAGGGGGTAATCGCGGATTTGCACGCGTAAACTACTTGCACCAAGATCCAAGTAAAGAGGAATGAGAAGAGAAAATTGAGTATCTCGTGGCTGACCCTTGCCAATATCGTATAAAAAGTCTCGCAAACCCAGTTCGTCGAAATCAGGCTTCCGAATTAAAAGATCGGTATTGTTGATAAAGACAAAGAACAAGAATGGGTACGGAGAGTAATCAATGATTCTCTCATTAGCCAAAGTTTCAGGATCGACCTCGTCAATACCAAGGGATAGCTCAACCTGTTCGCGCACAGCACGCTTTTGGTTAGCCTCAGCAGCACGGTGTGCTCGGATCCAACTGGTGGAAAAGTTTTCCAAAAGCTTTCTGCGTGCAGCCTCAATGCTAACAGTAGACTGAGATGTGAAGGCAGATTCGTCTAGAATTTCATTCTGGGGCTCCTCCATTTGCTTGTGGCGGCGTCTACCCATGAAAACCTGGGGAAGTGTCTGAGAACCTGAATGCAAGTGCTTGATGGGATTATGGTACTTAAACCCAGGTTTCAAAGAATCCATTGTAACCGTGCGGTGCGGGTTTATATGGGGGGGAGGTGGAGATGGCGAAGAATTCTTATCGTTAATAGAAAGGGTACTGGCCGGAATTTCGTCCTTGAGTGGACTATGGATGGCGGGCTGGGTATTTGCATGGCGAATCGATGACTTTGCTTCAAAGGAAGGTCTAGAGAGGGGCACAGAAGTGCTTGGAGAAGACTTGGTGGTATGAATAGTAGACTTGCTCAAAACAGCCTTGACCTTCTCTTCAAATTGCTCCTCCTTTTCTAAGCGGAGCCGCTGCTCGCGAAGACCGACACGGAAAATCAAGCCTAGCTTGGATTCAAAAATGTCATCCTCAATACCCAAAAACAGGCCCTTGGAGCGGATGCGGATCTTGGGTATGTTGGGCATGGTGTTGCGCATTTTGGCATGGCCAGGCTCAAGCTGGCCTGTTTTTGCCGTTTTGGCAAGAATGATGACACCCTTGAAACTGGAAATGATGTTGTCAAAGACACGGTACAAGCGCAAATGGTTTGTAATGTGAATTCGAATGGACCGCAACTCGAGAAGGATTTGTTCATTGTCATCAACAACATAAGGCTTCTTGAGATTGGAAAAATCTTCCTTAAATGTGACACGGAGGTCAGAAAGCACAAACAAACGGGTCCAAGCATTAGGAATATTTGGATGATCAGTGTAAAGACGAATGACACGGGCCGCTACAGTGTCAACATATTCGCGAGATTTGCGGTAATTGAGGCTGTTTGTTTCAAACATAACATTGACATCATTGGGAAGCTTAGCTTTGAAACGAATGATTCCAGTTTGGAAGTGAATGTCAAAATTTTCCTCTTTATTTGACTGGTCTTGTTCAATTTCATGTTCAATATCCTCCTTCTTTTGAGGGTGGTGATTCTCATATGGTTGTGATTCTGTTTTCTCCGTATTGAAAGTAATAGGACGCTTAGGGAGAATAAGTCTAATGACATGAATGGTGAGAGTGATCAAGTACTGCAGATGAAAGTCCCAAGAAATGTTTGCGTTACGCAGAATGAAGTTTGTTCTGATGAAAGGGCTAGTCGTATCAGAGGATGTGAAAAATGCCGCACTAAATCGAGGGATTGACAAAAACAAACTATTTGGGTCTCTCTTGGCATTGATGATTTTGTAGCCGTAAATGCCCTCAAAGGTTATTGCCAAGTTGCGATCATCAGTAGAATTTGAAAATGTGTTGTTATTTCCCGATGATGCAAAAGAATTGAACAAATCTGCATTGTTGACGAGAAAATCATTTTCGGAACTCAACAAGAAGGGATTGTCTGATGGATTAATTAGCGAAAGATTCTTTTGCTCTTCCAAGTGACTGCGGTAGTCAATGACAAAGTTGCTAACACCAACATCTAAGCCCAGTACCTCGTGATGCATTTTTTCCTTGTCAAACGTCTTTTCAGTGCCTATGGCAAAGTTGATATTTGAGATTTTAAAGTAAAAGTGGGAAAGCCACGAGGGGAATTGACGCAAGAAAAATGGTTTACTCTTCTTTTTGGTAGACTTTGGTTTTGGCCTAATAAAGTTGTGTGCAACTTCTTGGAGACCATCCAAAACCTCGTCATGCAATGCGCTGACTCTCATGCCATCGAGATCAGCTGTGCAAATGAGAGACAATGATGGGTTGAGAACGGCAGCAATCTTGAGAAGAAAAGACTCAGAGGCCAGGAGGTCGTATCTACAGCCAGTATTTGATTGGTAAAAAACGTCGAGAGCAGAAGAATGAAGAGACGACTTGAGACTGTAGTTTTGTTTACCATTGTCGTTGATATGACTTGAAGAAAAGTCGCAATAAATTTTAGAGCAGCTGACGACTACCATGCCACTAAAATCAGTGCATAGTGCCTGCAACTGAGGTTCAACAGAACTTTGCCGTCTTGGTGGGGTGACTATGATTCGAGCAGCTGGCTCATCAATGGCAAACTTAATGACAGCACGAGGCCAAAGCTTTTGAAATGTGGAGTTTGTGTAGTTAAAGCCACGTGACTTTGAATGCGACTTTGGTTTTGATTTTTTGGAAAGTCCATGGATAATGAATGGAAAGTGGTGGGCCTTGAGATTGAAGGATGGGGTGGAGATATTGATGTTTGTTCTAAGCAAACTATTGTTGCTGTTTTCGTCCCCAGATGACCGTTTAACAAGTTTAATAGTTTTCGAGAAAATATTTGTCTTGCTAATTGTGGATATCAAAGGAATGTAGAGGATTTCCTCTTGGACATTGTTGTGGTAAAGGCCGATGCTGACAGAGTTACAGCTAAAAATGGCCTGATGTGCGCTATCAGTGTCTTTAAAAAATAAACGGAATGAAGGATTTTCCGAGTTTAAGCGACGAATGTCAATCATAATATCCTTGACAGTACAAGACAATTTCAAGTCTGAGGTCTCATCTGGAGAAGTAGGAGGGTCTAGAGAAAAGTGGCGGATGCTAAGATGCTCAAACTTGACGCTGACCTCCTTGACAATTCTAACGAGAATAGTGCCAAAACGAGTGAGAGTGGAAATGTCCTTTTGGCTTGGCTCTTTAAACGCACAAGTTTCGTCGGTATTAATGGATGTTTCATCGTCATCATCTTCATTGACAATTTTTTCTGGTTTGGTATCGACTGAAGAGTAAGATATACTACTGTCGCGGGAAAAGGTTGGTCGCACAGAAAAGTCATCGCTTGTTTCCTTTGAAGCGTTAAGGCAATCCTGGATACCCTGGAAAACATGACGAATACGGTCAATATGAAGATTAAGGGTGCCGATTCTGACGCCAACAGCAAGGCCTTTTAATGCAAGCTTGTGGACATCAATGATACCCTTGACTTCAATATCGAAAAAGTCCAAGAGTTCAGTTTGAGAGAGGAATTCGTCTCGGGTCATATTTGAGATTGTGGGGTCGTTTAATGGTGTCAAGACAATATCTTTGACAGTGAACCGAGAAACGACAGCAGCTTCGCCTTGTTTAAACTTATGGCGGTCTAAGGTTCCAATGATTTTAGTACTTTCTTGAAGTTTGGCTGACTTTCTCAAGTCGACCTTGTGGGTAAGCTCGCCAACATTGATTGAGATATGGTCTTTGATGGAAACGGTTGTATTTGTGAGGGTTATCTCAAAAAAGCGAGCATTGAGAAGAATGAGCCGGATAAATCGAGTTAAAAAGAGACTTGATGGAGAAAAGGCCCATATTGGGCCATCTTCATCTTCTTCGACGAAAAGATGTGATTGTTTTTTATCTGTTTGTTTTTTCTTTTTTTTCTTATTCTTATTTTTTAAAAGAGCAGCAAGAGAAATTTGGACTTCGAGTTCATTGACGATAATGCCAAACCATCCAGGGCGCGAAAAGGTTGGTCTGTGAAAAGTTAATTTTATGCTTCTGATGAAGATGGATGTGTCTGCTGATGGTGAAAAAGAAATGTGGCGCAGAGACATGAACCCCAAGCGCTTGATTGACACGCCAGTTACGACGCGTATAATAGCAAAGAGAATGAATGTCGAGAGGTATATTAAAAAAAAGATTGCAAGTTTCGAGACGACATAGCTTCGAAAGGTGTTCAAGTAGTGGAGAATGGGTGCAGTGGATTCCCCATGAAAAACAGAAACGTTTGCCATTGTGACACCACTTGGTATACTATACTCTATACAAGCGTCTTGAAAAAATTAGAATGATGAGAATGGAGTTTTTGTTAATTAAAGCTTACTCTTATAAAAACGCTTGTTGAGTTTTGGGGGTGTGTATAAATGAAAACGTGCTCGATGACGCGCTTTTTGGTTTCGAAATTCTGGGGTTCAGTTAGTCAAGATTCGGGGAATGTGGCAGATAATAAGGTAGATTGGCATACCAAAGAGGAAAACTATATTCGAGTCAACCTAAAAGATTTTTGATATTGGCAATAACTCAGAATGGTATCACACGAAAAATGATGAAAGAATTTTATAAAAAAAAAAAAAAAAAAAGAAGCTTAGAAAATGAAAATGTTAAAGCCGGAAGATGGGATGGTGGATAATAAAAATGTTGCCGGTTGGAGATGTTACTAGGAGAAAAAAAAAAAAGAAAAAATAATGCCGTTTTGGTTCTTTTGTAAAAGGGAGGGTTTAAGATATAGGAGGCCTTATGATTAAAGGATCATTTTCAAAAGACTTATTACCACAAAAAAAAAACGTAACTAGAAGACGAAGTAGAAGAAGAAGAAGAAATCAAATGGAGTTAAGATGGAAAAAAGAGGGGTTTTTTTATTTTTTAAGATTAAGAATAAAGTCATAGGAGGAGCAATTGAGCATGTATTTATACTGTATTACTTGTGGTAAGCTTAAACAATCAGTGGTTACATACAACAAGCTCTTAAAAAATAAAAAAATAAAAAAAAGTAACTCAACTTTTAACTCTCATTTATTTCTACTGTGAATTGCTTCTATTACTGGTACTTAAAGTCATATACTTAAATTTTTACGACTACGGCAGATGGGAAACTTTATGTGCATTTAAAATTTTCAAATGCTAAAAAAAAGATCAGACTCAATTGGATGGTTGGAATTTAAAGTAAATTAAAAGTTTTTTTTTTTTTTTTTCAATTAGAACAGCCTTTGCACATTGATTTTCTCTAATCAATAGATTAGAACCAAAACATATTATCACCATATTGTCGGGTAATTCTGTAGCTTCTAACGGCACATATTTTCGTGCTCTTTTTTTTTTTTTTTTTGTGATCTTCGTGACCTCCAATTTAAAATAACGTGCGTGAATTTTCGTCTGCGGGAGGCTCAATCGTGAGTGAGGTCCGAAGCAGTAACAGTACATTCATGTTAAAGTAAAAGGTATATACATACCTACAAAGATACCGCTCAAGTAAGCAATTAAAGGAGTTAGGTATTCACCAGTCCACTTAAAATTCGTATTGAAGTTTGTTTCTAATCTGTAAAATGTCTTTTTTTTTTGTTTCTTTCCTTTGATTATAAGGACCTGGTGATGGTCCATGACGAACTCAAAAATGTTTATTTTGGAAGACTGAAAGAAATTTGCTGTCATCATCAACGCCACCACTTACTTCGACTGCTGGCTGGATGGCTGCTTAACGCGCTTAAAGTTGCGCCGGGTGCGGCGGGTACGGCGGGTGCTTGAGGGAACCCGCTGATGGACAGCCAAAAAACAAAAAATAAATAGAGGCTAAGCCTATCAGGGTAATAAAATTGTTACAAGATATGTGACATTGCACTTATGTGTGACATTACACTTTGAGCGTTTCTTTGATTTTGCCTTCTTACAGCCGCCTGCTTTTACTTGAACAGTCGGAACAAAAAATGGTGGTGGTGGTGCAAAGAAATATCACTGTGGCCGCACAAAAAAATTGTGTTACACTTGCAAAATTACACTTTCTAATAAAAAATTTTCTTCCTTTCAGAGGGTTTTTTTTTTATTTTAATTTTTTTTTTTTTTTTCCCCCTTCCCTCATCAAGCTTGACTACGGTTTCTAAAGGCAGCAGCTCTCTTCGTCGTAATTCGATTTCCGGTGAAGGTCAGTTACTATCTTGATTTTTTTTTCTTCGAAGTTGGAGGGTGGGGGAAAGAGGACTTTTTAGTGTTTTTTTTTCAAAGCAGAATCTCGACCAAGTGTATATGTGTTATTATTACCATAATATATAATGAATGAATTATACCCCAGAACCAAATCATACCATGACCCGGAACTCGGAACTCGGAACTTATAATCTTGCCCCGGTGCTCCTGTTGTTGGTGATATCCTTGTTGTTGTTACCATAGCTTATCATCTCTAATACTTGATTAGATGTTTATGAAAATACCCTAAAACCCACAAGTCGTTGAACTTGGTATTGTGCGTTAAAAAAAGCTTGTGAATTTTTTTTTTTTCATTTAGTGAACTATGTTTGGATCACTTGACTATAGGTTGTTGAATAGATATACCAATAATATAAATAAATTTTCTAAAATGCCCTATGCCCTATGCCCTGGATATACAAAAACCTGACGTTATTCTGAAGGCTAACTAAGATTAGACTCTTGTGTATAAAACATATAACTTATACACCCATTTACAGCTTTAAAAGTTTTTTTACTTAAAAGTATTTCATCATGGGTATGAACAAAATTGTGGTGATTCAATTTTTTTTTCTTTTTATTGTCATTTATACTAACTTTAATAGCTCCCAAGAAGCAAGCTAAGAAGTTGGACATTGGTACCTTCTTTAATCGTAAGTAGAATTGAAGATCACAAATGCTTTTATATATATATATATATTTTTTTTTTCTAACATCTCTTTAGCTGTCGAGGAGAGTGATAACTGGGCTGATGAGGTTTCTGATCTCCCTACTGAAATCAACTTTGAACGCCAGCCAGTCAAGATTGCTCCTACTGTGCCTCTTCGTCAACCCCCTGTTATTCCTGACTACCCACCCTTTGTTGCACGCTTCTTGAACTTGGACTACTCCGTGACTCAGGAGGAACTCTACGACTTTTTCGGAAACAAATACAATGTTGTGAGCATCCGTGGTCTCGATAATATGGGCCGCAAGGGCTCTGCCATGGTTGAGTTTGAGGACCGCGACTCTCTGGTCCGCGCTTTGGATCTTGACAGTACCCCCTTCAAGAATGACCGCAACTTCCGTGTGCTTTTGCCCGAAAGACGCAACGAGCACCGTGGCCCTCGTCGTGATGCCCCTCCTTCCGATGGCAAAGACCGCGACTTTGACAACTGGGAGCGTCGTGGACCTCTCCCTGATTCCGAGGGAGGCAGCAGCAGCGGCTACAAGTCGCAAAACTTTGACCGCAATAATGATGGTCGCGAGCGCAACTTTGATAACTGGGGCGAACGCCGTGGGCCTCTCCCTGATAATGAGGGTGGCTTCAAGTCTCGCCGATTTAACGACAATGATGATGGCAAGGAGCGCAACTTTGACAACTGGGGTTCGCGTGGTTCCCTTCCTGAGGGTGACAATGAGGGCCGATTCGGCAACAACAACAACAACTATAATAAATTCAACAGGGCACCAAGAGAGCATCAAGAGGAGCGCGAGTTTGACTGGAACAACCGCAGGGGCCCACTTGAGGCTGCCCCCCAACGTCGCCAGTTCAACAATAACTTTAAGAATAACAACAATGACGAAGAGGGACGTGAGTTTGACAATTGGACCGAACGCAAGGGCCCTTTGCCTCCTATTGTGAAGGATGAGCGCAACTACGACTCATGGGAGGGTAAGGGACCCTCTGCTTCTGCCAATGCGGATAAGAGAGATTTTAGTAACTGGAACGATCGTAAGGGCCCGTTACGTGGCAAGCCCCGCAATGCTGAGCGCAAGAACTCCCGGGACGATGTTTTTGACCGCGACTGGAACGCGGACAAGCCTGCTCAGGGTGTGAAGGCTGCCCAGGGTAACAAGGGCAACAAGGGTGGACGTCATAACCAGAATGAGAATTCTGATGCTACTGATGCTGCTACTGATGCTACTGCTACTGCTACTGATGACTCTATTGTTGCTGCTGATGCTGCTCCTAAGGGCTACAAGAAGCTTCACCTTGAGCCTCGTACTGTTGCAGCTGGTTCCAGCAATGAGAATGTTCCTCGATCTGCTGCTCTTTTTGGTCATGCCAAGCCTGTTGATACTGCTTCCAAGCTTGTTGAGGCTGAGGAGCGCGAGAAAAAGCTCCGTGAGCAGCGTAACAAGGAGTTTGCAGAGAAGCTGGAAGCATCCAAGGCTCGCAAGCAGAACCTGAATGATCGCTCGATTGTTGAGAATGATGCGGTCAAGTCATTTGCAGCTTTGAACTTGCAAGAGGAAGAGGGGGAAGAGAATAGCGAAGAGAAGAAGAATGTTGGTGGTGAGACTCGTCGCAAGGATGAGCCCACTGAGGCTGAGAAGATTCTCAGTGCTGAGGCCACTCAGGACGAGTTGGAGGGTGATGGCTGGAACCTTGTTCCTTCCAAGCGCCCTGGTCGCCGGTAAATTGATGGATGGTTAAGATGAGAAATCATGGTTTAAAATAAAAGAATATGATGATGATGATGATGATGATGATGATGATGAAAAGAAGAAGAAAATCATTTTGTATTTAATCTTTGTTGTTTAGTTTTGTTTTTTCCCTCAAAAAAATAATAAAAATGAAATGAAAAAGGTAAATTTTCACGAGTTTGTTTATATAGATGCTGTTTGTGTTTTTTTTTTTTTGGTTGTTAGTATATATAGTGGTAGGATGGTTAATTATTTGGATTTATATATATATATAAATATAAATATGTCCACTACTATATATATATAAACATAGGAGGCATCATCACATTGGTATTTTTTAGGTGTGGTGGTGGATGTTAAGAGGCCTAAAAGATAAGATAAGACGCCAAAAATTTAAAAATAGACTAGGAGGACAACTCGGTTAGGGCATCCGGGACTCAAGCCGATTTATTTTTTTTTATTTTTTTAATGAAACAACCAACACGTACTTTGGAGGAGTCCTAAGCGATTTCTTAAAGAGATCTGTGTTTTTTTTTTTTTTTTTTTTTTTTTTTTTCTAGATAGGGAGGGAGGAAACAGATGACAGATGATGGAGTTTTGATGGGGGGTGGAGGGAGGTAAGAGGAGGAGGAGGTATTATCAGTGGGTCCATTTTAGATGAAGAAGATGAAGAAGATGAAAATGAAGTTTTCCATTGATGAAGTTTTTGTCAATGACTTGAATGTAACATTTATTTAATTAAATATATTTATATATATATATATATATATACAACTCACTCTTGATATTTATCTATCTATACTTCTTTAAAGTCCATTCTGGCAACATTTCTTTAAGTCTCGTTTTTTTTTTTTTCCCTCTTTCTATCAATATGGATTTTTGTATATATCTTAACCATTTTATGCCAAAATTGTTCCGGAGTATGCCTAATGAGCCCCTTTTGGCTGGTCGGCTGCGTATGAAGGCTGTCCTGTTGTTGTTGTTGCTGTTACTGCTACTGCTGCTACTGCTGCTGCTGCTGCTGGCTAAGCTTCCATTTTTGGGTGCTTCTGTTATTTTTTTTTTTTTTTGTCACTGCCACCACAAAAAACAAAAAACTGCCGCCTTTTTTTTTTTTTTTTAATTCTCCCCTAACAACTTTTTTTTTTTTTTTTCTTTCACTACCACCACGCATTTTTTTTTTTTTTTTTTTTTTTTTTTCAAATCACAAAATACTCCATTCAATCTTCACCATCTCCACCATTTCAAACCTACAAATATACCCTATATTCCCGCAAAGTATATGCATCTTCTTATCTCTTCCTCTTCCTCCTTCTTTTGTTTACAGTAAAATATGGGAAACTCCTCCTCAAAACCCAAAGACAGAAAATCAAAGTCTTCCCGTAACTCGGTATCCTCCTCCTCCACCTCCTCCTCAAAACCTTCCTCGAAATCATCTAAACCATCAAAATCTGTTCCAGCAGGGACCTCGTCATCATCATCATCATCCGCAGCCCTCCCTTTCACTCGCTCCGACACAGTCGGCTCCCAAAAGTCTTTCCGATCGTTCCAGTCGCGCCATTCAGTGGCCGAGTCGTTCGTTTCTGCAGTCGACTCTCCTCAGCAACACTCCTCGGGAGGCTCCCGTCATGCGTCTTCAACCGCTTTACACAATATTGATGATAATGGTCCAGCAGCACATTCATCCACCACTGTCAATAGCACCGCTGCAACAACTCCTGCAGCCGCAGCAGGCATTGGAGGATCCACAGGTGCTGACGACTATTTCCAATACAACGGTGGTGGCACCTCTAGTGCGGGGTACTCGGTGCCTCTAACCCCGGGCCCCAGTATTCTTGCTCCTGTCAGCGGAATATCAACTCCAACCACGGTCGGCGTTTATACTACAGAAGGACTGCAAGACGCACTCAATGGCACCGGAACCGGTGCTGATGGTAATGATGGCGGTGACCCGATGCGACCAAGGTTACATAGACGTACATATTCAAGTAACAGTATTATCAATGGCGGAGTGGTTAACCTAAGCGCCCACAACTCATCAAGTAATTTAAGTGGTCAGCAACAACACGGTAACAATGGCTTGGAAGGTGGCAGTAGTAGTAGCATCAGCAACTCAGGCACAGGCACCATGGGAGGGGCCGCACCTGGCGAAGAAGTTAATGCAGCAACAGTGGCATCATCATCATCAGCAGTAACATCTTCATCAGATTTAACGGAACAAAACGGCAATAGCCAGCATGGCCATCATCACCATCATCATCATCATCATCACCAACAACAACAACAACAACAACATCAACATGAAACCAGCAATGAGGGCAGTAGCAGTGCTGAGCTGCCAGAAAATAGAAATGAGGAACTGCCAGTATCTAACGTCAATCCTCCTACCGATGGAGTCGATCCGAAGGACATTGAGCCTACGCATAACGATTCAACAACTTTATCAACAACTTCATTAAACACGTCACAATTGCATTCAGAGTCTACTTTAAAAAATACAAATGGGCATTCGCGTAACAATTCCACATCTTCCATCTCCACAGGTTCGTACCGACAAAAGGCGCAGCTGACAATCCCAATACCGCCCAATACGTTTGGGTCCAGCAATAATGGAGGAACACCATCTATTTCCCTTTCTCTACCCGGATCAGCGGCACAAACTCCTACAACCGAAAGCGATCCCATGGGTGGAGTGAAAAAGTCAACGTCAACACCTTCACTTAAAGGGTTGGCTCCTGGATCCATCAACATCCCGGGACAAAATAGTGGTGCGTTTTCCGGAAGCTATGGCTCGCTTAATTCCCCTGGGTCGCAGTTTGTGACGCCATTGTCATCGCCATTACCTCGAGAAAATAGTTTTGGAAGTGGAGCAACAACACCAACCGGTGGGATTCCCGTTGGTGGGGAATCCTCAAAGCGTAATAAACTTGGGTTACCTTCGTTTGGGTCCTCGAATGGAAGTAATGGGGGGACTCCTGGAAGCGCCGGGAGTGGTGGTGCTGGTGCCACAACACCTGGTGGTGGAGGGGGTCCCAATAATGCTAGCAATAGCGGGGGAGGGATCACACTAAACATTGATGAAGCCATTCAGCGGCTGCTTGACGCTGGGTACCGCGGGCGGACGTCGAAGCACGTTTGCTTGAAGAATAATGAAATTGCGTTAATTTGCCAAACTGCTCGGGAGATTTTCCTGTCTCAGCCAGTAGTGTTAGATCTGTCACCGCCAGTCAAGGTTGTGGGGGATGTGCATGGGCAGTACCCAGATTTGATTCGGTTGTTTGACATGTGTGGGTTCCCTCCCGCTGCCAACTACTTGTTTCTTGGAGACTATGTTGATCGAGGGAAGCAATCGCTGGAGACGATTCTGCTGCTTTTTTGCTACAAGATCAAGTACCCGGAAAACTTTTTCTTACTACGGGGGAATCACGAGTGTGCGAGTGTGACACGAGTTTATGGATTTTACGATGAGTGCAAGCGACGGACCAACATTAAGACATGGAAGATTTTTATTGATACATTCAATACACTACCAGTGGCAGCGATTATTGCACAAAAGATTTTCTGTGTACATGGTGGGTTATCACCCTCGCTGAATAATATGAACCAGCTGCGGTCGATTCAACGGCCAACAGATGTGCCTGACTTTGGGCTGCTGAATGACATTTTGTGGTCAGATCCTGCTGACACGGAGAATGAGTGGGAGGATAATGAACGCGGGGTGTCGTACTGTTTTAACAAGGTGGCCATTAACAAGTTTTTGGCCAAGTTTGGGTTTGACTTGGTGTGCCGGGCGCACATTGTTGTTGAGGACGGGTATGAGTTTTTTAATGAGCGCACTCTAGTGACTGTGTTTTCTGCACCCAACTACTGCGGCGAGTTTGACAATTGGGGGGCCGTCATGAGTGTTTCAGAAGACTTGTTGTGTTCGTTTGAGTTGTTGAAACCGCTCGACTCTGCAGCGCTGAGACAAGAGATGCAGCGGAGTCGACGTGAGCGCAAGCACAATGCATTGGCCGCGTCGTCCTCCTCTCTGGGCGGGCCCCAAAGTTTTTGAGAGAAGTGTATATTGAGTAAGATTTGTATTTTTTTTTTTTTTTTTTTTTTTGTTCTTCTTCTTCTTCTTCTTCTTATTCTTGTTGTTTGTATAATTTATAAGTTAATGTGTATAATAATTATCTATTGTTATTATTACTATTATTACTATTATTATTACTATTTTTACTATTATAATAGTAAAAATACTAATTAGTAGTATTATTATTATTATTTAATCTATAAAAAAAAAAACAGACTAATCTATCTGAACAAGACCGTCTTCCGGGTCGGGTGTAGAATAGAGGAGCCGACATACTTGAGCAAGAGGTAGGTCCCAAACACCGTCCGATGGTACAAACATGTAAGGACTGTTGAAATGAGGGGGGGGTGATTTGTGCGAGGGTAAGGGATTTCCCAGAGGCGTTGTGGTAGTGACGCTTGTACCTGTACCTGTAGAAGTAGAAGTAGAAGTAGAGGTAGAGGTAGAGGGGGGATCTTGGAGTACGTCACTTAACGGCGGCTGCGGCAGCTGCGGTAACTGCGGTAGATGCTGCTGCTGCGGTAGATGCTGCTGCTGCATCTGTGGTGGGTTAGGAGTTGCACGGGCAACAGTGGGAGGGTTGTTGCAACGGCGCGCGGACGGCACTGGCAACGATCTCGGCATAGCGGCATTGTTCTTGTCATCATCTTGCATTTGCAGGGTGTCGTCATAATCATTTGTATTGGGGATATCTAATTTTGTCACGATTCTAGCATGGGTATCAGTGACTGTGCACAGTTGAGAAACAGGTTTTGTAAGAATCTCAGTGTTGTACCCCCACAAAGCAACATAGGTATAAGCCACGGCAACCACAAGATAACAGGGGAAAGCTAGAGCCCACCAACGTGATGGGTAATAATAGATGTGGAGTGCGTAGAGGACTCCGCGAGGTAGAGCGGCCCATAAAAGGTATAGGAGTAGCACGAAAAGAGACCCCACGTGCAGTGCAAAACCAAAATATTCAGTCTCGGGGGGGACTGCGTCACCGCCTACAGTCACATCAGATTCCTTGGCTCGCCGGTCATCCGATGTAATGTCTAAAGCTGATGGTGTTGGTTGTGATAATTGTTGAGATTGTTGAGATTGTTGAGATTGTAAATGTGGTTGAAGAGGTTGTTGTGTATGATGGATGGGCATTTTATGTGAATTGAGTTTTGGAGGGGGGAATATGAAAATAGAGGAGAAGGGTTGAATGTTTAGTGTGTGTTGAGATGGTAGGTTAATGTTAAGTTACTCGGTAACTTAATTAAATTACCAAGATAGTATTATTGTTGTTGTTCAGTATGTTGTAAAAAAAAAAAAAATTAGTGGTAGTCAAAGTTAAGCATTTATTATTATTATTATTATTATTATTATTATTATTAAGAAAGAATTTAATTTTTCATCATTTTTTTGAAAAAAAAAAAAAAAAAAAAATTGCATTTAGCGGAAAAGAACCGGGGGTAGAAGAGAAGAAATACAAAACCCTCAACCCACACTTTATTATTAAGGTTAAAAGAAAAAAATTAAATTAAATTTTTTTTTTTTTTTTTTTGGGGCTGCTAATTCAACGCTGCATATATTTCTTTAATTTTAATTTAATTTAATTTAATTTAATTTAATTTAATTTAATTTAATTTAATTTAATTTAATTTAATTTAATTTAATTTAATTTAATAAAATAAAAATTATTATCGTGATATCATTAAAAAATTAACTGTTTTGAATTAATTTTACCAAAAAGAAATATCATAGTCTTGGCGATTCTTTCTTTTAGTAACTCGGACAACAAATAACAAATAACAATAATAACAATAATAATAATACCAATTTTCAACTTTCAAATTTCAAAAATTTCAATTTTCAAATAGCTGGATTAATACGGGATTACGGGATGGGAAATGTCAATAATTTTTTTTCTAATTTTTCTAATTTTTCTAATTTTTCTAATTTTTTTATTTATATATATAAATGTTTAAAAGGCTGTGTAACATGAAAATTACGCCAGCAGTCTTTAAGTTACGCTAGGATCCACTTTATTCCGAGGTCACCAAAAAAGGTATTACATACCTACCCACCATAGTATATTTTACTGTATGTTTTTTTTTTTTTTGCTTGGTAGAAATATTTTGGGCACGTTTTTTTGTTGGGTTTTTAAAGTGATGTGTGTATGTGTGTGTGTATAAATTTTTTTTTTTTTTTTTTTGTCGTGGCTTGTTTAGGGAGGGGGAAAAAAAGACAACTAAGATGACATAAGCAGTTATCAAACACACGCACATACATACATATATGTGTGTGTGTGTGTGTGTGTGTACAGAAAATAAAAAAAATTTGATCGGCCAAATGCGCCGGCGGGCTCTGGGTGAATGCTGACTTAAGAGCTGACCAATTGGTACGATTGTAATGGGTGCTTTGTGGGATAATAAAATAAAAAAAAAAAAATAGGGGATGGTTTGAATTGAAATAAATATTATTAGTTATAACTCAGATTTATTTAAAAATTAAAATAAAAAAAAAAAATAAAAAAAAAGAATTCTGGAAATGCCGGCCGGCTGCTGCACTTGCCAGTCTGTGGCGCACGCCGTTAAAATCAATTTTTTATTTAGAATTAAAAAAAAAAAAAAATGAATGACGGAACTTGACAGAAGAAGAAGAAGAAAAAAAAAAAAAAAAAAAAAAAAAAAAAAGGTAGAAAAGACTATTCGATCCTGGGATCCACTACTACTACTACTACTACTACTACTACTACCACCACTACTAGCCAGCCTCAGACGAGGTCAGCCAGCTAAAGCCAGCCAGCCAGCCAGCCAGAAGGTTGTGATTATAATAGTAAAAATCTGGGTTAGGGAGGAGGAGGAGGAGGAGGAGAGGGCTCAAGTGGGTACGCTTTTTATTATTATAATAATATAATTATTTAATTATCTATCTATCTATATATATATATATATGAGTAATAATAATAATAATAATAATAATTGAATATATAGAACAAAAGTATAGAAGAACAATAACAAGAAGAAGAAGAGGAAGAATTAGAAGAATTAGAAGAATTAGGAGAATTAGAAGGAGTACATAATATCTTACATAATCACATAGTCCTAACGAAATCCCCTCTTCTTCTTGTCCTTCTTATTCAGTTATTATTATTATTTTTTTTTTTTTATTTAAATACTCCAGAAAGACCTAATTTTTTTTTTTAATAATCAAGAATCGTCAATCAACCAGCAAATTAATTACTCTTCAACAAAAAAAAAAAACCATTCACTCGTTCAGTTATATCCTTAAAAAGAAATAAAAAAAAAAAATCTCATGTCACCTTAACAATTTTTTTTTTTTGTTACTCTTTCTCTTAATTTTTATTTTATATAATATCCCAAAATATATATATATAATCAACTCTTCTCAATCAAACCAAAGACCCTTATTCAACCAGATTCATGCAAATGTTGGTCCAGCCTACAGCCACCCAACCCCAAGGGCTTCTTCTTGCCACTAACCTTACCAACCACCCATCTTCTTCTTTATCATCATCATCATCATTACCTTCTTCTTCTTCTTCTTCTCCTCCTCCTTCCTCTTTATCATTGCCTAATCATCATTTAAATTCTACTCAAACAATGTCCCATCATCGCTCACATCACCATTCAATCCCAAGGAAACCTCTTTCACCTGCCTTATCTTCCCTTCTCTCATCAACAGCTATCCCTGTCAACAATCGTAACCACCGCAGAGGAAGTAGAATGACTACTTCTAGGCCTCGTTCACTTTCTTCTTCTTCTTCATGTTCCGCAGGCTCCGCAGGTTCTACAGGCTCCGCAGGTTCTTCTTCGGCTTCTTCTAAAACTCCTACCGATGAGAGTCTCTTGTTATTACTCTCGGCATCCTCCTCTTCACAATCAACAGCTTGCTGTTCCTCTTCTTCTTCTCTTTCTTCTTCAATCTCTAGTAGACGCTCATCATCATCTTCTAGTATATCTTCCACAACGGGAGTTTCTACTGCTACTGCTACTGCTACTGCTACTACTGCTGCTACTACTGCTGTCTCTTCCACTTCGCCGCCTAACGCCGCTACAATCCAAAGCACTCCACGTTTCCTCGGCAAGCCGTCGGAACACTCCAACTCTCACAACACCCGGTTGGAACTTCAACAACAGCTTCATGCTCAACAACAAAGGCAACACCAGCTGCGACAACAACAACTCCAGCGAGAACTTCAGTTCAAGCGCCAACAACGAAGACTTTTGGAAAAACTTTCCAACCCAGTCGTCTCGGAAGATGAGGGACTTAGACAACCCTTGTTTATGGACATGGATGAATATACTACAACTGCATCCACTACTTCCACAGTCTCAACCATAAGAGGCTTATCAAAAAGAAAATCAACTAAAAGAAAATGTTCACCTTCATCGCCGCTTCAGCAGCGATTCTGGAATTCCTCTTCATCATCTTCATCCTCATCGTCATCTAATAGCGGTCTAATTTTTGTAAATGATGACATGTCTCATTCAATCACTAGTGATGTTTGTGACTATGATGATGATGATGACGACGATGACGATGACGATGATGATGATGATGATGATGATGACGACGACGACGATGAAGATGACGATGAAGATGACAGTGATCACTGTTTCCCGTTATCGATGGCTCGTAAACCTCACCATGCATTTACTGTCCCTTCTGTTGCTTCTTCTCCTGAAGACTCTTGTTCCTCCTCCAGCACTCTGACGTCTGTTGTACCAAGTCGCTCAGATAATGAATCTTACAGTGGTAGCAATAGTAATAACAATAGTAGTCTCCCTGCGAGTCCACGAACAGAAACCATGCATAGAGCCTTTCGCCGGGTTTCTTCGCCATCTCCTGCGCGGTCGCGCTCTGTGTCTAGACGTGGAAGTATGGTGTTGTTACGACCCAGTGCGGTTGCTGGCTCGGCAGGCCCGACGCTGGCATCCGTTGACTCTGCTTCTCATCCTTTGGCTTCTCACTCATCTGTGAATCTTCCTGCTTCTGGTCACTCTTTGGATGCTGGCTACGATGCAGATGATGCAGCTACATCGTGCAATGAAGCTGTTGGAGGCACAACAGAGGCTGGTGAAGCCACGACGATTAAGAAACGGTCTGCACTTAAAAAGTTTAAGTCGTATCGTGCGTTTGTATCCAATTTGACGGCATCCATTAAGGCCATTTCCATGGTGGCTTCGTCGTTTTCATCCTCACAGCAGTCGCTATTATCATCCACAGATGTGTTTAAATTTAGTCCGCGTTCGACTGATGAACCCATTCCTGGTCGTACTGGACGGTTTGCTGCTGTGGGGCCTAGTCCTGGGCTTAAGCGGAGTACAAAGCCTAATAAGGAGCAGGATGGAAGTAAAGAGGTTAAGAAGGAGCAGAATGGGGATTTATCTAAAGGTGCTTCAAGCGAGGCTAATGCTACTACTACTTCTTCTTCTACTTCTTCTTCTACTACTACTTCTTCTACTTCTTCTACTTCTTCTTCTTCTACTGCTACTACTGCTACTACTTCTACTACTTCTACTAATCCTGAGACAGCCACAACCAAAATACTTGTGGCTGAGGCTGATCTTCCTCCCAAAGAGATTCCTCTTGAGACTTATAATGTCCAAGAGTATGTACTTCCTCCAGTTGCAAGAGGACGAGATTTCCGTGAGAATCCGGATTTTCTTCGCATTTATGCTCTTGAGTCACTGATGAAGAAGCATGGGAAGTTTGATCCGTCATTTCCAGGCAAGGCTCAACCTGCACTTATGCCTCGGGCAGATGATGTTCCACCTCCAGCCTGTGGGACTCCAGTTGTTGGAAATAATAATAATAATAATAATAACAACAACAACAATAGAGGATGCTACCCGGAAGCTTATAAGTATTTGTACACTGCTAACCACGGTCCACTTGTGCAGCCGTGCGCGAGTTTGCATTATGAGTGTGGTTTGAGTGGAGATGAGAGTGGCAATGGTAACAACAATAACAACAACAATAGTAGCACCACCAGCAATGACAAGAGCATACTGGCAATACTTGGGCGTAGCTTGTCTTCAGCGTCTATAACGAATACAATGACTACGACTACGGTGCGCAAAGTTCCATCACGATGGATTCCTTTGAGTATTGCTAATGATGATAATAATGATAATGAAACAACAACAACAACAACTAATGAAACTAATGAAGCTAATGAGTAAAATAATAAAAAAATAATAAATGTAAATTGTATTTTTAATAATAAAAATAATAAGAATTAAAGAATTTTAATTTGAAGGCTGAATGGATGATAATAATGATGATGATGTGGTCAGAAGGTGTTAGTTATTACGGGGAGGCGGGTGTTTTGTTTTGATGTTGAGAATTTTTTTTTTTTTTTTTTTTTTTTTTTTTTTTTCTTTTTGTCTTAGAATTAAAAAAAAAAAAAAAAAAACTTCTTTTGCCTACGAAAAGTGTTTTTTTTTATTTTATTTTATTTTATTTTGTACTGTAAATATATATATTAACTAACTTAAGAAATTAACAAACAAAACAACAAAACCATCCAAGAATATAAAAAATTTATTTATTTATTTATTAAATTAAGCCATTTTTTTATTTTTATTTTTATTTTTATTTTTATTTTTATTTTTATTTTTATTTTTATTTTTATTCTTCTTCTTTAGAAAAGGTATAATTCCGGGATTTTAACTTTTTTGGGTACTTTGCGGGGGGAGTGGTGCTAATGGTAATGGTGGTGGTGGTGGTGGAGGAATGGCGAGAACAAATTTTTTTTATATATAACAGCAGTTTTCAATTTTTTTATTTCAAACAAAAACAAAAACCGAGTTAGGCTTTTGGAGGGGGAGGGGAGGAAAGGAAAAAAAAAAAAAAAAGAGAAAAAGACCGCAAAAAAAAAAAAAAAAAAAAAAAAAAAAAAAAGACGTGTGACTATTTTTATTTATTTATTTAATTTAAAATAAAAAAAAGAAACATACATAATCTATTTAAATTCAGCATTCATTTTTATTTTTATTAAAATAATAATAATTATTATTATTTTAATAATATATATAATGTCAATTTGAAAAATAAAAAAAAATAAAAAAAAACATTTTTGTTAAAATCAGGTTTTTTTTTTATTTATTTATTTATTTTTTTATTTATTTATTTTTTTTTGACATTTCTATAAATTCTATAAATGCGTTATTGATATTCGGGCCGGGAATGGGTTTTTTATTTTATTTTATTTTTTGTAATAACTTTTAATAAATCAACAACAATTGATGATTAATGCATGGAAAAAAAAAAAAAAAAACGCCACGATTTGTAGTTGATTGAATTTTTATTTAAAGAATAAATAAATAAATAAATGAATGAATGAATGAATGAAAGAAAGAAAGAATGAATGAAAGAATGAAAGAATGAAAGCAATTGCAAATCCTTTTTTATTTTTTTCTATTCTAAAATAAAAATAATAAAAAAACAAAGGTTACTGTACAAAATATTAATATTAATAATAATAATAATAATAATAATATTCACAAGAGGACTTTTGATGATGATGATGATGATGATGATGATGATGATGATATCATAAGAACAGCACCTGGTGAGTTACAAGAAAGAGAAATTAAAAGTTATATATTTCAAATTCAAAATTCAAAATTCAAATCCAAGGTCATATGTTTATAAAAAAAAAAAAAGAAGAAAAAGAAGAAGAAGATCACGATCTATAATCTTGAAGAAGAATTATTTACATTGTAAGTATAACTTAATAACTTTAAAAAAAAAAAAAAATAACAAAAAAACTTAGATTTAAATTGCGGGGGGTAGAAGAGGAAACCAAAAAAAAAAGAAAGAAAGTAACATTAACTATTATTAAAAAAAATTTGTTAGTTAATAAAAAAATAATTATATAAAAAAAAGTTAATTAAACTTTTATTTTAAATTTTTTTTTTAAATTTTAATTTCATTTCATGGATACTTTTAGATTTACGCAAAAAAAAAAAAAAAAAAAAAAATATGCAAAATTATTTAATTCTAAAGTTTAGGACATCTCCATCAAATATATATCTCTTTTTCCACAATAGAACAAGACAAGAATCTTGGTTAAGTTCATTTACCGAAAGAAAGAAAGAAAGAAAGAAAGAAATAAAAAAAAAATAAATTGATTTCTATACTTTAAAAGTGATTTCTTCTTTTTCTTCTTCTTCCTTTTTCATTTTGTAGAAATATGTTTTTTTTATGACCACACACCGTTCCTCGTTTTCTTATATATATATATATAAAGATTTGTTAGACATGCACTGTTCTACATTTTTAATGTTATATATATTTAAAATCTAGAACATTGCCATTTGTGGACCCCTTTTTGTCAACTAAAAAAAAAAAAAAAAAAAAAAAAAAAAAACAATAGAAAAAATGGAAATGGGAGGCCTATTGGGTAACCGGTCATGACCGAAGTTAAAACAACAATAGAGAGAAGAACGAAAAGACAATAATAATAATAATAATATGTTTGAGCAAGAATTGAAAAAAAAAAAAAAAAAAAAGATTGTTTAACGATTGGTCATAAGTGATTTCTTGAGACTTAAGTAATAATAATAATAATAATAATAGTAAAAAATAAAAAAAAAATTAGGTGTGATAAATATCATCATTGCCTTTTTAAAAAAATTCATGACCACAGAGTTAAGAGGAAAAAATGGAAAGTTTACAACATGTGCTATATAGATTCAACCTGATGACAACAATAAAAAATGATTTAAACTGATTTAAAAAATCAACTGGATTATAGATCAACATTTGCTGTTAGTTAAAGATTTAGTCACATAGTTATGAACAATAACATTGCTTTGATATATATATATATATTATTATATACATATATTTTGTGGAGTATTTTTTTTTAAGTCTATTTTAAAGCTATTCAAATATATATGCAAAAGATCACAAGAGGTCATGGCTGCACAATATTTTTTCCAACAATTAACAAGCAGCCATTAATTTATCTCTTCTTTACCCCACCATTTCTTCTTGTTCTCTACAATTTCTTTAGTCAGGGTCATATCCTATCTTGGGTAATATTTTAGATTCTACTTTATTCTGTCCTATCCTGTTTCATTTTGATTTCAAGATTACCAGAAAGGGTATCATTATAACTCTCACACCATGCTTTTATTTCGATTTCGATTTGTTTTTGATTGTATTTTTTTTTTTTTTTTTTTTTTTGCAGTTTAAAAATTTAGTAGAACTAGAAATATATATACAAATGGATCTAATAACTTCCCGATAAAAAAAAAAAACTTGGCTTTTCTAATCAGCGATAAGTTTAAAAAAAGCTTTAATTTGACAGAAATAAGGAGGGCGAGAGAGAGAGAGAAAGATCATTTGTTCCACATATTAGGATATTTGTCTAATATGCATATATATATAGACACTTTCTCTCTCATTCAAAATTTCCTCTCAAAAGAACCAATCATTACATTAGAAATACTTAAAAGGGTAAAACAAGACATGATGAAGGATAATCAAAAAGGAATACAAACAAGATAAATAGAGGAAGCATGTTTAAAGCTAGCAAGAATGTGAGTGGATGGAATCTATTGATAGATTATAGTATGGTATCTATTGACTATAGGCATAAGCTAATTGATCAATCAAGAGGGTAAGAAAAAAACTATCAGTTGCCCTGTGGGGTATTATATATATATATATATATAATTTATCTTTAGTAATTCCTCGAATTAAAAGACACATATGAAGAAAGTATTTTGGTTACTATCATTACACTTAGAGTTATGGTAGTTATATATAATCAATGGAAGTAACATAAATGGAATCATCATCATAGAATAGAAAAATAACACATTGAAATGTATATGGACTTTATTGGTCCGATAATAATATAATAATATAAACATAACGAGGTAAAAGAGAACAACAATGAAACTTCGAGGCTTAAACATATATATGACATATTAAGAAACAATGAGACAATTGTTTAATGACCGAGGGGGAAAAAAAAAAAAAAAAAAAAAAAAAAAAGTGAAAGAAAAAAAAAATTTTATTTTTTATTTTTTATTTTTAAGATTACGGACAATAAAAAAAAAGTTCTTCAATAGAAGAGAATAAAAAAAATTTTTTTTTTTTCAAGATTTTTTTAAAAAATGATTAGAAATGTAAAAGAAGAAGATGATAATAGTATTACGTGGAAAAAAGTATTATAAGAACATGAAAAGTATATGAAAAGTATGAAAAAAAAAATTGTTGGAGGAGACCAAAAGAAAAAAAAAAAAAAAAAAAAAAAAGTGATCGTTAAGTGCAGGAGAAAGAGAAATAGAAGAGAGGAAAAAAAAAAAAAAAAAAAAAAAAAAAAAAAAAAAAAAAAAAAAAAAAAAAAAAGAAATTGAAAATAAGGAAAAAGAAAAATTCAATAATAAAATAATGAAATAATAGGATTAAAATAAAAAAAAAAAAAAAATTTTCATATTAAAAAGTTTATTCGGAAAAGATTTAATAATAATTAATTTGAAAAAAAAAAAAAAAAAAAAAAAAAAAAAAAACAAAATGATCAAAGCAAAAAAGGCAAAACAGAAGTTACCTGGAAATAAATAAATAAAAAATGAAAATAAAAATAAAAATAAAAATAAAACAAAAATGGCTAATAATGAAATTTTTTTTTTTTTTTCAAATTTTTTCAAATTTTTTCAAATTTTTTTTACTTTTCTTCCTTGTGATCAAAGTTTTGATGCAGAATTCGGAAGAGGTTATTTAAAGAAAAAAATAAAATAAAATAAAATATGAAAGCCGCAGAAACTAATTCAAGTTGATTTTTTAAAGACTTTTATAAATTAAATATTCATGTTCGAATCCTAGAAATAACAAAAATAACAAAAATAAAAAAGTTTACTTGTAATTTTATTAATTAATTATTATTATTATTATTTTTTTTTTTTTGTACCTGAGTTTATTTTTACGTGGGAGGGTAACTTTACACGGGGATTATGTGGAGACGAGTCATTTATTTGAATCATTTTTTTTTTTTTTTTTTTTTTTTTTTTTTTTTTTTTTTTGTTGAATCGCAAAGTGATACAAAAGGGAAAAAACCCCCCAGTTAAAAAAAAAAAAAAAATAAAAAAAGAAAAACTACTACAGAAGGTGTCATTTTGACATACAAAAAATACGATAGAGATAAGTTTTTAATTATATTTCAACAAAATCCTCTAAAATAAAAATAATAAAAAAAATAATAAAAAAAATATCATTCTCAACAGTTTCAGGGCTTGAAATACTTTTACCAATCACTTAATTACGTGCATAAAATAATTCCCCCCTTCTATTCTTGTTGTTGTTGTTGTTGTTGTTGTTGTTATTGATAAAATTTTGGTTTGTTCTCACGTACAAATAGATAACCGCTATCATTGACCAGAGAGAGAAAGAAAGAAAGAAAGAAAGAAAAAGAGAAATATATATTTGAAGCAATTGTGATGTACCTTTATCTTGACCCAGTCTTTACGAAAAAAAAATTAAAAAAATTATATCAAATCAATGGAATGATCAAATAATACCCACATGACAAAGCGATTCTTTATTCTCAAGAAAACAGAGAAAAAAAAAAGCCATTTTATTTATTTTTTATTTTTATTTTTTTGTCTCTTTTTCTCTCTCGCCATTTTTTTTTTTTTTTTTTTTTGATTCTTTTAAACATTCTACTTTAATTGAACTCTTAGCAAACTTAGAGTAAAAAAAAAATATTAGACAGTATATTTATATTAAAGATAGTCAATTACCATTGAATTGGGATTATTATAAGCTCGTTACAGTGAACTCTCTAGACAGTATATAGGCTTATTTTTTTTTTTTTTCATAAAAATAAAAAAAAAAAAAAAAAAGAACAGGGGTAATGAAAAAAAAAAAAACATTGAGTCGAGAAGGATTAATTCTAAAAATTTTTTAAAAAATTAGTGGTGGATTAAAGGTAGAAAATGATAATTTTTGTTTTAAAATACGAGATGATGATAATGATGAAAATTTTTTATTTTTACTTCATCCTTTCTCTATCTCTATCTCTATCTCTATCACTATCTCCCCCTTAAAAATGCCTTTTAAAATACTCAATTTGGAATATACATACCCTAAATAAGAAAAAAAAAAGTTAAAGTTTACAAAGTCTATTTACCCCAAAGTAAGAAACTCTCAAAAAAAAATATCATTTAAGGGGGGTTAAGAGAAAAAGAAAATGATGAACAAGATGGTTTGAAAAGAGACGACGAACTTACGAGTAAATTGTTAGATAAAAAAAAAAGAAGTTTTATTTATTTTATTTTTCATTTTTTTTTAAGCCAACTTGGAATAAGATTAACGTTCTTGAATCCATGAATACTTAAGAATATCCATAAAAAAAAAACTAAATTGAATACTCGGGACCAGAAGCCCGTTAATTGATAAAAATAGAGCGTTACACAGTTCCCGGATAAGAACGGTGTGAACGCGTATATACGCAAGTAATGTGCATCTAACCCATATGTCGCAATAAGACTGGTAGATTTTTTTTTTTTTTGTTGTATATCACGCAGGGTCAACTTGAGGGGAAGAGTGAGTGAGAGAGAGAGAGAAAAAAAAAAAAGAGGCGAAAAAAGAAGTTAGGAGAATATTCGGAGTGGTAAAATAATGAAATAATAATTCTGAATAAACGATATGATTTTGATTAATTTAGGATTTTGATTAACTTGAAAAATTTATATCATTATTACAAGTTTGAAAATTTGAAAGTCAATTGAGGAAGTTTGATCCAACAAGATACAAAACAAAAAAAAAAAAAAGAGAAATTTATCAAAAGAACAAAATAAAACGTGATTAAAGAAGATTGATAAAAAAAAAAAAAACCGTTATTTTTTATTTTTATTTTTATTTTTATTCTTAAATTTATTCATTTTTTTTATTTTTTTTTTTTTTCAATCTCAATTAGTTTTAACCGCGCTCATTCACACGATAATTGAATTCACTAGTCACTGAATGATATCCCCAGTTTTTTTTTTTTCTTTTTTTTTTTTTTTTTTAGTAGCCTATGATTCTCACATGAAGATTTTATTGAATTGAGTTTTTTTTTTTTTTTTTATAATTGTTATTTTCTTTGAAATTCGCAATCTTTTGGGTTTCTCTCTCTCTCTCTCTCTCATTCATCCATTCTCCACATTCCTTTTTTTTTATTTTATTTTTTTTTTAATAACGGTTGTTGAATTCATTGAATATATATTTATAACAACAACTTAGTTGGCGCGCCAAATGGAGCAGATATAGGTTTATCTTTACTCAATCTAGTAAACCCATGCGTTATCTGGCGGCAACAAGGAACAACACAACGGTTTTTTTTTTTTTTTTTTTCTTTTTTTTTCTTTTTTGTAAAAGGCAAAACGAGGCAACATCAAGATAAGCCAGGGCTACTAGTTTGGAATGCAAAAAAAATTTATTTTATAAATAAATAAATATTTTTTTTGTCACTAAAAATGAAAACAAATCAATTAAAATTTGTATATGATTTTATTTATTTATATAAAAATAATATAAAAAAAAAACTTGGGAACGGGGGGGTTTTTTTTATTATTTTTTTTTTTTTTTAAACTGGGGTAGTGTAAAAAATGGTGGTTTATCAGATGTCACGTGCGCATTAAATCTCTCAAATTCTTCAAATTCTTCAAATTCTTCAAATTCTTCAAATTCTTTTCTTTTTGTTTTGTTTTTTTTTTTCTTTTTTAGAATTAAATAAACCACCAATAAATTTTCAATCTTTTCTTTTTTTTTTTAAAAAAAAAAAGAAAAAAAACCCATTTTCAGTTATTGATTTGAATTTATTTTATTTTATTTTATTTTATTTTTTTATTTTTGGTTATAATTATAGACAACAAAATCAATCTTTGCTAGACACCTCCTCGTTAAGTTCACTTCAATAGAGTAGCTAAGCTCCATATATATATACAATACATCCAAAAACAGAAACCGAAACAGAAACAGAAACAAAAAAAGAAGAAGAAGAAGAAGAAAACGAGAGTCGCCAGCCGCCTTTAGACATGAATAATCTTCACAAGACATAAAAAAAAAAATAAAAAAAAAACATTCTTTAGAATAAGCGCTGAGGCTTCTATATAAATTTAACGTAGAACCATAAGCTTAGAGAAGAAGAAGAAAAAAGAAAGAAAAAAAAGAAGTTTGATTCTTTATAGTTTGGTGTTCTTCTTCTTCTTCTTCTCCTTCTTACTATTTCAATAATCAAACAATCTATATTTTATGAATTTTTATATATATTCATCTACTCAAAAGGAATTTTAATTTAAAGATCTTTTTTTTTTTTTTTTTTTTTTTTTTTTTTTTTTCTTTTTGGTTTCTTCATACCCCTTAATCATATCTTCATTCATTCATTCATTCATATGTTACTGTCTTCTTCTTCTTCTTCTTCATTTTTTTTCTTCCGCGGGTTGAATACACGTGAACCATATGATTTCTTCTGTTTTTTTTTGATGTTCTATTTATCCTAAAATATTTGGAACAAAAAAAAAAAATTATTTCTCTTTTTATAGAATAATCATCAATTGGTACATTTAGTACATTTAGTACATCTAGTATATCCAGATATGTAACTATCTCTATTGATATAATAAGTCTTTCCCCTATTTATATAAATAAATAAAAAAAAAAGATAATCTGTAGGATTTCCACTTTTTGGTACTAAAAAAGAATAGAGAGTAAAGATATTTGATGTTGAAAAAAAAAAAAAAAAAAAAAAAAAAAAAAAAAAAAATATCAGACCAAATTAATAAACAAAATTCTACTCCGCGGATTGGTCTGCCGAATCTTGTGATGTTTAACAAAAAAAAAATACATTTACATTTAATATTAGCGCTTATGAATTTCATTCATATGAATGAAATGTAAATTAATATATTAAAATGAATTAAATTATCAGAAAAAAAAAAGGATCTTTTGTAATATAATAATAAAAATAATAATATAAATAATAATAATAATAATAATATTTTCATTATTTTATAATTATTTTAATTATTATTATTAGCGAGCGCTTGCATTTCTGTTTCTGGGCAAAAAAAAATATGCTGCTTTAAACTGTCAAATCTGTGCTGCTTGCTTGTGCTACTACTGTAGTTTCTTCTATTTTTTTTTTTTTTTGCATATAAATAAAAATTATATTGTAGGAATTCCAGCCAACCGGTCTGCCAGCCACTTTCACACACACACACACACACACTGCGCCTAAATCTCCAATCTGTATGTGAGATATTAAAAATCAATACAATCACCACTACCACCAACATCCCTACAACTAAAAAAAAAAACCCTCCTTTAAACCTTTCCTTTCTCTCCCCCTTTTTATTTTATTTTTTTTTTTCCCCTTATTCATCTATCATTAACATTCTACAAATATCTTCATCTGCTCTTGTTAACAATGGCTTCTGTGCCCTGTCATGGACGCCGTTGATGCTCAATAGCCTCTAACACTATCTATTCCCCATCCATAATCAAATACATAAATCTTCCCCCCTCCCCCCTCCTAATAACATCTGCAAATCCCAACAAACTAATGTTAGGGAAACTCTTTGCAGGGTCCTCCCGGCACTCGGACCCTCAATCGTCTTCAACATCATTCAACAACTCTTCTCCAGAAACATCTCCTTACCAATCTTCAACATACCCTCTACACCCTTCTTCTTCTTCTTCTTCTTCTTCTTCTTCTTCTTCTTATCCAGCCCTCTTCTCTGTCATCGACGAAGCAGATACAAGAAACCTTCTTTACGGCACAACTTCCAATCTCGCAAACCTCGATGGTATCCGTGATATGCGCGTCGTCGTCATTTCTGACATGCACAAGGTTGATGCTCCATTTTACGACTCTCATGAACCATCTACTACCACCTCTTCATCTACTTCCTCTTCTATATCATCTTCCCGTAAACCTTCAGCCTCCTCTTTATCTTCATCTCCAGGAATTCACGCGTGGCCACACCATCAATCTTCACAATCTCACAACTATCATACTAGCAATACTAGCAATACTTTCAATAACCCATCAAATCAACGATATGCTCCTGAGATCCCAACATTCCGCGCTCTCCAGGACCGTGTTTTTGGATACTCTCAGATGAAGTACTCGGGACCAGTCACTAAACTCCATCCTTTACCTCTTTCGGAACCCTCTCCAACGCAACGATTCCAGAAACCCTTTTCTTCTTCTTCAACATCATCATCCTCTTCATCTTCTTCAAGTAGGCGACAAAATTTTGGCAGGCATCCACCACCGCCTGCTCCTGCTTCTTCTTTCCCTTCTCGCCAAAATAATGTCTGGTTGGTTTCTCGCATTTTTAGACTCACCAGATCAACAACTGGAACAACTGTCGCCACCCAACCAGAAGCCCTCCAGAAACAGGAAAGACAATCAGCCAGTGTCTCCGGCAGCATAAGCTCCTCAAGCTCATCTGAAAGTTCCTCTAGTACTAGCGATGTTAGCGACAGTAGTGCTAGTAGCACGGCCAGTGATGATAGTATGGTTCTTCAAGCCGTGGCAGCTGCAGCAGCTGCAGCCGCTGCTACTACTACTTCTACTACTACTTCTACTACTACTACTACCACTACCACTACAACATCTGACAAAACCTCCTCAAATACCTCACCCAAATCAATACCTCCACAACTTGCAAGTATACCTCCATCGCATATACCCGAACACCACACCCACGGCCCCACCATGTCTGACTACAACATTGCTATTTGTGTGTTTGTGACGGTTGCGGCGGATGCCCAAGTTAGTATTACAAATTACTGGGAGGAGCTTAGTGCGGCTCTCCTCCAGCTACAAAATGTGGTTTCCAAGGAACTTTACAATTCGCTACCCCTCCACTCCAGGGACTTTACCACTCTACAACAACAACAACAACAACAACAATTTTATCAACAAGAGTTCATGGATGGTGCCGCGCCTTGCGTTGCCGCTGTTCCTTATCCTCAACCACCGTGTACCCCGCTACAACCTTCGCGGCAGACTCCATTCCGCAGGTGTATGCCTGCAACAACAAAGTATCTCGTCGACTCTGCGCATATCCGCCATGCCGTGGACGTTTTTAAAAGTCGGTTCTTCACGGCTGTTCGTGAACCTCGAGTCATTTGTGGCCAACGCAAATGGCCTGAAATTCTTACTATTATTCGCTGGATCAAGTCTGCTTTTGGTGAAAAGTATGTTGTTTTGATAATCGTCTTACCGTCTTTTTAATTAATTTTTTTTTAACAACTTTTCTTTTTTTCTAGATTTTTATGCTCAATCATCTCTTCATTCATTCTCACCAATGTTGATCTTCTTACTCTTGACCGACGCTCCTTTGAAGCAACGGCTCTAGGAACTCCGCCAACTCGCACTGTCGTTGTAGGTGATCGTACAGCTGCATGCAAAGTCATTTTTCTGCTCAGCTCTCTCATCAATGATTCTTATAGCCAAGTTTACGACGAACAACTTAAGGAGCTTTCTGCACTAGTGCAAAATGATGATATGGACGACCGCAAGTCGGTTATTTCTTTTAAACCATGTTTCAATTCAAACTCCTCTTCAAGGAGAACTTCCACTCATTCAATCCAACCTTTAGCCAGTGGTACTGGCTGGGAAATCCCCAAACCTGCACAAATTAGTGTGGCTGAATCACCATCCTTTTGCACAATGTCTCACGTTATTCGGCCTTGCTTTTCCCCCAGCGCACTCTCTTCTTCAGTCTCGTCTTCTCTGGGGTACAATCTTGCAGGATCTTCTCCTTCATCATCTTCATCCTCGCGCTCTCGTGACAGCTTTTCCTTTAGCACTCTTAAAAGATCGCTTTCTAGTGCAGCCTCTTTAAACAGCGCGCTTTTCTCAAATATTTGGCCTACAAATCGCGTCAAACCATCATCATCTATATTGTCAACATCTTCATCATCCTCAACATCTTCGTCGTCTTCATCGTCTTCTACTTCAGCTTATAGATCAGGCAGCCAAACATCAGGATTTTACGATGACTTTATGTTCCACGGAACAGACGACACTGCACTTGGGTTTCAGGAAAACATTTACTCGGGAAGCAGCAGCAGCCTTGTTACTAGCTCCAATGGGTCTTTCTTTATTGGCGCAGGCGCCTCGACTGGAGGATCCGGGACTCCAATGGAATCCGCAACATCTTCTTTTACTGCTACTCCTGCTGCATCCAGCTCTCTCGGATTACACTCGCAAATCAATCGAGCCACTGATCGTACAGCCACTACATTGCCTCCGCTACGTGACTTTTCCTTGAATAGGCCAGGGAGCCTCAGTGGAAGCAGTAGTTCTAGTGGAAGCAGTAGCAACCGAAGTGGGAGCGTGGGTAGTACTGGAGGAAAAGTAGGAGGGCCAGATGTGAATGGGGCCAGCGGAAGTAGTAGCCGCCGAAGTAGTGGCAGCACTAGTAGTAGCAGTTCAGGGACAAAATCGCCAACGTCTCCATCAAATACACGGTCGTCATCTATTGATATGCTGGCACAAGAACTCTCCAACTCCTTATCGCTGAATAGTACGTCCTCATTTTTATCCATGCTTATGGATACAATTTCATATCCTGCCAATTCGTCACATGCGGCGCAACTTTCCACTTCTCAGGGCAATTCTACTACCACCAACCAGAATAGCAACAATTCATCTTCTTCAAAAACCTCTTCGGACCCCTTAGCATCTGTTTGTATAGGGCTGGCGTATGAGTACACGGAGATACCGGAAAAAAATGCAGCAGTGCTGGACATTGCTCCCTTGGACATGCTGGATTTTGCCAAGATGGTTGCACCACCGATTTTCGATCCTATTGTGCTGCCGCCAATTGTAGGCCACGTCTCAGAGTTCCATCCGGATTTCGCTCTCCAAGCGTGTCCGCCTGCTGTGGATATGGATACTAAAATCACTCAGGCTATGATGCAGGATTCGGCAGTGCCTATTCCTGTGAGAGAATCCACTGCAAAACGCGATAGTTTGCTTTACGGTGGGGCGATGGCAACAGCAGTAGCAGCAGCAGCAGCTGCTGCTGCGGCGGCGACGGCAGCTGCTGCAGCAGTGCCAGCGTCAGCGTCAACAACAACAACGACAACAGCATCATCATCATCTTCTGTATTGTCGTCGTCGTCGTTGTCCTCATTGGGGTCTGGGTCTGCAACTGCTGCAAATGCACACAAGCAGAGTCGAGCGGCTGCAGTTCCCTCTGGACGATCATTGCGGCCAGTAAGCACAAGCACAGTTGCGGCTTCTGCGACGTCCTCGCAGACTCTTTCCGCAAACTCTCCTGCATCTTCTTTTTCGACATCTTCGTCGCTGTCAACTTCAACCTCTGGGGCCATGGGATTTTCCGACCACGATTTGGGGAGCGATTTTGAGGAAAACCATACTCAATGTGAGTTCTCCAAGGAAGTTGAAAACAATGCCGAGGATACAGATGAAGACAACGACAATGATGACGATGACGAAGACGACGATGAAGAAGAAAAGGGTTCGGAGATTGTGTCCAAAACTTTGGTGATTGATCTCCATGCCATGGAAATTACCCAACATATGTTAGTGCGCGAATCAAGCGCCCATCAAACAATATACAGAAATAAGGTGTTTGCACGTGGGAGACCCGCGACGCCGGCGACTGCAGAAGCCACGAGTTCGGTAGAAGCACAGCTTGCGTTTTTGTTCCCGGAGACGGCCTCAACTCCTACTGGATCATCGTCTTCGTTGTCATCCTCATCCCGTGGGCGAGTGGGAGGTGCGGCTACAGCACCAAGCACAGGACCAACGACGTTAGCTTCCGGGTCGGCACCGCCTAGAGTTGTGGCACTTGGAGAAGCCATTGAGCAACTCAAGCGGTGCTATGATACGCGATTCAACTTGTATTTGAGTTAAATATATTAAGTTGATAAACGGTGATAAGGGGTTAATTCACAATGAAACCTTTAAATCATTTTATTTGATCTGTTTTAATTTGAATCCTTTGCTTTTTATTTTTTTTTTCCCTTGCTTCTTTTGATTTATTCATTATTCTTTAATTCTTTTGTTTTCTACAGTTTATAATCTTTGTTCTTATCTATAATCATATATATATATATTTTTTTTTTTTTGATAATTTTTGATAACTATTCTTGCATTCCTTTTTCATCAAAAAATATGAATCTGAGCTGTTTATAAAATTTTTGGAAGTAAAATAAAATAAAATAAAATAAAATAAAAATTGAGGTTTTTTATATCTTATTTTGGGAAAATATACTCAAAAATACTCAGATTTTTAAGTATCGCAAAAGTCTTAATTTTTTTTTTAGGAGAGTTGTGATTAGGTCCGGTCCAAAACCCGGTTGGTTGGCCGGGCTTTTCCATTCCCATCATCATATTTAAGTCTTTTAACGTGCAAAACACAAAAACATCAAAAACATCAAAAACATCAAAAACATCAAAAATATGAAAAAAAAAACAAAAAATTCCAAAATTTTTATTTTTTTAATTTTTTTAATTTCTTCTTTTAACTTTTTATTTTTATTTTCTTTTCATTAAAATTGAATTTCTTTTTGATTTATTTAATTTTTTTTTTTAATCAAAATATTGAACTTCCAACCTTTTTAAATACCACTTCAAATGGTCGCGACCCCCAATGTAACGCCCCCTCATCCATGGGCTGCAAGCAGACCGCAATACACAATTGATACAGGACGCTCCAGTGGCACCAGCACCGCCAACGGGTCCTCTGCATCTTCATCGTCAGCATTATCCCGCAAATCTGGCAGCAACACTAGCAACAGTACTACTAGCACAAACAATACAAACACTCTCAGTTATCAAGTACAACAAGCTCAAGTCCAAGCTCAACAAGAAGCTGCCGCTGCCAACGCGTACTTTGGAGCATTCGGTACTCCAACTCTTTCGCAACAACCTGATATCAAGAGAACAACAACAAATACAGGAACAGGAGATTCGACGACAGGAAACACCAACGTTGCGTCGACGCAGAATCATACTCAGAAACATCACCACCATCATCATCACCAACAACAACAACAACAACAACAGCAGCAGCAGCCATTAAGGTCCGGCTTAGGTTCTCAAACATTTAATATGAAAAATGGACGCGAAACTACTAGTGTGCCGTCGTCAACATCAAAATCAACATCAACATCAACATCAACATCAACTACCAACACTTCGAATACCGCAGAGAGTGTATCAACCAATTCTACAACTGATCCAACAGCAACGCGCGACCCCGCGTCGATCACGGGGTCTCTCACAGCACAACCCCCACATCCACATCAACGGCCTTCTTCAAGTCTTTCACAACAGCAGCAGCAGCAGCAACAACAACAATCAAGCTTGCGCGACGCCACGGGTTCCTCGCCAATAGATTCCCAGGGACCTCCCAAGAAAACGCGCTCCAAAAACTTTCTCCCCGGTGAGCGTGCGCTTCTCCTCAGAATCCTCGACATTGTTGCAGAGAGTGGCAGAGTTCCACCTCGCCAAGGGTTTGACTGGGACTACGTGGCTCGCGAGTTTAACCGCCGTAGACAACTTGGCGAAGGTCGTAGCACGATTCTTGCTAATGGTGTAGCTGGAGGTGCTGCTGCAAAACTTTCTGACGCAGCTGCAAGTGCGATTGAAAACGGGCCCATTGTGCTCCGCAGCGCTGTGTCCTTGCGACGGTTCTTTAACAGACTTAACCATAGAACACTTAAAGGAGGTGGCCTAGATACCGAAGAAGATGTCCAGCTTAGTTTTGCACATGCTGCAAAGTTATTGGCATGGGAAGAACGCAATAGAAAATCAACAGGGTTTGTATCGGAACCGCAACCGGAATTACAAACGGGTAATGAAGGAGGGTCTGGTCCTGGCATTCAACAAGATCAAGCAGAAAATCAACAACAACAACAACAACAACAGCAGCAGCAACAACAACAACAACAACATCATCATCATCATCTAAATGATGATAGCCCGACGAGCCCAAGAGCACCGGCCCTGGCAACTCCTCTTCGACGCAGAAGCTCGGCAGGACATCTTGCCCACATGGATCATGAAGCAGATGCCGACGCTGAGGATAATGATGACGACTTACATTCTAAGCATTCACATGTCCAGCGTAGCATTACAGGTGCCTCGGCTGTCACAGCTTCAGCTTCAGTTCCTGATCTTGGGTTTTCAAATCTGTTCAACGACGATGTTTACGGACCAATCGATATCCCACCACTCTCCCAAGGATACCCAATGCTAGACGGCATGTTCACGCCGCACTACCATGGAACTACAAGCGGGCGTGAAGGAACAGCTAGCGGCGGGCCTAATCATCGCAACAGCGGTATAAGCGGGCGTTCACAAGTTTCCTCATCTTCGCAACAACGCCGGCGAAGACGTCCCACAACTACCTCATCTACAGGTTACGACAGCGGGAGCCGCCGGAAATTACGGCGCATGACACGAGGACTTAGCCAGGACGGTACTGCCGAGTTTTTGAATTTCTCCGGAGGTATGCCATCGACCCCAGGCCCATTTATACACCTTGGTGGTGGTGGTGGAGGAGGAGGAGGCGGCGGTGCCACTGGTGTTCCTGGAGCTGCAGCTGCAGCTACCACTCCGGGACCGGGGTTTGGAATTGCGGGTGCCCCCACGGGAGACGCTAACGCAACAGGGAACACAGGTGCACCCACAGGTGCAACAACACCTGGTGGGGTAGGTACATCAGCTTCAGCAACCGCGTTTGTGGGTACCGGCACTGGAGGAATTTCGACGGCGGGGTTGCGCCCAGAAGATATGGTTGTGATGAAGGACCGGATGATTTTGCAGTTACACTCTACCATTTACTCCATGATTGCAGATCTTCGTGAAGCAACAGAACGAATCCAGCGACTTTCTGAAAATGAAGCGCGACTTGTTGCCCAAGAACAGCGTAGCCTCACGGAAATGCGAATGATGGAAGTTTCTCATCGTGAACAGATTCAGAGCTATGAGGAACGTATCCATGATCTACATCGCGAAAACAGTAAACTGCGACGACGCCATGCCCGTCAGCTTAAAAAACTTGCTAAATATATTCCTTCAAATGTGGCCCAACAACAAACCACCGTCACAGACTCGGCGCGGGCGCCAATCTCACCGGGACAGCAGCAACAAATGGATACCTCTATAAGTACAGCAACTCATAAAACAAACCGACTTGTATCTCCACCGCCTCTGCACATTTCATCGCCCGTTCTCGGAGTGTCTGGATTCACACATGCTATGCATGCAAATACAGGAACTTCCAATACCGGAACTAGTACTTTAGCACCAATGTCCTCTGTTACGCCTGCCATAACCGGAGTTTCTCTTGGGCGACTCAAAAAACCAACATCATCTACTACTGCTGCAAATTCAACACAGGCACAGGCAAAGTCTGTCAAACTACTAAGTCGCGATACCATCATTAAAGACACGTTTTTTCGGGACGCAAGCGGCAGCAGCAGTGACACTCATGGAGGACCATCTTCTGTATTTCCTAGTTCTTCTGCTCTTGCTGCATCCCAGTTCCCAGATGCTGCTCGCGCTGGAGCCTACCCAGACGCAAACAATAATGTGTTTGGGTTTGACAATGATGATGACGACGACGACGAAAGTCAGAGCAGTAGCAGCGATAATGATGCTGATGTTCGCCGGCCTGGTATCAACTTGGGGTACTCTCGAAATGGAGGAGGAGGAGGAGGTTCTGGACCTTCTACAGCGTACGTGCCACCTGTGCCTGCAGTTGGACCAGCATTGACAGAGGTTGCCCCGCCACAAGCACGCAAAATGGTGGAAAGTAGTAGTAGCAGTAGCAGTGATGAGGAAAGTAATGGGGCAAGTGTAATGATTAAGCAGATTTTGAAGAAGAAGCCGGAAACCAATAAAAGTTGAGGTCGTTTTTTTTTTTTTTTAATTTTTTTTTTAGTTTTTTTTTAATTTTTTTAATTTTTAATTTTTAATTTTTAATCTTTAATTTTTTTGAATATAATTCACAGAATTTTTGTTTTATGAACAAACTTATATCTTCAACTTTTAAACAATATATATAAAACTGATGGTTGAGATGAATTTATATTAAGCATTGAGAGCTTAAAAATGTGAAAATAAAAGAAGTCCAATATCTCTTGTAAACTCTTCACAATCATCATTTTTCTTTTTCTTTTTCACCATGCCTAAAATCCTGCCCTCCACTCAATTTTTTTCTTGGTTTTAAATCATCAGTTCGTTATAAAAAACCTAATAAGCTCAAGCAATGGGTCCTCGCCTCATTTATTTCGGGATCTACAAACCGTACTTTGCTTTATATTGAAGACCAAAGAACTCCATTAATTTCCAAATTTGATCTTTCTGATTAACTCAGGAATTTGGGTTTCAATCATAGTTATCCTTAGGACCCAGAAAAGTCCCTAGGATGGCATCACACTGTGTACAAGGGGTTGCGTGAATGATAACGGACAAGTACAAGGCCAAAGAGAGATATATATTCAATGCTTGGTTAAAATGAAAGCCTGATTTTGTATGTTTGTATGTGGCAAAATAAGACTAAGAGAAACTTTTGGTAACTGTAAAAAAATCTGAGTAAATTCAATCAAATATTTGATTTAGTAACAGGAAGGTTATTTTTTTCTCAGTTGTTAAAAGACAACTTCTAATTAATTATAATTGAACTTGTGTTATATTCATTAATTGCTTTTGGGCATCATGCCAATAATTTCTGGTGTTATTATCACCCACTGTTCTTTTAAGTTAGTTTTAAAAGAGAGCTCAATTTTGAGCACAAATTCTTTACAAAGTCTTATTGATTAAAGATATTCAAAAAGATGTTATAATTTTTGAACAATATCAAGCAGTTAAAGTAAAGGCTGATGTCCTAGCAATATCTGAATTGCTATCTCTAATTTTGAGCTTCCCTTTTGAAACCAAAGCAAAAAAATCAAATTGAATTGAATGATATTGCGCAAACGTACAAAAATAAGTTATTCCCTGTTACTAAAGAAATAAAGCGAATAAATAGTTTTATAAACCAATAAACAAATCCATGTTTGAGAGCAAGAAAGTTGATTTATTGGGGGGTTTTTAGAGACTCGGAGTATTGCAAATAGAATCTTGATAAAATAAAACTTCAACAAAGGTAACGAAAATTTTCTTGAAATACTGGAATGAGTTTTTGAATACAGGTTGAGATATTTATTTTAAGGAACAAAATCAGATCATTCAGCAGATTACAGATATACATTGATCATTTTGGTTGAAATGTCACAAAACAACAGCTTGTAAAAATCCCCTAGTGAACACCCTTTACAGATTTGGTATTCCAGGCATACAATGGGTTCACAGACTTATAGTATAAGGTATCACCAAAATGAGGGACAACTAGATGGTATTAATAAAATAACCATATAAGGTATTCCGTTTGAAGTACTCAAAAGGCTTCAATTGAGATAGAGAGAGAGAGAGAGAGAGAGAGAGAGAGAGAGAGAGAGAGAGAGTGTGTGTGTGTGATCCTGTAAATAACACAAGATATTTCTATTATCAACTTGTTAGTTTTTAAACTTTGCTTTAACCAAGGGGTTGATAGAAAGTTTCTTGGTTGTAAATTACTCATTGTTAACTTTGATTTATTTTTCTTAAAATGCTATTTTTAACTGAACCAAGTTTGATTCACATCACCTATAAATTTTAAAGTGTAAAGATGATTTAATGTATCAAGCTAGGTACCCAATGATAAAACAAAAAAAATTGCTAGTTGAGAATTTTGTTAGCTGTTATAAAACCTTCAGGTATCAATCTCATGCATTTTATCTTTTTTTATTTTAGTGAATTAATGAAAACATTAAAAAAAAAAAAAGAACATATTGACAAAATAGCCATCTAACGATGAGTTGGGAAGTATTTTTTCGAAACATTAAATCTTTTTTAAAAAATCATGTATTTCCATCAAAAAAATTTGTATTTTCTTCAAAAAAAAATTTCAAATAAAAATATAAAAAAAATATTGCTTCAACAACCAATTGAGCTTTTAAGATATAATTATAATGAAAACGGTGTTGCTGAGTTCAATTCTCAAATTTTTAAATATTACGAATTTCCAACTAAAACTCCAGTCAGATTACAAAAAGGATATTTAAAAGACTCAAATTTATCAAGAATATTGGCTAAACCAGTAAATTATGAGCAAAATGAAATAAAAACTCTTCAAAAATCAATTATTTTCTATGAACGACATCAAAAAACTAGGATCAAAGCCGATATTATAGCTTCTCATAGTATTTTGCGTCGCATATTTAGTTTTCCATTTGAAAAACAAAGTAAGAGAAAATCAGTGTTAAATTTAATTGTGCAAATGTATAAAAACCAGCTGTTCATAATTGAAGAAGTCGATCATAAAAAAGAACTAAATTTTTACGAAACCAAATATAAATATCTTTTGGCTTGTTTTCAACAGTTACTTACAAAAAATAGTTCTCATTTAAAACCATTAATCAAATCGCAGATGTGTCAACAAGAGAGTTTATTTTTAGGGAGTGTAGATAATCTGAAGGTTTTGCAAACGGCACCGACTAATTATATTGAAAAATCAAAAAAAAAGGCAATTATCACCTGGAACCAAACAAATCACAAGGTATTTATAAAAGTATTAGCTCAAACGTTCCATCTGGCTACGGGTATACTTCAATGGCATTAGTTGAGGTGGATAGATTTCAGAAAAAGTATTCGTCATTCACAAAAAGACTTATCAGACTATGGTTTTATGGATTTAGTGTCGGATCTGCAACTTGTCATGTTGGAGGTTATACGGGTGATAGAGTGGTTTTTCTAATCAAAAATCATCAAACAACAAAACTTCCAACCTTCAAAACGTCTTTGAAAAGTTTCCCAAATCTAAGAATTACACAAGAATGGAGTCCAGAGTCTTGTCTTTCATTTTATTATAGAAACTTGAAATCAATGATTGAATCAGTTGAGAAGTATAAAACGGAAGACCCCAATTTGTTTAGAATTAGTATTTCTAGAAGAAAGGACGATGAATGTACTATAACGATTACCGACTATCCTTCCAAAAAAGAACTTGTGACATCAGAATTCAAAAAGTGGAGATCAAAAAATTCTTAACTTGGTATTTAAAATATTAACATATAAGGTATATATTTGTCCTATAAAGGATTGCTGCGGCTTTTATTAAAATTGCCTATTTAATGGGGGTAGATTTTTGTAATACTTTTTTTCTAAATAATATCAAGTTTAAAATATATATATTTTATTATTATTATTATTATTATTAAAATAATAATAATTAATACCTCCCAAATGTCATATTGGTATTGAAAAAGGTATTGAAGAGCCACAAACTCCGAGTGGAAACTTCTGGGAATGATGTTGCAAAAAAAAACAAAACATTTCGACCATGTAATTAGTTAATAATCATTAGTCATCAATAAATTTCTGCGGCTCAAACATCAACCTTGATTTAATTTGCGGTTCCAGCAAACTTCAATGTGCGTGGGGGGAGAAGTTCAAACAAGCAGGAAACTCTGTTGAATGAAGTGCACTATTTCGTGTGATTTAAGTTGTATATTTATCTTTAAAATCAATTTTTGCTAGAAATACCTTATATATATATGTTTTTAATGGCGCGATAATTCTCTGCGATAATAATAATTATTATTATCATTATAATACTGGAGAATTGTCTGCAGGTTTAGGTCCACCTATCATCAAAAGACTGCCTGAACCCCTTATTTTTCCCTTTTTCCCAACTCTTCTTTCTATTCTTTTTAGATATCCCAAATCTCAGTGTTTCGTCACTGTTATATCATCGAAACCCTAATAGACATACTTGCAGAATGAATTTCGAATCTGCTAGGTCAAATGCTGATGATACTAATAGCTGCAGCTCAATTCAAACAGGCTTGAGTATCGACGAAGAAAGCGAATCAACAATATTCTTGCCAGTTACGAACGAAGTAGGTTCGTCTAGTTCTACCGGACTTTTATTTTCCGACATTGAAAAAATGCAGGATAAGACGCGGGTGGCAGGTGCCTCCCCTATCACCAAATGTGGTAGTGCAGAAGATAGTAGTGCTACCAGTAATAGCAGTGATAATGATGACAAAGACGCGAAAAAAGATCCTGGTAGGACCCTGCTCAAAAACTTTACCCTCCCCACCATTAAAAAACCTTCAAAATCACAAAACAGGGTTCTATTGCGCCGTATACAGAGAGGTGCTCCGTATTACTATCGAGCTTCTAAGGCTTCTAGGGCTTCTAAGCTAGAGAATCAAAAACAAAATTTGATGGTCGATACCGAGCAAGTTCAGCGACTCTATGAAGCTTTGCGCTCCATTGAGAATGCTCAATCAGAGAACCCAGTAACACAACCACATTCACATACTCTGGCAGTCTCTGCCCCTCCTCCACATGTACAACTAAAACCTTTAGGGGATCCTCTTTCAAAATCATCCTCATCACTGGTTGATTTAGATGTGAAGCGCGACAAAACATTCGAGGCGTCCTCCGCGGCAATAACAGACGAGCCCATACCGCGACCCAAATCTCACCAAAGCCACGCAGACCAAGATGAAAAGCGAGTTTCATCCGCTCCGTCAAATCTCTCAGAAACTAAATTAGTAACTTGTAAATCTGGAAACAATGCATCGACACAATCTCTGACGCTATGGAAATATCTCTTACTAGAGCTCGGCTCACAAAACACGCATGTGTCTTCCGAAGAAAAAACCGAACAATTGGGAAACTTCATACGGCTTCCCTTTTATCTTGAACGAGTAATAATTTTTGGTTCACTGGCATGTTTCGATTCATTTCTATATATATTCACTATATTGCCACTGCGGTTCTGCTACGCTATAATACACTTGTTTCTGCGGATGTTTCGACTCAAAAAACAAAAGATTCCGCTTACTCGCAAAATAGATATTATCAAGGGCATTGTTTTCCTTGCAGTTTTATATCTACTAATGCAGCTTGACACCAGTAAGATATATCACGGAATACGTGGCCAATCAGCCATCAAGCTTTATGTCATGTTCAATGTCTTGGAGATTGCTGATAAGCTTTGTTCAGCACTGGGAATAGATATTCTTGACTGCCTTTTTTCTGCAAATACCCTAGACATTGGTTACTCAAAGTCCTACATATTATTTCTTGTCCGCCTTATTTTTTTTACACTCGTGGCAACTTTTTACGTTTACATTCACTCAAATATCATTCTTTACCAAATCATCAGCTTAAATGTGGCTGTTAATTCATATTCCAACGCATTATTAACCCTACTACTTTCAAACCAATTCAGCGAAATTAAGTCAACTGTCTTTAAAAAGTTTGAGCGCGAAAATTTGTTTCAGTTGACATGTGCCGATGTGGCTGAGCGGTTCCAAATAACTATAATGATGCTGGTTATAGGGCTCCGCAATATCGTCGAGGTCAGCAGCACAGGACTGGTGCCGCGGTCGTGGTCTGGTTGGAACCGATGGCTGGGTGCAATAATGGGACCCATGATCGTTGTTGTTGGGAGCGAGGTGTGTGTTGACTGGCTCAAGCATGCCTACATTGCCAAATTTAACAATATTCGCCCTCGTGTTTATCGAAAATTTTTGGATGTTTTAGTTTATGATTATTCTGATGATGCATTCTCAGATCAAATAATGACAAAGCGAATTGGAATACCAATCATACCACTAGCTTCCGTGTTTTTACGAATGCTTTTACAGTCATACTCTATTTTGGTAGAGTATCAGCAGTCTACTCTAGTTACATCATCATCATCATCGACTGGATCCACTACAGCGTCTTTCTTACCAACTTGCTCTATCACATCTTTAGCAAATTCAATCATTTTAAACGAAACACGCAAAGTCAATGGCGACGTTAGTACAAACCTCTCATTTTCGCCTATTGCTACGTCTCTTTCTTCTGCAAGTTCTTTAATGAACTTCCCACATTCCTCTTCTTCTGCATACCAACAGTCAAACTCTACCTGGATCGACACCATCAATGCATTCTTTATCACGATGGTTCCATATTACTTTGAAAAGTTCACCCAGCCTTCATACTATACATGCTTATACTCATCGTTCCGCAATACCCTCTCTTCATGCATGCCGGACTCAGCTGACTCTTTTTATGCTACTGCAACCATGGTGCTTATTGTTGCCATTAGTTTCATTCTTCTTTTCACAATAAAACTACTGCTTGGCCTTTTTTTACTTCAGTATACTTCCAAAAGACGAGCTATTGTTCTTGCAAAATCAAGCAAGCCCACAACTTTACCGCCCATTAATACCAATCCTTCTATTTCCCACCATCCTTCTTTGGTTACATCCACGCCTTTGCATTCAGCAGGAGTTCCTTCTGCAACTAATAATATTAATTTTCAAATACCTCCGGCTCCATTGACTGTACCAACAACACCAACAGCTACCACGCGGACCCGATCCTCTTCGCAGGTGATTCATGGCAGTAGGCGACATTCAATTTCACGAAGCTCAGTCAGTGCAGGAGTGTCGGCTACTGTTTCGCAAGTCTCAAACACAGTGCCCAAGCAGTATCCGATTATTACACTGCCAGTTTCTAATCCACCTTCAACTTCTGGCTCTTCTGGAGGCGCAACACTGGTTTCAGCAAGAAGTGGCAGTGCCTCATCTGGAGTTGGAATCGAAGGGTACGAGTCGGACGAATCGGACCATGTTCCTGGCCCTATTAAAGGTCAAGGTCTTGTTGAGGTAAACGAAACGGTTAGAGAACGCATGTATGCACCAGATGAGCCAGTTCCTCCACCAAAGCCACGCAAAACATATATAAAAGATTTTAAAGATCTGTGCAAGATTCAACGTTTTAAAATGACAGCCAAGCAAATCTGGTAGTTTTTTTCTCATAGGTTTATCTAAAAAATATTTCTCTTTATTTTTTTGTTTGAAAATATTTACATGCATTAGTATTTACAAAAAAAATTAAGTCGTATATGTTTTCCAATTAAAAAAGTCGTTTCGTCATCACTAAAAAAAAGTTCGTGTCGCATATTTTCGTTTTGCATTTAAGCACTGAAAGAAGAAGCCTTGTTAGGAAGCTTAACAAACACCTTTGACGACTTTTCAGCCGCTTTCTTGGAAGCTTGTCTCTCCAGAGCTGAAATCAAAAGTCTCTGGGCAGTTCTAGGCTGCTTCAGTCTCGCACACATGTAAATAACAGCAGTCAAAAGGGCCAAAGCACCGGCCTGGTGAGCAGCAGCAAGAGGGGTGGGTACAACGTAAATAAGAGTGGAGATACCCAAAGTGACTTGCAGGGTAACCAAACCCATGACAGCTGAGTTGGCGCGGAAGACGGATCGAGGGAGGAAAGGTCTCTTTCTGTGTGTATAAAGGTGGAAAGCAGTAATCAAGAAAAAAGTAGAAACAGCGAGGACTCTGTGGTTGAATTGAACAGTGGTAGGGTTCTCAAGCATGTTTCTCCAGAAAAGCGACCACGAAGACTCGGGGTTCTGCTTGTTGTAAGACTCATTGAAGAGCTCAGACTTGGGTGGGACAATGGTCTCGCCCATGTATGGGAAAGAGTTGTAAATCATACCAGCGTCAAGACCGGCGACAAAGGCACCAGACATGGCGGTCAAAAAGACAAAGGCAAAGAGGCCCTTTCCAAAAGAGCGGTATCTTCTAATAGCAGGGTTATCGAGCTTGGTAATTTCCTTAACAGCAGCTTCAGGTGCCTTGATCCATTGAGCCTCACGGATGATGTCAAGACCAGTAAAAAGCATTGCAGAGTAAAGGATAAAGGCAGCGCAGAGATGGGTAGCAAGTCTATACTGAGAGACACGGGGGTGGGAGCCAGGCTCTTCGAGGAACTTGTTGTCCAAGCCAGACTTAACCATCCACCAGCCAATAAAACCTTGGAGACCGAGAAGAGCAGAGATGATACCAATTCTACCAGTAACGTGGGGAGTAACCTTACGAGCTAGAACAAAGTAGGCGGCAGGAAGAACAATATAAAGACCAATGGCACGGCCCCAGAGTCTGTGAGCCCATTCCATAAAGAAGATGAACTTGAACTCAGGGAGTGTGATATTGGAGTTGAGAAGTTTGAATTCAGGAGAACTCTTGTACTTTTCAAACTCTTCTTCCCATTCTTGTTCAGTACGAGGAGGAACAGAACCAGTAACAGGCTTCCATTCGGTGATACTCAGACCAGACTCAGTGAGACGAGTAAGACCACCAAGAACCACAATACCAAAGACAAGACCAGAACCAAAGATGAGCCAATAACCAACAGGTTTCCATGTGTTAACTGGTCTACGCTTAGTAGTCTTGATAAGAGGGTTTTCTGTATATGCCTTGGCAACTTGCTGAGCTGCATTCAGCATTTCTTGGTTGGATGGAGAAGTTGCAGACCGTCTTTGAGGGGCAGTTGAAAACAGACGTCTGGTGGAAGTGTTTAGAAAATTGTTACGAGAACTAGATGTGGAAAATTGTCTTTTAGCAAAAGATGAATATGCTGAGAAGCCGACATTCGACTTTGGAATAGCAGAAGAAGTTCCAAGGAATGGAAGGGTTTTAGCTAAAGACTTTGCGGCAGACTTTGATACTGAGCAGGGCTTTACCAGTAACTGGGACCGGCAAGACTTTGCAGCCGCAGTTATGGCAAAGTTCCCCGAAAAGAAGAATTGTGAGCGGGCCAGAGAAGAAGCCATTCTGGATTCAATAAGTGGCTATAAGATCCAGAGAATATGAAGAAAAAGACGAACTTGAAGAATAGGGAGAGAAAGAAAAGAAGAAATGACTTTTTTTTTTTTCTTTTGAAAGCCTTATATTTTTTTTTTTTCATCCCGAACGGGTTATGCTGAGGAAATGAAATCACCTTATTCGATGATCATTTTGGTGAGAAACAAAGGTGTTGCATGTTATGTCAGATTATATAAGATTTTATTACATATTTGTTACTTTATTCACGTGATTAGCATGTGACTTGATTCTTTGGCCACGTCCTCACCAACAATTGGCTTCCATTTTTTTTTTTTTCACCACCGCATACAAGAGATAGAGAGGCTCCTCCAACTTAATATCGCACTTTCCTCCTCTTATATAAACAAAACATTAACAGTTTGCTCCTTAATATTAAAAAAAAATGTCCAAGTTCCCATCGATAGAAGAAATTGATCAAGACATTGATATTCCCACCTCCAGCTCGGCTGCTCCCGATTCTGGCGACTTTATTGACTTTTCAAACGAAGATGCCAGCGCCCCAGCTCCCGATGATTTTCTGACGCGCGAAAAGGCTCTGCTTGGTGATGATGCCAAGGAGTTTGAGACCAGCGACGATGCAAAAGTCAAGAGTGCTCCTGATGAGATTTCTGAATTTAAGGCATCTTTCCCCGCGTTAGACACCACTGCTCCTACTACCACCACTTCTAATACCACCACAGACGCGCCTGAAGATGCTTCGTCGAGCGGGATCTCCTCGGGCGTCAAATCGCTGTCTCTGGAAGACTCACAGGCTATCAAAGAGTGGAGAGAACGTCAGGCTCTTGAGATTCAGCGCCGTGACCAGCTTAGCGAGACCAAGCGCCAGGAAACACGCGAGGCTGCTAAGGCCAATATTGATGACTTTTACGAGAATTACGCTAACAAGAAGGATTCTCTCATTGAGAAGGTGCGCGCTGAGGAGAAGACTTTTATTGATGAGCGCGACAACAGCGTTGTTGGTACCACCTGGGACAGAATTGCAAAGCTCATCGATACCTCCAACAAGGGTGCCAAGTCTGAGATTAGCGACAAGTCTAGATTTAGAGATGTTCTTTTATCTCTCAAGGGCAATCCTGATGCCCCTGGTGCTGCTGGTTACTAGAGATGTATGACGGTTGATTTTAAATATAATTTAATCTAAAATGAAAAAAATAAAAATAAAAATAAAAAAATAATTGGCAATTGATAAAATGAAATAAAATAAAATAAAATAGTTCTAAACTTTTTTTTTGAAATTTCATTTTTCACTTTAATGTTCATTTTGCGACCTTTACGAATATAGGCGTTGAAATATATGGTTACTATATCTAAGATATTTAGCTGTTATTAATGCTTTAACTTCACTCGACTGCTTAATTCATTTAAATTTTTTTTTCTTTTTGAGTCAATTAATTTCAACTAAATATAAATATTGACACATTGAACTAACATTCGCTTAATTACTTTTATTTTTTATTTATTTTTTTTCTTCTATAACTCAAATGAAATCTGTATTTGTGACCACTGGAGCAACTGTTCCATTTGTTCCCCTTATCGAACTGTTCCTTGATGACGATATTTTAAACAGCTTAATCAATCATGGATTTTCTAAACTGGTCGTTCAGTATGGCAATGCACCCCAGGATCTTGTTGATAAACTGATGGCCAAAAACAAAACCTTTAACCCCAGGCTCGAAATATCAGGGTTTACATTCAAGAAAGAATTCATTGAAGAAATTAACAAGCACGATTTGGTTATTTCTCATGCTGGTAAGTAAAAATCTTTGTTCCTAACAAAAAAAAAAAACAAAAACAAAAAACAACTCTAACAGCCACCTAAAGGAACTGGCTCAATTTTGGATGCCGCGCGACAAAACAAGCCACTAATCGTAGTCGTTAACCCCGCGCTCATGGACAACCACCAGCTGCAAATTGCCACTGCACTTTCAGATAAAAACCATCTGATTAGTTGTCCCAAACCAGACAAGGATTTACTTCTTGCTGCGCTGAATGAGACCCTTCCTACATATGAGTTTGAAAGACTTCCTCCTCCCAATGGTGAGGCATTTTCTAAACTAGTATACGCGAGAGCTGGTCTGGTCCCAAAAAAGGACTAAAGATTCAAATATATATAAAAACAAATCCCCATATTAATATTTCATCATTTACATCATAACTTCGTAGCGGTTTACTCATCATTATTATTATCATCATCATTATCTTTACTCTTTGCATCGGTCAACGATACTGCAGTCTTGTTCAAAGGATCAGAAAAGGTACCCGTCGAGATCCAGCTCAGAACCTTTCTCACCACAGGCCCGGACACAGACCCAGGGCTCAGCTCAAAGAGCGACATTATGACGCCAAACGATAGGGCAAAAATGTAGACGTCGCCATTGCGAACAGGTCGTACACGCTTCTCCTTAACCAATACGCGCCAATATGATAGAATGGCGGCACGGACAGCGTACATGTACCGGCCACGCCCGGATACCTTGTCGAAAATGGCCCAAAGACCAGACAAAAAGCCAATGACTTTGTAGCGGTACACGGGAATAAAACGGTTTGATAGAATGGACTGAGCAAACTCAATTCCAGCCCACGAAGAAGCTGTCGTCATCACAATAAATGTCGTTGTACGCCATGTGTTAAAAATAGTTGCAAGCAGCAATCGCAGCTGCGAAATAGCTCGTGAAGAAGTTGATTCTTCAGAGTCACAAAACTCTTCTTTATTGCTTTTGGGTTCTACCTTGGCCACGGCTCTCTTGATAAAAAAACTTTTAAAAAGGTAAAGAAGAAAGACGTACTTCCCAATTGCTGTATACTGCTTTAGGACGATATTTGCCAAAGCTCTAAATTGAGAAGGTTCTGAGGGATGTAGAAGAGCACCTGTAATAGTGCTAATTGCTGGATGAGCACGGATTACCACAGGCTTAACTGATTCCAAGTAATTTGGCAGCGTCGCTGTATCTGGGAACATAAGGGGTGATGTGAACTTGGGGTAGTGAGCCCGCGACAACTTGGCAATGCTATCTACAAGTTGTGCTTGGGTAGGCCAAGGGGCTTTACGGGGATATCCAGTAGGTGGTGATGTGCAAAAGTCTTTTGAAAGAAGAAACAAGGTCGAATTGACCATGTTTGGGTTTGCATCTCTATTAAAGAAAAAGGCATGGAAGAGTTGTGCGTATGCAAAGGGGAATAAGGCCCATGAGCCAATGATTTTGGGTTTTTTAAGGGCGGCAATGTATCCACTGTCTTCAAGAAAGTTGTAAACCAACTCTAAACTACGGACCAAGGCGTAGACAGCAATCAGATCGCGGGGACCATCGGCAGGGAAGATTTTTAAAAAAGTTCCTGCTGTAATACCAGATAGCAGCGGGATGATAGTGTGTGCGTACTCAAAAAGCAACTCAGATAAGATAGACTTGTCATGGATAAATAAGCCGATAAAGTCTTTTACAAAGGGCTTGAGAATAACAAGCACTTCATAAATAATTTTGTATGAAAATGAAATAGCGACGATTGCGAGGGAGGAGCAAAAAGAACCTTTATCTTTAAGAACAAGAACCGAGCGAAGTAAAGCATTCTTTTTACGTGACCTCAGCAATGCGAGCGATTTGAAGATGACGAGGATAATATATGCTTTTCCAAGGACTCTGGTATGTCCTCGTATTGTTTTTTTGAATGTGCGCAGGCTCCTGATATTTGTATTTGTAGAGATAGGATACGGAGACAATGGATCGAGTTTATCTTCATCTGTGGGATCAATGTATTGGTTTTCTTTGATGACAACAACAGGCCGGGGGAATAGTAGGCGTGCTACTTCCTTTGCAGAGACCTTTATTTTAGAAGTTGTTGTTGGAGCCGTTTCCAATTCACTTTTGAACGTTATCTCAGCATGTTTTTTAAATGTAATAGTATCGTATATTTTCAAGTATTCTTCAGGAGAAAACAAGAAACCTACGAGTGAAGCAGATGTGGTTTCAAGAGGTCCAGGCTTATCGGTGGAATTGGAGTTTTCTGAAGAGGCCATGGTGTTATTGTATAGAGTGTCGGTATGAATCAAGACCCGACTAAAAGAGGGGTAGGTGTGAACTGAGGTGAAATGTTTAAAGAAGTGTCTAATAAAGGGGGTTTATAATTGATGGAAAAAGATGAAATATAAAGGTGAGCACCTTCAGATGAATAGAGTCGTTATAAGACCAAAAATAAAGAATATCTCGAAAATATTTTGCTGTATAATGGGTTGTAAAAAGTCAAAATGCTTAAGGAGCCAAAGGGTTTTTTTTTTTTTCTTTTTTAGAGTGGGGGTGGTTTCCTGGATGTCGTTTTTTTTGTTTCTTTCTGCCATATGTCAAAAGTGAGCAGCCGACCAAATGTGTGACAACTTTCTGTTACAATTGTATTTCATTGACCGCTGACAAACTGGCTCAGACCAATGTGCGGCGGGGCATATAATCTTACGTAACTGGCCTACAGCAAAATTTCCTTTAAAAGGTCTGTTGATTCCTCGCAAAATTTACAATCGCACTACTAACTACAACAAACATTTACCACCAATATCATTACCATTACCACACAGCCCAACAACTACTATGATTAGAATATCGACAAAGTCCATCAGCAGATGCTGCTACCAGCTGAAAAGCGTTGTTCCACAAAAGAGAACGCTGGCGTATATCACCGGGACACACAAGCACATCAAGCGTAGCATGATTTTCCAGCAGGGATACTTTCCAAACACTTCGCCTTCGTCGTATATCAAGCACCCAGCCAGCTCCTCTGGGTCTACATCAACAAACACTTCCACCTATCCTTCATCATACAGTAGCTCTAGAAGCACTACCACTGCATCCACAACCGGCTCGTTCTCTGAGTCTGCAGCTTCTGCTGCGGCCTCTGCGCCAAATTCGCGCAGAAAGCCCACGCTAGGAAGTGAGGTGGAGGACCCTACCACCATTACAAACCCCATCAAGTCCGAGAGTGGTGACGTGCTGCGGATCAAGATTACACAACGGGCAGCCAACAAACTGAATGAGATTAAAGAGGCCGACAAAAATGCTGACCAGATTTTGCGCATTTTGGTGGAGAGCGGCGGGTGCCACGGATACCAGTATGTGCTTGGGCTTAAGAGTACAAGTACAATTGATCCTGATGAGGACTGCATTTTTGACCGCGATGGCGCAAAGTTTGTTGTCGATTCAACTTCGCTCCAGATCCTAAGAGATTCTACCATTGATTATACTACAGAGCTGATTGGAAGTCAGTTTAAGGTTATCAACAGTCCCTACGCCACATCTAGTTGCGGATGCGGGTCCAGCTTTGACTTTGATCCTTCGGCAATTCCAAAGTAAAAAAAAAAACCCTCTTATTAGAAAAAACAAAACAAAACAAAACAGAGCGTTTTCCTACAATATTTTTATGATGAGTAATGACTTAATGAGAGAGAAATATGTACAAATTATTTAATTTATTTTTTCTTCTGCAATTTTTTGAATAAATTTCCAAAACTGAGAACTATCTTGATCCCGCCAGTAGCTCCCACTACCTTCTATTCGGAAATTGCCAGAGGCTGCCATGATGAGCGATTTTGTTGTGAATTTCTTGAGTGGCAATTTCGTTAAGTCTATTCCAGTTATGTTAAAGTAATGATAAAAAACAATGGAGGATAAAGTTTGGTTTGGTTCGAGCTGTCCAAAGTAACCTGCCAAATCGCTTCCAAGAATAGACACAGTAATTTCTTTAATGGCTGAAGAAGACGAGAAAGTGATGTCTTCAGAGTCATTTGTAGTAGCTGTAAACGCTGAGGTATCGAATGTAAGGTATGAAGATTCTTTTTGAAGCTGGGTTGGAGATGACCCACGAAGACCATTAAATATGTCATCATACTGGGCCAGCATTAATTGCGAGGAAAGAAGAGGAATAGGCTTAAAGAGTGTATCAAACGTTTTGCTAGCCCAGCTGGTGAAAATAGCCAGAACCTGAGGGGTAGCATTTGCAATCAACACAACTTTGCTTGTCAGGTAATCAGTATGATTCAAAGTTTGCTTATTTTTTCGGTTTCGACGGCGGGATTGACGCTGGGTTACTGATTCACGTTCAACATGAAGTCTGGTCAACAAACAAAATTTTTGGATATGTGTACGGGAGAGTTTGATAAACACCACACTGGCGTCATAAGACACATTATCTGAAAGTCCAGGCACAGTAAGGACATCTTGGTGTTTCCACTTGACTTTGAGAATCTCAGGGTCAATTCCTGCAAGAAGTTTAGCTTCAGCGCGGTCTGCAGCAGATGCCCCGAGATATAATGCTTCGGTGGACAGAGGCTTATCTTTGGAGGCGAGAAGAGCCTGCTTGAGCGAGACTTGATAGTCTGGGATGCGGGCCTCGTCAAAGAGGTAAAGAGAGGGCCCCTTGAGAACAGTTACGGCGGCATCATAAAACAAGTCTTCCGGGCCACTCATGAATAGATGAGAAAAAAAGGAGCAGTGATCAAAGAATGGAAGGGGAGAATGGTGATGTTATTTATTGTTATTTATATGGGGTGTTGCAAAGTTTGGGGATTCTGGTAATAAATAAACAACAAACAGAAGATATACCAGTGATAAACAACAAAATAAACAAATCTTTCCAAAGACCTTGCAAACACACTGATTTGACATGAAGGCCTTTAAGGATCAAATTATCAGGAAACTTTCTCAATGAACAAACAGACTACAACAGCAAGACTTTGATGGAAATTAACGGGACGCCGCACCACAGAAAGCCATGTGGAGGGTCAATTCGGTATGACTGATTGTTTTCTCAATTAATTTTTTTTTTTTTTTTTTTTTTTTGGACGGTAAATTTTTTTAAAGCCTCTCCCACCATATTTTTTTTTTTAAAATTTCCTCACCACCATTCTTAATTATACCATCTTCTATCATATATATATTTATATATATACAACAAATAACAAAAAATAAAATAAAAAAAATGTCTGCCGTCACATCTACCGACCTTAAGGGCGCTCTTCCGTTTCTTGCTAAGGGAAAAGTTCGTGATATTTATACTGTTTCCGACGATTCGCTTCTTTTTGTTGCGACTGACCGCATCTCTGCATACGATGTCATTATGGAGAATGGCATCCCCGATAAGGGCAAGCTTCTGACCAAGCTTTCTCAGTTTTGGTTTAAGCTTCTAGGGAACGAGGTCAAGACACACCTTGTTGGTCCTTCATTTGAGGAGCCTGATGAGGCTCTGTTTAAACTTCTCCCTGACTCTGTGTCCAAGAACCCTGAATTGCGTGCTCAGCTTATTGGCCGCAGTCTGCTTGTTAACAAGTTCAAGCTTATTCCCCTCGAGGTGATTGTCCGTGGTTACATCACTGGCTCTGCCTGGTCTGAGTACAAGAAGTCCGGCACTGTACATGGAATCAAGGTTGCTCCTGGTTTACAAGAGAGCGAGCAGTTTGCTACACCTTTGTATACACCTTCAACTAAGGCTGAGCAGGGTGAGCACGATGAGAACATTCACCCTGACCGTGCAGTTGAGATTCTTGGTGGTGACAAGGAGCTGGCGGCAGCCATTGAGGCTCTTGCCATCAAGTTGTACGTCACTGCCCGTGATTATGCGAAAACGCGGGGGATTATCATTGCAGATACCAAGTTTGAGTTTGGATACATTGAGAATGAGGATGGTTCCAAGACTCTGGTGCTTGTTGATGAGGTTCTTACTCCTGACTCGTCGCGTTTCTGGCGCGCCGATTCGTACGTTATTGGCCAAGGCCAGGACTCATATGATAAGCAGTTCCTGAGAAACTGGCTCACTGACAACAATCTCAAGGGTAAGGACGGTGTTACTGTCCCCGAGGATATTGTTGAGAACACTAGAAAGAAGTACATTGAGGCTTACGAGTCCATCACTGGCGAGAAGTACTCTTCTTAGAAAAGTGGGCGATTTACTTTTTCTGGCTTTTTAAAAAGAAATAAAAAAAACACATATACTAGAGAATTAATGAACATTTAACGAAAGAAGAGTAAAAAAAAAAAGAGTGATAGAGTAACCATTAAGTTGCTATATTTCAAAAGACTTTTGACAAAGACAATCATCTTCAGTATGTGAACTGATTGCTGGTGATGCGATGAGAACAAGGTTATGCCAGTTGATGCTTACACCACTTGCTCATTTAATACAAAAACGTTGCAACTACCGAGATAATACATAAAGTACATTAGTTTTATATATTTTTTTTAAAAAAAACCGTTAGGGTTAGATATTTAGATTGGTAACATTTAGTTAGGGCTACAACCAGAAGCAGTCAGCCGTTCTGGTATATCTCAGACCGGAAACAAGTAAAATATTTGGTCAATTTTGAAGAAAAATAAAAAAAAAAAAGGGAAAAATAGTAGAGAAAGAAAGAATTAAAGTATTTAGAGTAGGAAGGATCAATAAAAAAATGAAAAAAAAATGGAAAAAAAAACAAAAAAAAAAAACAAAAAGGAGGAGGAACCGTGCAAAAGGAAAAGAAATTTTCAGGTGCAGGAAAGGAAAGAGAAGTTTTGAGGAAAGACAAAAAAAAGTTGATGATGAAAGAGGAGTTAGTTGCTGAATAGAAGATTCCACAAAAAAAAAAAAATTGAGATTTGGCTACATTGCTATCTAAGTAAACAAAGCGACGAATATATAATTCAAAAGTGATAAGAAAGATTGAAGAATTGTAAATTTGGAAATGAAAAGCATTTTGGTGTGAATTTTTTAATTTTTCAATTTTTTAATTTTTTTTTTGTTTTTTTGTTTTTTTTTCTTTCTTTCAAAAAAAAGCGCAAAGTTCAAAAAAGATATTTGAATGTCAAGATTGTGGGGGAAAGAAGAAAGAAGGTCTTTTTTTTTTTTTTTTTTTTTTTTTTGGGATCATCAGTGATTACATTAAGATTAGATAAACACTACAATTACAGCTTATATATATATATATATAAACGATACATAGAGTAAAAAACATATTATTCACGTGATACATATTAAAAATTTAAAATGACATTACAACATTTGTTACAACGTTTGGTTTTTTTTTTTTTTTAAAAAAATTTTTTTTTTTTATAGTTGTGTGTGTGTGGGCCATAGTAAAGAAAACCCATACTTAATTTTTTTTGATGGTAGATAACCATATTACACCAGCTTTCACGACACACTCTTTTTTTCCACTTCCCTCTCTCTTTTTTTTTTTTTTTTTTTTTTTTTTCCTCCCCCCCTTTTTTTTCCTACCCTCATAGTCATTTCCATATACTATCTCCAACTGGATTATCAACGTATATATACACATTAACAATGGCCGTATGTATAGAATACCAAAAATTCTTTTAAAAAAGAAAAAAAAAACAATACTTACGGGAGTCAAAAAGATAAAAACTATGAAGAATAAATCAAAATATTGATGAAGAATCAAAGAGCATAAGTGCAAATCAGGAGGTTTTTTTTTTTTTTTTTTTTTTTTTTTGATATTTGAATAAGTTATACCTTTTGAAAAGAAAGCAAAAAAGAAAAAAAGATTGATACCCTTAAGCACTAGTTTTTTTGTTATATTTCCAATTTTTATTTGCCAAATTTTTTTATATTTTTTATATTTCTTTCTCTCTCTCGGATATTGTTTGAAACTGTTTTGATCTAACATATTTCTTATATATAGAAGCAAATCACCGACATTAAGGGTTTCCTCGAGCTTGCTCGTGAGAACGGCACCAAGAGCGTCACCATCAAGCGCAATCCTGACAACACCAAGTTCAAGATTAGATCTTCCAGCTACCTTTACACCCTTACCGTTGCTGACAAGGAGAAGGCCGAGAAGTTGATTCACACTCTTCCCCCCAACCTTGAGCAGAAGGAGATTGCCTAAACTCATTTCTCTTTTTCTGTTGTTAATGTCATAAAAGTAATGAAGAATATATACGAATAAAAAAAAAAATAAAAAAAATTTAAAAAATCTTAATGTGCAATTCTCATTGAGAAAAAAAAAATTTTTTTTTGTAAGCTAACTAACCACACATTGTAATTACACTATTTTTTAAATTGTTAATTTTAATTATTTTAATTATTTTGATTATTATAATTATATATAACACCTCCCAAAACTTTGAGATTTGATATCGTGAAAAAATTTTTTTTTCTAGAGTTATAAAGTGTATTGTATTGTATAAAACATATATAATCATTTATAAAACTTGATTTTCAACTAGACGTGGGAAAACATCATTTTAAATACCAAGGTACTTTTTAACAATAGGCTCAGAGTAGATATACTCGACATGACAGTCAGTATTAAAGCCGTTAAAGGTGCCAGCAGCACTCAAAGTGTAGGCACCAAAGTCAGTAAAGTAAAGCCAGTCACCAATGTCAACAGAGACAGGCAAAAAGCTCGACTTGGTAATGACATCAATTCCATCGCAAGTTGGACCCCAAATGGAAACCTCAACCTCGTCAGCAGAAGAAACTGACAAAGAGGAAGAGGACACCACAGATGAGCAGTCCGAGGTGCATTCCGAGGTGGATTGGCACGAGGTGCAAGCCGATGAAGCATCATCATTATCGTAATCAGAAACCTCAGAGTACATAAAAATCTTGGCCTTGGACAAAATCTTAGGCACGGGTTCCTGGTGATCAAAAATAATGGAATTCATATTGGCGTAAACGCCATCATTGATATAAAGCATGAGGCGCTCAACCTCATCCTTCATGGTAACGCGGCGACCAACCACATTAACGGCAAGAGTAAAGGCCGAAGAAACAAAGTAACGGCCAGGTTCTGCAATAACGCGGACAGGAGTAGAAGCATCGCGAGGGAAAATCTCATCAATGCAGGAACCCAAGACCACAGCAGTTTGCTCAAAAGTCTCATGAACAAAGCCACCACCAACATCCAAAATAGACATGGGAGGCATGCCAATAGACTCGGCATAGTCAAACAAGGTGCGAGCATTTTGAACAGCTCCGACAAAGGCTGAGGGATCAGAAGCACCAGAGCCAACGTGGAAAGAAACGCCAACGACATCAAGCTGGAGCTTTTTAGCCAAATCAAGCAAGTCATGAGCAGCCTCCATAGATGCGCCATACTTAATACTGAATTGACACAAAGACTTAGAGTCATCAGTGGCAATGCGCAACAAAAGTTTGCAGTTAGGGAAAGCCTTCTTACACTTGCGCAACTCATCAGCATTATCAAAAGTCATGTGCTCGACACCCACAGTTTTAGCATGACGAATATAGGAAGCAGCCTTACAAGGGTGGGCATAAACAATGCGAGCAGGATCAACTCCTTGAGCCAGCATCATGTCAATTTCATTTTTAGAGGCGCAATCAAAGCCAAGACCCATAGCAACCATGAGTTTCAAGACCTGGGGGTCATTGTTACACTTGACAGCATAAAAGGGCTCAATGCGAGGGAGATTGGCGACCCAGCGCTTGTACTGGTGGTAAACACGACCCAAGTCGGCTACAAAGAACGAGTCCTCGCCTCCTGGAGGACAAGTATCCAAGTCGACCGAGTCAATGTGGGCCTGGAGAGCTTGACCAACCAGTTTCTTTGACAAGATATCAAAGGAGACCTCATTTACCACAGAAGGTGACGATAATGTGTCATTGGTCTTCTGTTCGAGTATAAGGTCGTTATTAGAGATAGGTAATTTGAAAACATCTTCACCAATTATTTCGGGACCGAGAAGGAAAGGTGACATAACTTAAAAAAAAAAGTGTTTTAAACTGGAGAAAGTGAAAAAAATGTGAAGTAGCAAGAACCCTAAAGTCTAGATCACAAAAAGAAAAAATTTCGAAAAGCTTAAAGTGTGCTTGAACTGAAAGTTTCTTTTTTTTTTTTTTGTTTTTAATAAAAAAATATACTCAAACGTTTTCTTTGAACGTGAGTTTTTCTCTCGTAGTTAATATTAATAAGTTGAAGTTAATTCAAATTCTGTAAATTCCCTCTGACTGAGGGATTCTCTAACGGCCTCCCAAGCGGCAACTCTCGTGGGTGCAAGAAGCTTGCTAAAACTAAGACTGGAATATCCAAGTAATTTCTCTATAAAAGAGGGGGTGAAGAGAGAGAAAGAAAAAAAAAAAAAAAAAAAAAAAAAAAAAGAAAAAAAAGGGGATAAGATTTGAGAAAAAATCCTTGGTATTTATATTAAAAAAATTTTTTTTTACCTTCCAGGAGGCTTAATTATTTTTATTTTTATTTTTATTTTTTTTAATAATAACAGAGCTGTAACTTTTGCTGTGTTCCCCTCACACACACACAAAAATTTTTTTTTTTATTATTTATTTTCGTTAAAACGGTGTAGATTTTTCCTTTAAAGAATTTCCTGTTTTAAAAAAAAAAAAAACTTTTCAAAAGGAGACCATCGAGTTGCTTAGTCAGATGTCATATATACCGTTTAATAATTTTTTATTTTAGAGAGGGGGGTATCCATAATAAAAATAAAAATAAAAAAATTAAATTAAAATAAAAATAAAAATTATCGTGGTAGACACAAGAAACTCATCGGAACACAAAAGGCCATTAAAAGGAAATTAACAATAAAAAAAAAATTGAAATGAAAATAAAGCAATCATTATCGTAATAATAATAATAAATAATAAAAAAAAAAGAGATCAAACAATCCAAAGCAGGTTGGAACATCAATGCAGGGTTTGTTTTGAGTTATTCATATTCATATTCATATTCATATTCATATTCATATTCATATTCATATTCTTGTGTTGTAATATAGTAGAATAAGTATTGGTGGTAGTAGTGATGATGTTAAGAGTAGCAAAGTGGGCAATTGGATGAATCGGATTAGAATCGGACATTGCATGTACTTGTGAGTCAGAATAGTAATAAAAAATATAATTTAAAAAAAAAATAAATTGCACCAGCAGCAGCAGCTGCAGCAGCTGCAGCAGCTGCAACATTGACAGTTATTCGCTAAAGAGGATTATCTCTGGGCGTTTAAAAAATGAAAATAAAAATAAAATAAAGGTATTTTCTCAAATAAGCTAAGGATCACCTTTTCCGGAATTTCAAGGAGGTCCTAATATTTGAGTTTGGAATTTGATTATGAGTCTTTTTTTTTTTTTTTTTTTAAAAAAAAAAGACAATGATCATGACGATGATGATATACGGAAAGAGCAACGCTTGGGCAAGGAAAAAAACAAGTCTCTTTGCCGCCAGCAGCATAACTTACTGGCGTTTCAAACTCTTGTTTGGAATCCGAACTGGCACTGAAAGCGACAATCGAGACCTACTACAAACAAGCGTGCAAAAGAGATGAAAGAAAAAAAAAAAAAGGAAAGAAAGAAAGAAAAATCTTCTTTAAAATTTTTTTTTTTTTATTCAACAAATATCTTTGATGGGGTTCAACTATGTGGTGTGTAAAAAAAAGTGGCAATTATATAAAGTCTCAAGCAAACTAAGACAGAGCAGATATTTCATTAAAAAATTAAAAAAAAAATTACCAACTCTGCCTTTTTTTGCGTGTAAAACCCAGCCAGAACGGCCGGGTTCTACCCTTGCAGTCCGTCAAAACTGCAAGGGAGCCTTCAAGGCATTAGTGTTGCAACTCTAAACGTTAGTGGGCTTTTGTTATCAATGGTTTTAATTAAATTCTTTTCTTTTGGTTTAAGACTTCATTATGCCTTGATAAGAGAAGAGAGAAAGAGGGGTATTTTCATTTATTATAATGGAGATATATATAAGTAATCATGCACCTTGGGTAGTAACCAAGTACATTGTGATCACTTTTTTTTTATTTTTTTCTATCTGTTAAAAAAAAAAGAACATTTTTATTATATTATTGTCGACAATTTGATGATCGAGAAAAAAAAAACAATAGGGTATATCTCTATGATGGTATCTCAAAAAAAAAAAAAATTAAATATTAAAAGAAGAAAAAGTAAAAAAAAAACAAATTGACATGATGGTAGGGGGAAGGAAAGAAAGTGGGAAAAAGGAAAGTATAAATAAGTGAGCGGTAAAAAAAAATAAAAAAATTTTTTGGCTGCTCAGCTGGACGTATGTGCGCTTCTATATACACTTGGCTGGCTGGTTGGCTTTCTAAGCATTTTTAAAAAACAGCCGCCAGTTTATTTACGCGCCCACACACAATATAAATATATTGATTTTTTTTCCCAACCCTAATCTTAAGGAATTTATAAAGGTTAGGGTTTCAGCCGTTTCACTTTTCAAATTTTTTTTTTTTTTTTTTTTTAAGGTCAATCGATCAATCAATTAATTTAATTAATCAATAAAGATCCAACAGGTTCTTCTAATATTAACAAAAAAAAATTACAAGACCAAGCTTAGAACAATGGGTCGCGTTTTATTCACCCAAAAACAAGACGATTTTTTATTTGCATTATCGTTCCATCCATCTGAACCTTTTTTTGTAAAGGGCTTTTCAGATGGAACAGTAACTGCTTGCTCCTATGATTACAAGGGCGAAATTAACAATATTTGGACCACCAAGAGACACAAGGGCAGTTGTCGAGCACTCACATATGATCACGAAGGAAAATGTATGTAATTTAACTTGAATTTTATATATTTTCTTTTTCTTCATCTAATCAAAAAAAAAAACAATTTTTTTTTTTTCAGTTGTTTTTTCGGTCGGCCTTGATCGCGTTCTTAAAAAAGCAAACGCGACCGATGGTATAGTCAAGATTAAAAATTCTTCAACTATAGACTCTGATCCTGCTTGTATTTCCGTCAATGATACCTATGTTGCAATCGGAACAGATGAAGGTGGTGTTTACATCTTTAACCAATCTGATCTGTCACTCGTCAAACACTTTGCAGATGTCCATAATGACAATGTGGCTGGTCTTTTCCCACTGCCTGTCAAAAATGAATATACCTTTATCTCATGTGGATCCACCACCGTTTCTAATATTGATCTGCGCAAAGATAAACCAGTCTCTGAAAGTGAAGACCAAGAAGATGATATCCTATGTGGCTGCCTGAGCAATGAAACAACCCCAGTGTTTGGCATGTCCACAGGCGTTGTAACCGTTTGGAACCAGGTCTTAGAAGACCAGCAACACCGTATTAGATTATCCAAAGATAGTGTAGACTGTTTACTTCCAGGTGAACTTGATGACATTGTGGTTGCCGGGTGTGGTGATGGTGTGGCCTACAAGGTTAACACACGTAGCTCACTGGTGCTTAAAAAATATAACCACGGAGGGGACGGAGTAAGCATATTGGAAATGGACTACCAGTACCATTTAGTTACTGCCGACATGGATTCAATTAAAGTGTGGATGACCGATGAGGAAGAAAAAAAGGCGGATAAAGAAGAAGGTAAAACCACTGTTACTAATACCAAACGACCAATTGAAAATAACGATAGCGATTGGGAAAGCATGGAAGAAGAAGAAGAAGAAGAAGAAGAAAAGAAAAAGGCAGAAAAACAAACCAGAAAGAAACGGAAAAGAGGCAAGGCTTCGGCAAAAAGTAAAGTTCACAATAGTAGACCTGCTATTTCTTCATTTGACGGATTATAAATTAAAAAAAAAAATTAAGAGAGTATTATTATTATTATTATTTTTTTTCTGTATATACAATAGTTTTAATAGATGCCCATCAAACGCATAGCATAGTCACCGAGACAGCCAGCAAAAATGGCATGACCAGTATTGATGTTGTTAACAAACCAGCTCCAGCAATTATCTGGGTTGTCAAGGTCCACCTTCTTAATCATGTTAAATACACGGTAAGCAGCAAAGCCGACCGAGGCAAAGAAAAATGGGCCCATGGAGTTGAAAATACCAGAAGCAGCCAACAAGGCAATTTGGGCCACAGTCAGGTTTCTGAGAATGGGCTTGGTACCGTCACCCCACTTGAGAGCTGTGGACTTGACACCAGCCTCAATATCAAACTTCTTATCCTGGTGGGCATAAATGGTATCATAAGTCATGCACCAAGCAAACGAAGAAGCATGAAGAGCCATCATGGCAGGAATATTCCAAACACCCATGGCTGGGAATCCCAAAAGAGCACCCCAGGTGAAGCAGAAGGAAAGAGAGGCTTGTGGGTAGTAGGTAAATCTCTTAAAGAGAGGGTATGTAGCAACAAAGGGCAAACTTGCAGCACCAAGCCAAAAGCAGTCCCAAGGAAGACAAAGTAACACAGCAAGACCGGTAAAGCACTGGGCACCAAGAAAAGTCACGGCCTGTGGGACCGACACGGCTCGGCGGGCAAGTGGGCGAGTAATCGTACGACCAACCTTATTATCCATGTTGCGGTCCAAGATATCATTAATGGTGCAGCCAGCGCCACGCATAATGATGGAGCCAATACCAAAGAGAGCCAGCATAGTTACAGTTTGAGAAATTGGTGCAGAATTGGTGTATGCGGCCATGGTAATAGCCCAAGTACAAGGAGTGTAAAGCAACCAAGTACCAATAGGCTTATCAAGACGCATGAGCTCAGCATAGGGGATCCAGGATGCTGGCAGCGAGCGCACAAACTTTTGAGGAGTGGTCATTGTAGACACATCCTGGGTAAGCAGAGGACTATCAGTTGATACAACGGGTGGGATCTGGTCAATGGGTTTAGTACTTTCCCATCGTCGTTGGAAAGAAGTTGAAGTTGCTGTCACAAGGCGAGGTGCCAAAGAACGCAAGGAGCCCGAGACTCCGACATTAGAAGTCTTGAAAAGCAGCATGGATAATTGGTGATTAAAAAAAAATAAGAGAGAAAAAAAGTGAAAATATATATATATATATATAGTGTTTAAATAGAAAAGGAGGTTTTAAGCTTAGATTTTTAATTTATCAATCTTCCCGAGGGGTTACCCTGCGGTCGGCATTCCCTAAAATGAAGCTTGTGGAGGGGGGTGAGCGTGAGAGAAAGAAAGAAAAAAAAAAAAAAAAAACTTTTCCTCAAGCAACCATGGCGAAACCAAAATCGGCACCCATAGCAGATGCTGCGACCAGCTTGATGCTGCGAAGCGGCAACATTCGGAGGTTGTTCAGAAAGGTATGTTGGTGGGGGAGGAAAGGTTTAGAAAATTTGGGTATAAGTTTATGTCTAATTTTTATCTTTTTTTTTTTTTTTTTTTTTTTTTAGAAATCAACATTTGAAGAAAAAATTGCAATCGAAAAAGAAGAAAAAAATTTCCAATCTTTGCAAGGACGCCCACAAAACTTGGACGTGCTCCAGCCACCAGTAGAAACAACTTCTCCTGAACCTAATAATGTCACCTTGATACCCTTGCGATTTACTTTGCGTGACTTTGAAGATCTTCATAGTTTATCTTTACCTGTGAAACGAGTACGATCTTTGCTAGTTCGTGATATTTACGTGCGCTGGAAAGAACTATTAGGCAAAAGAATCCCCGGATGGAACATTGAGGAGATTATTGATGGAAATAAAAGCGTACCTCCAGGAACAGTAAAGTTAGCATCGAAACTCCCAGATATTCTTAAAGGATTCATCAAACCGTCGATTTTCCCCAAAATTAGAACCGTGATGCTGCGCGATTATAAAACCCCATTTTGGAACCTATTTCAGCGTGCAATTTCAAACGGCTACATTTACTCTCAAAAAACACTAATTCATTATGATGTGTTGAAACATAAGCAAGCAGGTGAAAAATTTCTGCCAAATCATTCTACCAATCTCCCGTATCCAGGCCCGTTCTCCCTTCCAATCCAAATTGTTCACCCGTTAGATCCTAACACGGTGCTATACTCACCGTTGGCGTATATTTCCCGACTCGAGTTTCTGTCTGGACTTTCGGGGTTTGGCATCCCACCAGGCCATTCACTTTATGACAAGTTGGATGGACTCAAAGTTTTGCATCCACTGGAACCCACGGGGAAGCCGCGCTTTTCGCCCCCACACTTTACTAAACGGTTACTGCCTTTGATTAAGTTGAGTGAGAGTGACAGCTCCTACATTAAGCCGATTTTTGCTGGAAATAATTTAAAAGACTACCATCTTGCTTTGGAACATAAGCTCCCTGTACGCAAGTCAATTGATATCCATGGCCAAGTGAATTTTCTCGATTTTTTGGATATTATAGGTCCACTGAGAGAAAGTGAGTTTAAGGGACCCAATGGAGCATGCAAACAATTTTTCGACTTAGAGGTTGATGGGAAACTGGAGAGTATTGTTGTGTTTGAAGGCCGCAAGAATATCCCTATCCCCCATGCCAATGCTGCCATTTACAATCATCTTCAAAACCGCCTTATCCAGTGCAATGACGATAATATACCTAAGGACTCACGAGTGATTCCTGGTCGTGTCGAACCTATCGTCAACAACCAATGGTATATTAGTACTCAGAAAGTGCGCAAGGCCGGACTTGAAGAATATTTCCGCCAAAACTCTGAGATAGCCAAGTCAAATGTGGGCACTTTGTTGACCCGTAAAATGATAAAAGATCAACTGGATTTCCCGTTGACTACTGTGGCCAAACGGGGCCGGTTTGCTTGGGCGTTTGGACTTGATAGTATAGAACAAAAACACAATTCGGATCAAAGGTATTTCCCCTTGACTGAGCGCGTGGACGGGTTTGTGAACATGCCTGACTGGGCTGCCCGTGTCGTGTATGGGTGTCTTGACTGGTATTCGCAAGTAGTTAGTCCCAATGAAACTTTTTCACAACTGCCAATATCTGTTGACTACGAGGTTCTAAAGACTGTTTTTTTGATTGGAGCCCTAACTTTGCCTGATTTGAAGAGCGGGGGGAACAAAAAGCTGTTGCTGGATGAATACAAACCTGAGAAAAATCCATTGAAGATTAACGATACTGAGCATATGCGACAACTGTTAGACTCTATAGTCGTTGGACAGGAAATCACAACGGTCACAGGGTTTGATTTGGGGAACCGATGGACACTCAATGAAATGAAGCGGTTACGTGAAGGTGGTTCTGTAACTAAGCTTGCACATGAATCAGTTCCTGAATCAGTTCCCGAATCAATTACCGAATCAGTTCCCGAATCAGATGAAGTTGATTTGAATCGACCACGATTCACGCGCAAGATTTACGAGATCCAGCGAGGAGTGCTTTTAGATTCTTTGGATGCGAAGGCGGTTGCCAAAAAAGAGGCCAAGACTGTAAGTGAAAGGGATTTTGATGATTTGCAAACTTTATTGTCATGTTTTTTCCAACTTGCCGACTGCAACTACTGTTCAACGTATGATAAGCCTGTTAGTGCTATGGATCAGATTGACGAGGAGATGTTTATCAAATACTCGAGGCCATACGAGCGCTACACTCTTTACTCTCTGAGGGAGCTAGAGAGCGATGTGTGGCGATACATGTCGCAGCACAAAGTGTATGAAGCGAAGCAGGCTGTTGATTCTGCGATTTTGTTGGCATCTGGACAGTTCATGAGCGCCATGTTGTGTGAGCTGATGGATCAAAAGACCATGCCTGTGGAGCGGTTGATGGTGATAAGGACTGTGTATGAGACAGTGGTGCGGCTGGTCACACGGCTGGCGTACCCGTTTTACCCCACGACAAGTGAGAATGTGTTTTACTCACTGGAGAGTAGTTTTGATGCAGCACAAAGAGCGCAAGAACGACGCAAACTTATGACTGGGTATACGGGCGTGGGGAGCGTGGAGAGCTTAATACCTGAAGTTGAACTGACACGCGAACAGGATTACGAGCCAGGGAAAATGATGTTTGATATAGTGGACACCCTGGAGGGCGTCATTGCGCGGCACCCTGATGTTCCACGAGAAGAGATCCGGGCGTACCTGACAGTACGGGACTTTAATGAGCTGAGCGCGAAGTTTGGGTATGAGGCGCGGGAAGATGTGAATGACCGGTTGATGCTACTTGTTAAGCGGATCTGTCGGGTTGCACGGGTATCGATCCCTGTAGGGGCAGCCGTTTACAATACTGGTCGGCTGGAAAGTGTGCACATGGGGAGCGGGTTGAATTTACATGTGTTTGATCGGCGCCGATGGACGACTTCGGAAGAGTATGGTGCGCGGAAACTTGAGGAGAAGAAGCAGTATGCTGAGCAAAAGGGTGTTTTAAGGATTTTGGAGAAACAGCAGCAAACTCAACAGTAGGTAAGATGGACAAAACAGTTTTGTAAATACTATTATTTTAATTTAAATATATACAAAGGAATGAAATTACATGATATATAATATAATATAATATATATTATTTATTACAGTTTAGAGTTTCCTAGTCTGACGACATGAGAACTGAGGAGTCTACGGAGGTAAGACTGCGACGAGAGTACTGTTTGGATGCAGCTGCAAGGGCTGCAGCAGCTGCCATTTTCCTTCTTTTTGCGTGCTCCATTTCCGTAAGAGCAGAATGGGTCAAAGCCACTGTTTCGTTTTCCTGTATTACGAGGACTGCATATTGGTCTAGTATTCTTGCAGATTCAAGAGCCAGGGCGTCGACAGCGGCTTGTAGGTCGCGGAGAGTTTGAGCGTGGGTAAGAATGGCGGCGGCGGCGGCCGGGGTGGCCAAAGCTGCGACGTTGGGTGGAAGCGAAATGGGAGCCAGTGGGGACTGAGACAGGGGGAGAGGGGTCGCAGAAGAGGGGACGTGAGTGAGAGGTAGAAGAGGAGGAGCGGAGGATGAAAGAGTGGCGGCGCGAGTTACGGCGGCGAAAGAAGGAGAGGCGGCGAGAACGGATTCGCGAGCTATCGTGAGAGACACGGGGTCTTGAGGGGAGTCTTGTGAGGGGTCTGTGGTGGTGGTAGAATGTGTTTGCTGGTTGTTGTTGGGAGGTTTGGGGTCCAGGTCGAGGAACTTCCAGAGACAGAGCGCTGGCTGGTTAGACGAGAGGATAAGAATGTTTAAAAGAGAGAAGAAAAAGAAAGAATAAAGAAAAAAAAAAAAGGAAAAAGGGGGAGAAATTTACATTAAAAACGTACCATCAATTTCTTCAAGTAGCGGAGCAAGAGTGTCAATGCGCGGAGCTATGGCTGCTGCAGTTTCCTGGCGCAATGCTGCAACTTGTGTTGCGATTGTTGTATTTGGAGGGAGCAGCAACAAGTCCTGAGCGTCCTGCGCCGAGTCTTGTGAATGTTGTTGTTGTTGTTGTTGTTGGGGATCTGAAGAATTGTTTGTGGGTTGAAGTCCAGATACAAGAAACTCGAGGTCATCGAGACGACGAGCAAGATCATCTATCAGTGGGTCCATATTTGAATGAAGATGATGAGATGTGAAGTTTTTTTGCAAAGTTTCAAAATAGCAAGTTGGAAGGTTGGGTGGTACGTTAGAAAAAAAAAAAAAAAAAAAAAAAAAAAAAAAAAAAAAAAAAAAAAAAAAAAAAAAAGAAAAATTAGAATTTAAATATTAAAACCTAAACTTTAGAACTTAAACTTTATGACTTAAATTTTAAAAAAGTTTAGTTTTTTCCATATTTGGCTTTTACAATTAATTCAAAGATCCTCCAAATCAACCCAAATAACCCATTAAATGAATGCATTTTATATCCGTATTTTCATCATCATTAATCATTTAATCATTACTATTTTTAATTTCCTCTATTACTTTTTTTTTTTTCTCCACTTCCCACTTTTCTCAACCTCTAACTATTGAGATTACTCGGCGGCGGCCATTGTCCTGTAGCCACCCATCCGGCCTTAATAATTACAAGCGCGTCTGCAAGTGGTAACGGTTTCCGAAGTGGCCGTGCCTGGCGCACAAGCATATTGTAGAGCCCTGGGTATGCTGATTCCGGGACTCCCTCCAACGTTGTTTCCAACGGCGCCAGTCCATCACATCCACGCGTCCACTCACGCCGCCGCCTAAGCCACTCCCGGTAGCCCGTACACGGCTCGTCAGTCAGCCCACTGTCAGCACCGTCTTCATCCTCGCTGTCACTTGCAAAGGGATCCCAGATACCGTCGGATGAGTTGTTATCTGGCGGTGGTAGAGGAGGAGGAGGAGGAGGAAGAGAGGATCTGGAGGAAGAGACACGTTTATTGGAAGATGGACTACCAAGTTTGCTGGTGACATATTTTGCAGCAGCAGAATCTGTAGGTATTCGTAGAGCTCCTGAGTCTGGCGAGCTGAGCGGCGCCGAAGACGATCCGTCTCTTATGGTTCTTAGGGTGTTTGTTTGGTGGAGTGGTGCTGGATCCATTTGATGTCCATCACAAGGCCAGTTGCTGGTTGTGTGATTTGTGGTGGTGAAAATCTGCACGGGATGCTGCTGCTGCTGCTGCTGCTGCTGCGGAACCAAAGCGGACGGCTGCCCAGCATGTGACTGGTTGTTGTTGTTGTGGACAGCCGCAGAGGCCGCATCATCATTGTCTCCTTCACTACCAGCAGCAGCACCAGCAGCACCAGCTGATGACGGAAGTGGTGGCAGTTGTAGTTCCTTATTTTTTTGAGAAAACCGCCCACTTTGGCGAATCACCGCTCTCTTATTATATCCTGATGCAAATAGGTCTCCTGGTGCTGTTGTTGGGACTCCATCTGTAGTCATAATTGCCGGTAAAAACATAGATTCTGGGTCCCATTTGTGAGAAAATGTATGTCCTCCTCCAGCGCCTAGTCTTTTACCCCGCGGGGGGTACAATTCTTGAAATGATTTGAAGGAGAGTGTTTTGCGATGAGTTTTTTTACCTGATGATGATGATGATGATGTTTTCTGTTGGCCATTGTCTTTTAAAAGCTTTTTGTTATGATCATTGTCGTTGTTGTTATTATTCAAATTCCCACGAGTCCCAGATGTTTGGGCTAGCCTTGGGTCTGTGCTGGACGTTGAGAAGGAAAAGCAACTCGTGAAAATTTTTGCAAGTGCGTGTGAAGCTTTGGCGAGCCCGCGCACGTGACTTTCCTGGTGTACGGAGTGATTTATGCCTGTCAAAGCTATTGGTGGTGGTGATGATGGTGGTGGCGGTAGTGATGATGATGGCAGTGAAGAAGAAGCTGTGGTTGATATTGCTGGCGCTGATGCTGATGCTGATGCTGATGCTGATGCTGATGCTGATGCTGATGCTGATGCTGATGCTGATGCTGATGGTGCTGCAGCTGCAGTTGCTAATGAAGTTGTTGTAGTAGCTGAAGGTGCAGCCAAGTTCAACGATAATTGCAATTTTGATGTTGATGATTCTGCTGTCGCAGCGCCTAAGCTTTTGGTTGTATCTGAGGTCGTTGTATTAGTAGTATTAATCGTATTAATAGTAGTGTTAGTAGGTAATTTGGATTCTGGGTCTATTGCTGGTGTCAGAGTTTCAAATGGGACTTGTTGCGCGCTAATGTGGGGGGTAGGTGTTGTTGCATCTTTGATTAGAGCTGTTTGACCAGTAGCTTCTTCTTCTTCTTTATTATTATTAATATTAGACACTCCTACCATCTTCCCTGCTGAATCGTGGATTTCATTTTGTTGATTAATCTCTTGACCACTCTTTTGTTTGTTACCATTAAAAGACTTTACAACACCAGTATTAGAAGTTAGTTCTTGGTTGTTGTTGATTATGTCGGAACCGGCAGATGTTACCGACTTCTCCGAGACTCCAGGGGATGTTAGTAGTAGTAGTTGAGAAGCAGATTCATCTAGGAAACCATCAAGCCCAGCGACAAAGGAAGATGTGGAGAAGGTAGTTGCACTAGTGTTTGTTGACGTGGTGGAAGTGACGGTGGCTTGGGGACCAGCGGATGACGTGTGGGAGACTGCAGATGCAGCAGAAACTGGGCGAGGGCTATAGCTATTGCTGGAAGCTGGAGCAGGGGTTGAAGCTGGAGCTGAAGCAGGAGCTGATGATGATGATGGAGAGGCTATCATGAACAAGATATGTAAGAAAGAGAGAGAGAGAGAGAGAGAGAGAGAGAGAGAAAAGATGATGAAAGGTGTGAATGAATGAATGAATGAAGTATTTAAACAGATGATGATGATAGAAGAAAACAATATATATATATATATATATATATAAAGAAAAGGAAAAAGAAAAAAAAAACAGAAGTTATATAAAATTTACAAAAGAATTCAAAATAATAAAAATAATAAAAATAATAAAAATAATATAAAAAATAAAAAAAAAATTAGTGGCTTTTGATTGCTGTTGCTGGTAATCTTTTTTTTTGTAGACGATGGTGATAGGAATCTATCTATATATATATGTAGTTATCTATCTAACTGGATGGGGGAGAGGGGGAGGGTATCTTTTTTTTTTTTCTTTTTTCTAAGCAAAAACAAAATATATATGGAAATATATCATCAACAATATTTAAATAAAATATATTTAAAGTCTGAATTAAAAAGTTCTTTTTAAAGTAAAAAAAAAAAAAAATTAAAATATTAAAATATTACAAAAAAAAAAATCTCCTTCAAAGATTTTTATTTTATTTTTTATTTTTTTATATTATTTTTTCATTTATTTATTTTTTTATGTCTGTGTTGAGATTTTTTTTTTAGTCCGTGCAGCACCCAAAAGCCGCCAAAATATTCCAAAATTTTTTAAAAATGTTAAAAATGCCAAAATGTTAAAATGTTAAAAATGCCAAAATGCCAAAATGCTAAAATGCTAAAATGGAAGAGCCGTTTTTTTTTTTTTTTTTTTTTTTTTTGTTAGTCAAAATCTTGTCATCAAAACCACCTCCGAAATAAATTCTTAAAAATCCAACCCCCCTAAAAAAAATCCCTTTAAAGAGATTTTATAAGACAAATTTGCCTTATAAAAGTAAATAAAAAAAAAAACGGTTACGCACTTTGATTGCACACAATATAAACAAATATCAAAATATAAATCAAACAAAAATGACTTTTTTTCCAAATAACTTTTAATGCTTTTCACAAACCTTCTCTCCAAAAAATACGTTTTATTTCCTAGCCGCACCTTTAACTAATGAAAATTCCCTTACAATATTAATAACATTATTAACTGTGATATATACATATATATAAAGAATTAACTAACACCTTGACATATTTATCCAACACCTTCTTCTGGAATAGTTTCCCCCTCTTCTAAGAAAAAACATACTTAATTAATGGGTCAACGGTTTCAAAAAAAAAAAAAAAAAAAGCAAAGTAGAAACATCCTTAGGGAGTTTCCTTCCCACCTGTCGTAGTTACTTCCTCAGGTAAGTGTCTGGTGTATAACAACTGTTCAAACTTTATGCTCTCCGAATTACTTCTTGCTTCTTTAATTCAAGTTTTTGTGTTAAACAAGGAACCTGTTGATTGGCTGACTTCCTCATTCATATCAAAGACTATTTTAAGTATAATATATATATCTTGTTAGACTATGCTAAATGGTGATGGTAGTGGTAGTGGTAGTGGTGAGGATACCTCTTGGTGTCTTGGTTATGCTTCCATATGTCAATCACAACCCTAACCACTAAGACCATGAAGCCCAAAATCACCCCGATAGAAGAATCAAATCTCCGTGTTCCAAGTCCCAATCATACAATAGAAATACAATCAATCAAACGTAAATAAACAAAAAAAAAAAAAAAATAGTCCATCAATTCAAATATACAAATAAAAATAAAAAAAAATTATATATATTTATATATTTAATATAATACCAAACGTTAGATTATCCTCTACCTTTTATTTTATTTTTTTTTTTTTTTCCATCCTATTTACCCCGCGACCGCCATTGGATCCCAGGATATCGGTCCTCCCTAGTGTGCGACACAGCAACCGGACCATCTCCATACTCAGTATCCTCAAATACTCGATGAAATTCCTCCATCCAAGCTGCCACTCTAAACCCATTACTTTCCCCGCCGCCATCACCACTAACACCACTAACACCACCAACACCACCATTTGTTATTATATTATTATAATAATCTCTTCGACCTACTCCATCGGCCACTCTTGAACCAAGTGACAAACCACTACTTTCAAAAGGTCCAGACCCACGAGAAACAAATCGTACACTAACTACCTGGAAACTTGCACCGTCATGTGGAACACGTACCCATGTTCGCGAGTACAGCCCGTTACGATACGACCCCACGTACCGCTCTAGCCGCGGCAATGCCACCAACGTCACTAAGCAATCCCCATCCAACTCTGCTTGTATTCCTGCAGGTGTTATATTTTTATCTTGGTCGTACCCATTTTCAGAATAATTGCTTTCTGGAGGTAAAAATCCCATATGGTACAATACTGCAACAACATCACTATCATCCGTGTAAATGTCTGTCCCCCATAACCGTCTCTCTCGTACTCCAGTGTTGGTTGCCCGGCTCAGGTATTTTCTTGCTATGCGAACATACAATACGCTATTCTCATGGCCTTCAAGTGATGGCAACCCCCCAGAACCAATACTGCTGTTGCTGCTGTTTCCTATTGATGCTGCTGCTGTTGTTGCTTCAGAAACACCGGGGTACCCCTCGAGTTCATCTTCTGTCATTCTCACTTCCTCTAGTTCTTCCTCAATCTCATCACTCATTGGCCTATATGTAACAACCCCTAGAGTGTGTCGGGGGAAGTACTTGATAGCATCATATACCTGGATATTTGATACAACCACTTTTTCATTCCCCGTGTATGCTCCATACATGCCTCCTCCTCTTCCATCATTCCCTGTACTTATCAACCCACCATGGGTATGTGTGTGAGTATGTGTGTGATGGTTATGTCCATGGCCGCTGTACATATGGTGCGTGTGACTGTGACTATGAGCGTGACTATGGTGTACATATGGTCCTGCAACAACCACGGATCCTCCACTTCCAAAGCCACCAACTGTCACTGGTCCTACAGGTGGAGTCGTTACTGGGCCTCCAATTGATGTAGGGGGTATGTGTGTGGGTTGTACTTGTGTAATAGATGTTGGTGTTTGTGTTTGTGTTGCTGAGATTTGTGGTGACGATACTGTTGGTTGAGAATGAGTACCGGGTAATCCAGGACTTCTGCTGGGAATTGAATTGGTTCCTGCTGAACTTTCCAATGGGTACGCGACATTGCCCTGTGGGTATGGAGGCTCCATGATGTGGTGGTGGTGGAAATGGCTATGGCTATGATGGTGGTGTTTATGTGGGATATGAGTTCCTGCTATGTCTTGTTGTTGTTGTTGTTGTTGCTGCTGCTGGAGAAGTTGTTCATGAGTAAGACCATTACTGCTTGGAGCCATAGAACTTGTAGCAGGCGTAGAAGTTACTGTGGTTGCTGTAGTAGTTGTTGTTGTAGGGGCACTTGTTGCAGTTGTTTTTAATGCTTGTGTGGGGGCTTCAAGCTTCCGGTCTTCATCAGCTCTATCGTAGTTGCCAAATGGAGGAAGCGCGTATTGTTGTTGGGGGTGCACATGTAAACCACCAGTTGTTTCGGGACCAGTCTCAGGACCACCACCACTACCTGGTCTATAAACAGACGCGATCCGGTCCGAGCCTGAAGTTTTAAGCTGGGGGAGAGACCCTATACTTGGTAAGTTTGTAATTGGTGGGGTAGAAGAAGCAACGGTAGGTGTTGCAGGAGTTGTAGTAGTAGTAGTATTTGTTGCAGAGACTATGGCTGGACTGGATACAGTAGCAGCTGTTGCAGTAGCAGTTGTTGAAATAATAGCTGTGGCTGTGGCTGTAGTTGTGACTGGAGCAGATGTTGCAACAATTCCTTTAAGTGGTGGGAAAGAAGATGAACTTGTAGCTTCGTCCTTGGTTGGTTTTTTAGGGGGCTCAGATGCTGAATCTTGAGAAGACCCTAGCATTGAATAGATTGACATTGACATAATGAGCAAAGAAAAAAAAAGAAAGGAAGAAAGAAATAAGAAGGGAAAGAAAAAAAAAGGTTTCTATATTATAACTATCTCTTTGTGGGTTTGTTTAAAATTTTGGTACTTTAATATAGATTGATATTTTTTTTTTTTTGATATATTTTGAAAATATGTAAAAAGTCGTTAAAATAAGGTGGTGGTTTTGAAAAATAAAATATTTTTTTTTTTTTTAAGGTCTTAAATTTCTTTGGTTTAAAAAAAAAACAGCTGTTGTTGTTGTTGTTGTTTTTAATTTTTTTACTTTTGTTAGTTTTTTTTTTTTTTTTTTTTTTTTTTTTTCTCCCTCATCGCTTAACCCGCATTTTGTTTTTTTTTTATTTATTTTTGTTTTTCGGTTCACCCACCTTAAAACTAAAAAAAAAAAAAAAAAAATTATTAAAAAATCAAAAAATCAAAAAACTTGAACTTTTTTTTATTTTTATTTTTATTTTTATTTTTATTTTTATTTTTTTTTTTCTTCTTCTTCTTCTTTTTTTTTTCTTCTTTTCAAAATTATTCAAAAAAAAAAATAAAACGAACTTTCTCATGTGGTCTTTCCAAAAAATCTTTTTCATTTCCTTATTTGCAGCTGCTGTACGCATCTGGTTCATGTACCGCGATTCCCCACGGCCCCATCACCACAAACGGGCCATGATACTTCTCGGGTCTGGCGGTCATACTGGTGAAATGTTACGCATCTTTCATCATATTCGCAACTTCCCTCATATCACTTGGGTCATTACCATTGGAGATTCTTTATCGTTAGAAAAATTAGCAGAACATCATCATACTGACGATGTCATTGAAATCCCCCGTGCAAGATACGTCGGCCAACCATATTCCTCGGCGATAAATTCCAGCCTCGTGTGTCTCGCCGCATGCTTATCCGTCATATACAATGATAACCCAGACGTTGTAAGTTAATATTTATATGATTATGATATAATGAACCTACCAAACATGCATGCATCATTCTTTTTTTTTTTTTTTGTATACAGTTTTGACAAACAAACAAAAAAAAAATGAAATTTTTAAATTTCAAATTTTGAAAATTTGAACATTTGTTTTAAAAAATCTGAAATAAATCTAAACACTCTCTAATTAAAAAAAAAAATTTTTTTAATCTTTAGCTCATTACAAACGGCCCAGGATCCAGTGTCATGTTATGCTATGCCGCTCTTTTGCTCAGAGTAAGTCCACTTTAATCCCTCAAATTTATTTTTTTTTCCCTCATTTGAGCCCTCAACTTTTTGTTTTTTTATTTCTTTTTTATTAGTTGTTTCCTTCACTTTTCCCTCATCCTCAACTTTTTTTTCTTTTTTTTTTTTTTTTTTACTAACAATTCAATTTTTTCTTTTTTTCTTTTTTTCATTTAATTATATATTTTTAGTTCTTTGGCCTTGTTCGCACTCGTATCATCTATATTGAATCTTTTGCAAGAGTTAATGAATTATCCCTCACTGGCCGCCTGCTCTATCCAGCTGCCGATGACTTTTTGGTTCAATGGCCTCAGCTTCATGAGCGGTACCCAAACACCCGGTACACTGGTCATTTAATTTAAACTATTTTTGGTATTTAAACTTAGTTTAACAATTAATTACTGGAGAAAGGAGGGGTTTTTTTTTCTCTCTCTCTCTTTCTCTCTTTCTCTAGGAATATAAAGCATAGTATATATATACATATATGTATTTATCAGACTGTCTTGCGTAACTCTCAGTCTGTCTATTACCTCATAGATTTTTTAAAGCCACTAGCACACAATTTTCTCTGTATACATACAGTACTAATTACGATATACCAAATTATTATCTTCTTTTACTTATTCATGACCTTTGCAAAACGACTACTACTCTCACCATTCACAACCATTTCCTACCAACAAAAACTTTTATCAACTATTTCTTCCCCTTTTTCAACTTTTGCTCAGCTCAAAATGTCTAAACTCCTACAGGTAGACTCGCTCGGGAATCTTAAGGACCGCCAAGGAAGAACCGTCGCATTACGCGGTATCAACCTAGATGCCTCCTCCAAAATGCCATCCCAAATCCCAACAACCTTTCTTAACCCAGGAAATGATTTTTGGGATGGCGATAACGTCTCCTTTATCGATAGACCTTTTACCCTTAAAGAGGCTCCTGTTCATCTCGAACGTCTCAAAAGCTGGGGATTCAATACTATCCGTTATATTTTTACATGGGAGGCCCTGGAACATAAGGGACCGTAAGTAAACTAACCAACTTTGTTATCTATATTTTCTTCTCTAACAATTTTTTTTTTCTTAGCGGAATATACGATGACGAATTTATATCCTACACAATAGATGTCCTCAAACTTATCGACTCTTTTGGATTTTACGTCTTTCTAGACCCTCACCAGGATGTCGTATGTATCTATATATATACACCAACTCTCTATAACATCTCCTCTAACTTCCTTTCTCTCTCTCTAGTGGTCTCGCTTCTGCGGAGGTTCTGGGGCTCCCCTGTGGACATTGTATGCGCTTGGCCTGGAGCCACGCAACTTTGAAGCAACGGCCGCAGCTCTCGTTCAAAATCTCGAATCCACCCCTGAAGACTTCCCTAAAATGATTTGGCCCACAAACTACACTAAACTCGCCAACCAGGTCGCCTTCACCCTCTTCTTTGCAGGCAAAGACTTTGCACCAAACGCCATCATTGATGACCAAAATATCGACGACTACCTCCAAAGCCATTTCCTTAATGCCCTTCTCCACTTTTATTCCCGCATTGCAAATGAAACATCTCTTCTAGAGTCTTCCATCTTTGGCTTCGAATCTATGAACGAACCAAACCCTACCTTAATTGGATATGCTGATATCTCAGTCCTTCCAGAAGAACAAAAACTCCGTAAAGGTCTCACTCCAACTGCCTTTCAAGCTATGCTCTTAGGCTCTGGTGTTGCTTGCGATATTGACACTTTTGAGTTTAACACGTTTGGCTCTAAAAAAACAGGAACACAACGTATTGACCCAGACGGAGTTTCGGCATGGGTTCAAGATGATTCACATGATAAACACTATGGCTTTAAAAGACACCCTGGGTGGGAACTGGGTCGATGTATCTGGGCCCAAAATGGTGTATGGGATGATGATTCAAACACCTTATTGATTAATGATTACTTTAGCAAAATCCCAAGCACTGGTCAGCCCATTGACGAGGTCGTCTTTGTAAATACATATTGGACCCGTTTCTGGAACAAGTTTTACTTTGCCTTCCGTGAACGAAACAAGGATATTTATCTTCTTGCCCAACCCCCCATCTTTGCCCTCCCACCAGACCTTAAAGACTCTGCATTTATCGATAATAGGGTCATCTACACTCCACACTACTACGATGGCCTCACGCTTGTCCAAAAGCACTGGTCTAATGCTTGGAATATTGACATGCTGGGCGTGTTGCGTGGCCGTTACGCCACACCTGCATTTGCAATCAGACTAGGCTCTACAGCCATCCGCAACTGTTTACGTGACCAGCTCAAGACTATGCGCCAGGAAGGCCTCGAACATATGGGTCATCGGCCTTGTCTCATGTCAGAAACAGGCATGCCCTTTGATCTTGATAATTGTAAGGCGTACGAGTCGGGCGACTACTCGAGCCAACAGGACGCGCTGGACGCGCTCGGCTTTGCCCTCGAAGGATCTCAGCTCCATCATACCCTGTGGACATATTGCTCTTACAACTCTCACCGCTTTGGTGACAAGTGGAATGGCGAAGACTTTAGTGTGTTTAGCGGGTCTGCCCATAAACCTCTTGGAGCCTTACTTCGGTCCTCGGCTTCGTCTTTGTCGTTGTCTTCCGAAAGCTCCGAATATACACTTAATGGTCCTTCTTCTACGGAACTAACCCCTTGGTCCATGCGTTCCGATACGCGTGCCCAGGCAGCCATTTCGCGGCCGTATCCTGTGGCTGTTTTTGGCGACATTGAAACGTTTGGGTTTGACCTTAAGGCGCGCCAGTTTTCACTGGCCTTGAATGCTGACAATTGTTTGGCGTCCTACTGGGCCTCGGAAATCGTACTACCTGACCTTTCCTTCCCTGATGATAACTTCACTGTCTCCGTGTCGGCCGGCAAATGGGAGTTTGATCAATCCACGCGAATTTTGTCATGGTGGCACCCAAGTGGAGAACAGTCTATTGAAGTGATATCCCAGGTCCCTGCTCCAGTACGTCAAAGTACAATAACAACAGCCATCCAGACGTATCTTGGATATTTCTGTTCATGCTGTGGATTGTATTAGATATTTAAATGTTTCCATATATTTATTTATATAAAACCGGTGTTTTTTTTTTTTTTTTTTAAAAGTCCATGGATCCTTCTTCTCTTTGTCGCTTTTCGTGTAATCCCTCGTTCGTCAGCCTGCTGGCAAAGTCCTTAAAAATCTTGACATAAGGTCCTAAAGATGTTTTCTCTGCGTCTGATAATCTCGTCGTCTCATCTTCGTTATCGTCTTTCCAAGCATCCAGCTCATCAAGCAGCTGAGAAACAGTGGGTACATGCAACGGATCAAACTCATCCACATGCTCAATGTCTATCGGAACACACACGCGACCCGTAGCCGGATGTACACAAAACGGACTCTTAAGCAAATGGTTCAAATGTCGCGACACTTCCACATCTAACCGTGGGTACATTGTTTCTAAAATCAAGTCCACCTTGGCGTCGCGGACTCGCCGTGGATTCACACTGCCCTTATCCATATGTTGAATCGCCACATCAATATCATCCCACCGATCTACACTCGTCTTTTCATCATCTTCGTCCTTGGATTCCTTAGCCCACATGCTTCGCAACTCTGTCTCCAACGCCGCACCACACCTTAACCGTTTTAACAACGTCTCGCTGCCTCCAGGCCGCGACCCCCACGGGTCTTGGTCTACCAAAATGTCTTGCTTGAATGTTTGTTGTAATACCCCAAGTGCTGCCATCAGTTGTGGATGCAGCGGCCGTTTCAAAAGTCCGTCTGATGACGCATCGCCTTTCCGTCGTAACTGGAGGTACCCAGCCACAGCACTACGGCGTGAATCGTCCATTGCCATGGCACGTTTATCGCAAACCCAAGCGTGCGCACCACGGCGGCCTGAATAGACCCATAAAATGTGTTGGAACCCGAAATCGGAGCGCAGACTGGAGTCCATGATTTTGATTGCAGCAGTAACAAACCGCCAGCATTTGGAACAAATGTCTTTGCCTGTGCAGCATGTACGCACATCGTCATAGTCGGTCAAATCGATATCGAAAACAAGTTCCTTGCGTAGTGGCCGGAACTGAGACTTGTCGAGAAGTTTGCGGTCTTTGGGATCTGCAGAATACACAGGGCCCACTTCGAAACGAGCAGGATTTAAGCGTAGAACTTCTCGGCGGAAAGCTTCTGCGGTGGGGAAAGATTGGTAGCGCAAGTAAGCGTCATTGGATAATGTGAAGGCGATTTCTCTATGGCGGAAAGATGTGGAGGGAGTCAGGCCCTGGTTAAGCCATTGGAAAAAGAGACGGTAGGGGAAAAAGTGCTGGTAAAACTGGAGCATCATTTCTGGAGTTAATCGCGAGTCATTTCTATGGAGATCTGGTTAGCATAACAAGGTATAATAAGATGATGATTTGGAAGGGACTTACGCTGGCTCTTTGCCAAAGAGAGACTGGTTGAGTTCACCAAGCTCAGCATCGTTAAGTTCGTCGAGTTCATCAAGTTCATCGAGATCTTCTTGTGATGATTTTTCAGAAGACTCTACAGCTTTGGGGGGCGATTCTGGTTCAAGGTTTGGCATTTTGGACATATATATATAGTTGATGGTGATTTCTTGTATTTGAGAAAGGGAAATGGAAACTTTTGTTTACAGGTTTTGAAGGTTTGTTTGTTTATTTATTTTATTTTATTTTTTTTTAAACCAAACGTAAACACGCAAGAAACACGCGACGTGTATTTTTCGCGTTTATTTACTTTTTTTCTTTTTTTTTTTTCAACGCCATAACAAAAATAAAAAAAAAAATCTCTTCTTCCTTCCAGTTCCCTCCCAAAATAGCCTTCTTCACCACCTAAACCTTCCCATGAACTCAAGTCCATGGGACCACCCTGCTTCTGCTGCGCTTGCGCCTCCGTTATACCGCGCAGAAGACCCAATTCCTACCCAAACTCTACCAATCAATACTTCTCCAGTTCTTCTCATGAGCTCCTCTCTTCCTCTCTCTAGGAAAAAACGCGCAAAACCGTCTCAAACTCTCGCCAGTTTCTGGGCTCCGCCTCCGCCTCTTCCTCCACCTACTTCTTCTCTTGATACTACTGCCCAACTTTCAACAACTCTCCCAGAAATTCCTACAGATTCCACAGACTTACCGCTCAATGAAATTGATCCTTTGCTTGTTCAAGTCTCGTCATCGCCACAAAAATTGCCCGGTGACGCGTCTTCCGACCAGCAGCAATCACCTAGCTCGCCTAACTCACCCAGTCTGAAACCGTCAGATGCACCGGTACGTTTATACAAGCGCAAGAAAATTGAAAAAATCGCAAGACCATCTTCAATCATGCATCAGTTTCTTGGAGTTGAACAGGAAAAATTGATTGTGTCTTTCAAGTACAAAACCCCCCAAAACCCTCCTGTTGTCCTCCAACCTGAGCCTGAGCCTGAGCCTGAGCCTGAACCAGAACCAGAACCAGAATCGGAGTCTCTTGTGGTATCATTCAAATACACAAACCAAACCCTCTCTCCTACTAAAAAGACTTCAAATGCTAGAATGCTTTCATATTTTGGACTTGGTGGTAAACCAAAAGTCCAGCCGGCGCCTGTAAAGGCCCCAGAACCTCAACCTGCTATTCCGGTAGCTTCAGCCATCCCCCCAACTGTTGATCCAGTTCCTCCCATCATTGCATCTACCACTCAACTAACTCCACTCACGAAACCTAAAAAGACAGGTCCAATTCATCCGTTTTTTCAAAAACGAAAGTGTAAGTTTCCATCTTTGCATAATACCATGTTTTTTTTTTTTTGTTACTAACATAAATCTAGCTAAAAAACCTGTCGTTGCGCCTCCGCAAGAACTCCCCAAGCCAGATAAACCAGTCTCGGAACCCACTCCTGAAATTAAACCCCCTTCTAAACCATTTGCATTTGTGTCATCTTCTTTCACTCATAAACCATCCTTATACCAGTCCATGCCTTGCCCATGGCCTGAAGAATACCACATGCATGTCCGCGGACCAGTGACTATTGATCAATCGACCCCTATAAAGCCTCTAGTGATATCTAGCGTGGTTCAAACTAAACTCAAGGGAGTCAATTTGGCCATTTTCTCCGAGTCTTCCATTCTCAACACATTATACGGGTCCGTGGTGGAAAAGGCGACCCGGGATTTTAACTTGGCTCAAGAAAAAAAAAGGCAACCTCCACCTACAAAGGCTTCATTCCCAGTACCCAACATTCGCATACCTACCCAAATCAAAATCCCTCCACAACAAGTCAAAGCCCTTATTAATGAAACTATTGTAGATCCAGAGTCCCGCCAGGTGCTTGCGGAACTGCTTGAACGAGCACCAATTACCCTCTCTTCTTTTGAAGCACATGCCTACGAAACTCAAGCATGGACTGAAAAGTATGCTCCTAAAAGAGCATCTGCTGTAGTTACTGGTGGCCAAAATACGGAGTTTATAAGAGACTGGATCATTCACCGAACCAAGTTTCTGAGCGCAGCAAAAACGTCACATCTACAGCAGCTGGCCCAGCAAAAGAAAAAACGAAAGGCACGGGCTCGTGCAGATGACCTTGACGGGTTCATTGTAGATGAGGATGAAGAAAGCTTACCCGAGGACGAGAGTGTGATTGATGTTTCGGAACAACAACCCGAAATTCTTGTTCTGTATGGTCCACCTGGATCTGGCAAAACAAGCACGGTGTACGCAGCATGTAAAGAACTTAACGTGTTTGTCATGGAAACAAACCCAGGTGAACGGCGCACTGGACGGATGGTATCTGATCGATTTGACGGCATGTCGACGTCACATCTAGTCCACAATACCAAAAAGATGAAGGGAGGACTGACTGGGTTTTTTGGGAAAAAGCCAGTTAAAGAGAAAAGGGAGTCTCCTACAAAGACAAGCTCAGGAACAGGAAGACAAAACGGACTAATATTGTTAGACGATGCAGATGTCATGTTTGAAGACGAGTCGTCGTTTTGGCCCGTTATGGAGAAGTTTATTGAAACTTCCAAACGGCCAGTTATCGTGACATGCACAGATCCTTCAAAACTACCCCCAGACCTGGTGGCACGGTACCCTGGATCGCTCATTGAATTTGTTCCGGCTCGTAAACAAGTTCTTATTGATACAGTATGGACCGTGGCTTTATGCGAAGGCCATCTGCTGGACCTAGCCGAGGTTGTGCGACTTGTAGAGCATTGCAACAATGACTTGCGCATGTGTATCAACCACCTTCAGTTTTGGTGCCAAATGGCATTGGGTGACCGGTTCAGCGCAATTAACTGGATCTATAAAACGGCAGAAGAGCCGCGCAATGACCCAGAAAATAACCTGGTTTACAATAGATACCTATCCAAGGGAACGCATCTGGGTGTCGACAAGAAAGATAACTTATTCTCACAAAATGCAGGCGGTGGGCTTGACGACTGGTCAGCCGTCGCCGACGCTTTGTCGTGTGCAGATTTTCTTGATACTAACGCTCATTCTGTGTTTACAGCTGAGCGAGATGCTGGTATGCTCCACGCAGCTGCAAACGATTTGGCGCTTGACATGCCGGCAGATCATATTTTGGGAGACCACTATGCGGTTCATGGAGATTGCATTCCCAGTGACACAATGTCGGAGCCGCTTGATTTCGAGCGGCGCGCGGCACAGGACGTGCTGGAGTGCACACGTGCATACGGGGCCTGTGCTGGCGTCATTGTGATGGACCATTACGTTCAATACCACCCCTACCATAACTACCTGCGTCATACACTTGCGTCGCTCGCAGAGCCGCCGTCCGTGTCAATGCTAGTAGCATATAATGCGATTGATTGCACGCCGCCGGATGTGTTGGCTACAGAAATTGCGCCGTATGCACGGGCTCTTGCGCGCACTGATGTTGCACGTGCACAGGTCTTGGACCGTGCAAGAAATGGAGTACCAATCGAGCCGATGGTACCTCCACCGTTGCCCCTCGAAACTGAAGAAGAAAAGGAAGAAGAAGAAGAAGAAGACGATGAAGATGAAGAGTGGCAGCCAGGACATCGCAGGCGACAAGCTCCTCGAGCAACACTGCGCTCGGCGTACGTTGGCTTGGGGTGCTCTGTTGTTGATGCCATGGCACTAACTCGACGGTATCTTCCTGAACACGTTGATCTTTTCTCTATTCTTGCAACTGCACCATCATGTATACGAAACCAATCTAGTAATTAGAAAAACAATATATTGAAAAGAAAAGAGAAGAAAAAAAAATAATAATAATAATAGTCCTCGCTCTATAAAAGCACCTGCTTGGAGCTCACAAGACCACCCGTGTAGCGGCGCAGGGCTCTTCCTTTAGGCTTGAGAAACTGCATACGACGGAACGCTTCCTGGACGTGTCTTGCCATGATTGGTTTCTGGTCTTCATCCGGGCCGTCAAACAAGTGACGTTCTCTTTTCCGTTTTTTCTCGAGCGGGAATCCCTTTGTATTATCAGTGGAGCCGCTGCTACTAGCCTGTCGTCGCGACTTAGACGAGCGTGCCTCCAACTCCTCTTCTTGCTCCTTAACCTTGAGTGCTTCTTCAGTCACACACATTACAATTTCAAAAGTCAAAAACCCAAGAATATCAATAATGTCGTCGTGCGGCTTCGAGTCTGTGAGATATGAAATACCCGCCCACTCACGAAACCGTTTGCCTTTGCGGTACGTGAACGATGCTTGACGACACTCACTCCAGTGCACATACTCTTCCTTTGTCATTTGTCGCGTGCGCTCATCTGCTGCCTTGAGCCGCTGCATTGTTGCCATGTTAGCTTCCCGTTCCATATCATCAAGTTCGTCTGGTCCATCTCCATTATCCTCGTGTTCCAGTGGCACTTCTCTAAATTGGAACGTCAGTTCCCATGGTAGTCTAATCTTGGGTTTTTTGTACAGTCTACTGCTGTTAGATCCACTCCCCCCAGAACCATTCAATCCGTTGACTCCGTTGGCTCCGTTCACTCCACCACCGTTCGCTCCACCAGGTCCCCCTGGCCCTCCTGGCCCCCCAGAACCACCAGGACCTCCACCAGGCCCGCCCAGCAGCCCTGCATCATCGAGAATATCTGCACCCTCGACACCGCCGCCCTCTTGTTCTTTAGCATTTTTGCGCACGTCCTTCCAGGATAGGTATGTACGCAGGCGGTTAACCTTGGCCTTATCATGGCGGATAAGGAAAATAAGATCTTCTGGAGCAATCGAGCGCGATCCTCGGCGTAACGCGATTGATGATGCTTGGTAGAGAATCTCAACGACTTGGTCGCGGACAATGTCCTCAATGAGCGAGGTGGTTTCCGCCGGCGGATCACACGTTTCGCCAGAGACAAACATCATCTGGGAAAAAGAAAAAAAAAAAAAAAAAAGCATTAGATAGAGCAGTATAAATAGATTTTATAAAAAAAAAAAAAAGAGCTCACCTGTTGGATCTCCAGACGGTACTTGTATTTGTCCTTTTCTTTTGTTTCGGACATGGCAGTTGCAGAGGTTTTGTTATTTAGTGTTTTTGGTTTTCCATGATGGCAAGTCCTCCCTCCCCACAGCAGAATCTTATAAAAAAAAAAAGTAAAAATGAGGCTTAATGAAGATCCCAGTCTGAAGTATATCTGGGTCCGATTTAATTTATGTTACAACTTTAATTTTTATTTTCTTTTTTCAATATTGTAACAAATATTTGTCTACTAAATTATTATCAAAAAAAAAAAAAAAAAAAAAAACATCCATTCCACCCCCACACAGCCATCAACAACCACGTAGTATTTTTTTTTTTTTTTTTTTCAATCAATTCAAATATCAAAAAAAAAAAAAAATGACTTCGGTACACGTCCCGCCACAACAACAACAACAGCAGCAACAGCAACCATCCAGGCCTACATCCCCATCAACCTCTAGAAATGTCGGTGCCCTTGCTAGCTCATCACCTAAATCTTTATCATCAACAGCTTCTCTTTCACGACCCCCCAATGCATCAAAACCAACAACAGCAGCAAATCCTCCCGTAGACCCGATCCCACTACTGCGCACTTCACAGGCCCTGCTTGCGCTACTCGACTCAGAGTATACTGCAGCCGCATCGATGTTCCCGGAAACTTTAGGGACAAGTAATGGCAAGAATCTAAGTGAAGACAACAACGATGACGACGACGACGACAATCTAGATAGCGAGGAGATACAACATCGACGAGCAAAACAAGTGCTGCAGAAATTGGAGGTTACCAAACTGTTAACCAACTTGGAGCTTGCCCGACCCGTGTTGGCACATGCACGCGAAGTGGCATTAAACCCTGGTTCTCCTGCTCTTGCACCGCTACCGACGACCTCTAACGAGTCCCATTTACCACCTTCCGAAGGTGTTTCTTCTTCTGCTAATGTTTCTTGGCATGGTTCTTGTGTTTCGGCCAGCTCGCTGGACGGATCCATTGACAATAGTGATGTCCAAAGCATAGCAATCGAGCCCGCAGCACCAATACCTTTACCACTAGCAACCCAAAATCAAACCCAAAATCAAAATCAACAAAAACATTCAATACCCTGGCACAACTCTCTCCCAGCTTCCTTGCAACTGCCGCCACCCCCACAATCCCCAGATTCAGCTGCCTGGCTAACCGATCTGGGCGCACGGACCATGGATCTGCGGCTAGTGGTGCGTGCTCGTGAAATGGAAATTGCTCAACGTGAGGCTGCACGTGAAGAGGCCAGGCGGGCAGCTGAGGAAGCTGCTGCTGCGGAAGCTGCACTTGCTTCTGCAGCAGCACAGGCAGCAGCAGCACAGGCAGCAGCAGCAAAGGATACTACTGCTGTTAAAGGATCACGACATAATGGTGACGGTGATAACATTGCAGACGCATTGTTTCGCCGACGGAAACCTGTAGTTGCGAGTACTGATGGTAATGGTGGTAATCAGAATTCCAGCTTAGGTGGAACATTGACAGACGAGGATAAAGTACGGTTACAACAAAATGTACAGGAATCATTGGCTGGAGAAGTTTTGTCACTTGTGGCCACTATTAAGCAAAACGCTCTCAAGTTCTCGGAAGCCGTACACCATGATTCTGCAGTACTACAGGATGCTAGCACAGCACTTGAGAAAAGTTCTGGTGCAATGGGCGCCGTGGGTCAGCGATTGACTGCATACAGGAAAACCGGGGCTATTGGGTGGTGGTTCTACATTATGGCAGTGGTTGCCATGATTGTGGCAGTATCTGCAGGAATGCTTATTATTCGATTATTCCCAAAATGGTAAATTTATTTTTCTTTTTTTTTTTTTTTATAATCAATTGACATTTATTTATTTATTTGTTTGTATTCAAGAATAGCTAGTACAGATATATATATATATATATTTTTTGTTTTTTTTTTTATTTTATTTTATTTTTTTTTTAAAAGTCTTTTCATAAATTCGTTAATGGTCTTCACCACCGGCCCAGAGACTAGTGTCAGCCCAATTTGTATTGAAAAAATCAAACAAATCATTAGCATTCCCCACAGCCCCAGGGTTAAGGATCGACGCAGCACCAGGCCCCGTACAGAAGAGAGGCGTAGCAGCACCACTGGACCCCGTCAGGAGGTTAGTTGTTGAGGTCGACGCCATGGCCGTTGCGTTAGTTGTAGCTGCAGCCGCTGCGGCCTTACCTGCGGCCGCAAGAGATTCGGTGAGCTTAGAGAGGGATGAGGATGATGAGCTATTAGAGTGCGCCAGCGCGGCTGGGACTCCATTATTGTTATTTTGTTTTGAGTTGAAAGAGGTAGAAATCATGCCCGAATCGAAAAATAAATCAATAGGGGTCATGAGTGGGACATTTTCCATCATACTTCCTAGGGGGGCAGCAGATGGAACATGACCTGGAGTAGAGCCACCGCTCGAGGTAGAGTTTGTAGATGAAACTGAACGAGAACGACTTCCTCCGGCCATTGCGTTAAGCATCATGAGTTCACTATAAGCATCATCACGTAATTGAGTATCAGACGAGTTCCACAAAGACTTTTGATTGATTGATTCCTTCTCAAGTTGCTTTGAGGAAGGGATACGAGAAAGAAGTTGATCAATTTCCAAGTCATCATCTTCTTGTTTAATATGTACCATGGAAGATGGGTGTGGATTGGACCGATTTTGCAAAGACATTTGGGAAGATGGCATATTACTTCCGCAGTCAGTGGGTGATGGGGTATGCATGGATGAGGAGGACATGCAACTAGGCTGAGATGCAATATTGACAGGGCCAGAAGGAGGAGAAAGTTTCGGAGAAGGGATAGAAGCCGGAGTAGGAGCAGCAGTGATTGGTGGGGCATAATGGGGTTGAATAGTGTTGGTAATAGAAGTGGGGATAGCAGCAATAGCAGCAGTAGCAGCAGCAGTAGAAGTAGTAGGTTTGGAATCACGACGTTTCGACACAGTGGAGCGACGCTTACGCACGGCTGCAGCGTCACTATTTTTCCGACTAGCAGACGAGTTGAGTAAAGTGTCGCATGCTTCTTCGAAAATCTGGTAAGATTCTGGAATAAGAGACCCAGGACGGTGGAGTTGAAGGTCTGAGTAGAGATGGGTGATTGCTGAGGCCATGATTTTCCGGATTTCCAAAAGAAGTGCACCACCTCTGGAATAGTCAACAGCACCATAAAGAACAACGGCACCGAAAAAGACTGTAAATCGAGGAGTATTCATACAAAGAGTTGGGACAACACAGCGAGCCTTGAGATAGTTCATGACTTGAATGACAACTTTTGAACTTTGCATGACAGCTACACAAGAAGCAGAACCACGAGCACCGGCAGTTGTCCCCAAAGAGGGAGCAGAAATGGCAGGCATGTGGATGAGGACACGAGCATAATGGTACATGACGAGGAGAAGAGGGGATTTTTGGTGAAGAGTGACATGAGTTGCTGCAGGCATTCCGTTTGCAAACTCAAACTTGAGTTCAGCGGGGAGTTCCCGACGCCATTGTTCCAACATATCTTCAAGCATGACGACAGTTTTATATGGATGGGAGCGTTTTGTTGAAGAGTAGATAGTATCGAGAATGGTTCCAAAGATCTTAGCAAAGTGAATGACGGAGAGTGGGCAAGTCATTTGAGTAGATTTTTCACCGTTAGTGACTGGAGGAGTTTCCTCATGGTTACGAAGCATTTCATCGTCGATATTAGAAGGAGGAGCGCACTCAATATCTCTATCGTTGAGAAGACGAGGAGAACCAAGAAGAGCAGCGGAGAAGCAATCAAGAGTGTAAGCTACCCAAAAGATGCGTCTACGCATTTCTTGTTGGTAAAAGGGGAGTCTATCACCATTGTAAAGTTTGAGAGACTTGTGGCAACGGTGGAGACCTAAACGCTGAGACATTGAGGCGGCCATCATTCGGAAATGCCAGACATCGTCTTGGTTACCAGTATGGAGAGAATAAAGTTCTGCGAGGACCAAAGCCTGGACGGTAGCGAGACTTGGGCTTGTTTGGAGGTCTGCAGTAAAGAGGCGTTTCCATTCCTTTTCAATTCTCCAAGATTCGGTGATTGCAGCTGAAGACTTATCTTTCAAGGCAAGAGAGCCTAGAGAGGAGACAAGTAGAGAGATGATGATGAAGAGTTCGTTTCCACGGAGGTCAGGGTGATCATAATTGTTTGTTTGTTCAGCGGAGGAAAGGGCATTCATGACACGTTGATATTGATCGAGGTAAGCGTATTGGTCTAAAACGGCGTACATTGTATTCCATTCATGGAAGTAAGTTGCAGTGAGTTTATCTGCGCTGAGACGGCTGGGGATATTAAGGTTTGTGAAAAAGGGGGTGGTTGTGGAGGAGGAGGAGGAAGAAAGATTATTGGATCCAGCACATGAGGATGGGCGATGAGATAGGTATGAGGATGATGCAGGGGAGATGGGAGAGGCAATAGAGGCTGGAGTGATTGGCATTGACATGTCCAGAGGAGATAAAGCTTGTTGAGAGTGATAAGAGTTGTTATTGATTGTAATTTGGTTTGGGTCATAAATATAAGGAGTGTTTAGTTTCCCAAAGAGTACTTTAAGTTGAGGGATCATGTTGCAATTTTTTGAGCGGAGTTTTTCTAGAAAGGCGTCGATAAAGACACCACCAGCAGCGGATCCTCTATAAGTTTCTTCTGGAGAAAGTGTGTTTATTTGGTGGACAACGTAGGCTTCTTCATCATCGCTAGAGTCTTGTGGTTGGGCAGATTTTAAATTATTGATAAGATTTGAAAAGTTTTGTGGGGGAGGAGGAGGAGAGGTTGTGGTGATGGTAGTAGTAGATGTTGGTGTTGGTGTTGGTGTTGATGTTGATGTAGTTGTTGTTGTTGTTGATGTTGACGTGGGGGTTGTTGAAGATTGAGCTGGGGTTGTGGGGGTGTTACTACTACTACTACTACTACTACTATTACTATTACTATTACTATTACTATTAGTAGTAGTAGTAATAGCACTATTAGTAATTCTACTACTATTAAGAGGAGAGTTTTGTGGTAGTGTATTAGATTGCGGAGAAGGTTGATTTTGGAGGCTTTGTTGTTTTGCATTAGCCTCTACTTTTGATAGCATTTCCATTTGTTCGTCCTTAATATCTAATAGGTTTAAAAGTTTTGTATTTTCCGATTCTAGTTGGCGGACTCTGTCTTCTAGTGATTCGGTATAACCTCTTGGGAAAGCTCTTCTTGAGAGTTTATCTGAAGTTTTGCATTCAAAGCCGACTGAGAGGCATTGTGAACAATGGGGGCGTTTACCGTCGCATCTAATTTTCTTTGAGCGGCAGCGGTCACAGGCCTGTGCGATGCGGTCAGTATGACTGCCAGGCGTCTTTATCATTTTCCTATTTTAAAAGAGAAATAGAGAGAGTGAAATGTTAGAGGATTGAATAAGAAGAAGAATAAGAAGAAAAAGGAGTATAAGATGTGGAGTATATAAAGAAACATACCAAGCAAGAGCACCGTCAGGCATTTTGGAAAAATGATTATGATGAAAAGTAAGAGTGAATAGATTTAAAGATTAGATTGAATTGGATATAAAAAGAGGTTTGTTGTGTATAAGAGTTAATATATATATATATATATATATATATAAATAAATTTAAATAGAAAGAAAGAAAGAAAAGAATATATATATATAAAAAAAAAAAAAAAAAAAAACCTAAATATAATTGTTGGGGGAAGGGTTTAAAAAAAAAAAAAAAAAAAAAAAAAAAAAATGTGGGAAAAGGCGGAGTTTTATAAGTTGGTCATGGTTCATTCCGGTTTCTCCGCACTGCCAAAAAAAAAAAAAAAAAACGATTTTTATTAATTATTATAATAAAATAAAATAATAATAAAATAATAAAATAAATAGTTGGATGGCTGCAACTCAGGCTGCTACTTCTTTCTATTACTGCTGTTACTACTACTGCCATTACTATTACTTTACCATATTTATTACTTTACCATTTACCATTTACTATTTACCATTTACCATTTACTACTACTACTTGTAATAACAAACAAATGAAACGAGGCCTAAAAAAAAAAAAAGTTTTTTCAAATAAAAAGAAATTATTATGACATGAATTAAATAAATAAATTAAAAAATAAATTAAAATAAATTAAAATAAATTAATTTATATACCCACTGACAATATAAAAAAAAAAAAAAAAAACTTGAAAGGTATATTTATTTATTGAATAAATAAATTTTTAAATATAAATATAAATATAAATATAAAATACATTTGCAACCTACCGGTGACTAAAAAGAGTTGTCCGGTCAACAGGAACAAATATATAAAATAGAATTAGAATTAGAATTAGAAATAAAATAGAAGAGGAGGAGGAAAAGGAAAAGGAGGAGAATTATTTTATTTTAATATTTTAATATTTTAAGATTTTATTTAAAAAAAAAAAAAAATAAAAAAAATAAGACCATTTATTCTAGTGTCTTTTTTTTTTTATTTTTATTATTATTTTTATTATATTGTTATTACTATTGTTTAACTATTATTACTACTATTATATAGAATGTAAGAAATATATATATATATATATATCTGGAGAATTAACAAAAAAGTTTTAAATCTACGTAATTGAGCTTTGTTTTTTTTGTTTTTGATGTTGTTGTTGTTATTGTTGTTGTTGTTGTGGTGGTGGTTAGGGGAAAATAATAAAAATAAAAATAAAAATAAAAAGAAAAGAAAAAAAAAAGAAAAATTCCATCTTGTAGACTGCGGGGAAACAAAATGGAAAGTAATATAGTTTGATTGTATAATCATTATGTAATTTTGTATTACTTAATCTTATTTCCCCGTCTTTTATTATTATTTTATTTTTTTTTTTATTTTTTTTAGAGAAAATCCGGGGTGAAAAAAAAAAAAATAAAAAATAAAAAAAAAAAAAAAAGTCGTCAAATTAACCCTTGCCCAGTCTCAGTTGTCCCGACAACACTTTATAGAAATATATATAACCATAAAAGTCAAATTAAACCAAAGAAAATTTGCCACCATACAAAAAAAAAAAAAATTTCCAAAGAAGAATAAAAAAATAAAAAAAAAATATAAAAAAAAAAAAAATAAAAAAAAAGAGATTCCGCGCTGATTTAGTTCAATCAGATTCATCTATGGAGATTGTACGCGACAATTAATAAATATAAAAAAAAATTTTAAATAAATCTGGTATTTTTTTTTTGTTCATATATATATATATATATTTTGAAAATTTGAAAATTTGAAACTTTGAAACTTTAAAACTTTGAATAGACTTTTTTGTTTAAAAAAAAAAAAGAAAAAAAATGCTTAATGAAAAACCTCCTTTCTTTAAATGTTAAAATGAAAAAATATAAAATATAAAATATAAAAATTCCTATATAACTATAATTTATTTTGTCATCATCAT